AGTCCCAAAGCACCTTTGGTGGGAACCCAGACACTAAGTCACTGGGGAGCCTACACCTGGCTCCCTCCCCCGTGGGAAGCTTCTGTTGGGGTCAGAGGCCTCGGTTGAGGGGGCGGGGGCCCCTCATTCAAACCAGAGCTTCCAGGGAGTAAGAGCGTCTTCAACCCACCTTTCAACCGGAGACTGCCCTGTCCTCTCAAATCTCATTTTTCAGTTTGGAGTATATAGGAAGCCTCTACAGGTCATAAGATGCAATTTTTAAAAAGTATTCGAAGACCAGAGGCAATGGAACTGTGGCGAGAAATGTGCAAGGGACTTTGCTCCGAAGAATGTCACGAGTGCCGTGCATTCTCACGGGCATCGGGGGTGAGTGAAGGCAGCAGGTGCCCGTTCGCCAGCACAGCAGCCCTCTCAGGCCCGTCTTCTCCCACAGTCAGCGGGCTTGTTTCTGAAATACAGAAACTGCCCTTAGGAACCTTGATACTTTTCTTTATACTAAAGTGTCTGAGATCAGAAAGGAGAGCAAAATTCTACAAGGAAAATTCAGTAAGGTAAAGCCTTCATTCATAAGTTAACATCAGTAAAGCAGCAGTTGAACCCCAGAGTGTAGTCCCCAAGCTGAACACCCGCACTCCTTGCTCCTAAGCACCCCATCCCCCATGCAAGTTACTGACAGAGGCATGGCCCTCCTGAGACCAGGAGCAGCTGCCTCGCAGGGACACCCAGCCTTTCCTCAACCCCTCATCCCATATAAATCACCTAATTCCCATTGACTCTCTTCGCTGTTGAGCTCAGGGTTCCGTTTGCCCAGCCCCCTCCCCTGACCCGTTCTCCATCCACACCTGAGCTGCAGGAAGTTGACCTCTGCCAGCTGCCTTTACCACGTAGCTTTGTTCCCTGGCTTCCCGCCTGATCCAACCAATAGGAGGCACCAGCAGGTGATCAGAGGGCAGGAGGAGCAAGATGCTGGAGTATTTATGTTCCAAGCTTCCCCTCTGCTGAACCACGGTGGCCGGTGACCACAATCTTTCACCAAAGGCAGCCCTCCCTACAGACACGTAACTGCTCCTCTTCTGGAACCTTCGGGCCTAAAAATAAGCTTCCCTCCTCACTGTGGCAGCCCTGCCGAGCTTCCTCATTCTTTATCAGTATCCCTTAGCCCTACCCACGCCTTCTCTTTTCCATCATCACTTTTGAATGTACCATCCACTTCCTGCCAAGAGGCTCCTTGGTACAATGTCTTTATCCTATTTCGTACCTGAATTTGTGTAAGAAACTCTACTTCTGCAGTCTTCCCAGATAAAGGGATTTTCTACCCCAAATTCTAAGTACTAAGGAAGCTCGCAGCCTCTGAAATGCCACCACCACATGCTGACCCATTCTCTGTCCCTTCCTAAACCCCTGACACCCTGGATCCTGCCTCAGAGATGCCGTCTCCAAGCCAAGTGTCCCCACCATCCTGGGAAACCTCAGAGATCACCGACAATCCATCCACGTAGCCGTGAGATTCTGGAGGGCCTTGATTTCTACCACTTCCTTCTGCTCGCGCTTTCCACATGCCTTTCCAAGAGTATCTGTCACATTTTGTCACCTTTCAGTTTTGTTCCAGCCACAGGGGCTTATGACCTTATGAAACCTCCAGCCTCCTGACCCTGCATTTCCATCATACCCATTACCTGCCTCCTTCTCACAGGTATTTCCTTCCCTCTCCATTCTAGACACTTCAGCACATCATCTGTACCCATCCTTTCCAGCACCTTCTTCCTCAGCCCTCCCTTTTCAACCTCCCTCCTCCCTATTTAACCTTCCTGAAGCTGAGTTTTAGCAGTGGTCATATAAGCTAGGTAGAGCAGTTCACCCAAACAATTCACACTCAGGTACCCACTACACAGAGACTGCTTGGTGATGTTTACTTCCTTCCCCTTGACTGAGTGAAGTTTATCCTGCACATTTGTATCTCAGCACCTCTTCCCAGAGGACAAAAGCCTGTCCTACGGCTAAGCTATTCCCTCCCTAGACTGACAGCCAAGAACCTCATCAACCTTTACAGTTTCTTTCTAGAAAGTAACTTATTCTCTCTCTCTCTCTCTCTCTCTCTCTCTCTGTATGTATGTATGTATTTATTTAGTCTAAAACAAAACAAAGTGATGAAATCAACATAGTGAATTTTAAAATATTGATTTACCTTGAATGCTAACCTGTTGCCACCAGTTGCTTGGAACTGAAACTATGGACGCTGTCTCCTGCATCTGGGAAGAGGTCCCCTCCCCTCCCCTTTGCCTCCTCCCTCTTACCTATCCTTATACCTCCTGGTCTACCTTCTTCCTGCCAATTGGATGGCTTGGGATCTCTGCAGCAGACTCACAGCCTGATTGGCTGAGGTCAATGTCAGTCCCTTTGCTGGCCTGGCCTTTCCTCAAGTTTACAAGCCTGTTGCCTAGGAAGTCCAGTGACTGTGAAAGCCCACGCTGTTTTCCCTGAGAGAGAAGCCAGCTAGAAGTTTTGCTGGCAACTCTTTGGTTTCTAGAAAGGCATCCGAACTTGCCTCACAGGTTTTATAAGAGAATGTTCAACAAATTCTCTTAATTCTTTCAGGCAATGCCTTCCTGCCCTTCTGTTGTCTCCATGGCTCACTGCAGGTGACACTTAAAAGCACAACACAGGGGAGCAGGCAGGTATAATCACAGGAGTGTCCTCCTTCTTGCTCCACATCTGCACGCTGACAGGGTGCCATCTCCACGTATGCCTACCAGACAATTAGAAAGACTTTCTTTTAGAATTCTTATATATTCAGCACTTATTTTTAGGTCTATGACACACTTTGAGTTAGTCTCTGAGTATGGTATGAAGACATAGGCAATGTCTTCTGTGCACATTATTAAGTGGAGATCAAATCCCATGCAGATATACAATTGTTCCAGTACAATTTGCTGAAACAGTTGTATCTTTCACACTGAATTCTCTTTGCACCCTTGTCAAAAATCAACTAACCCTATGGGTGGGGTTCTATTTCAAAATTTTCAAGATGTGCCTGGAGAGGTAGCCAGAGGCAAACCGCAGAAGCCTGAGATGGAACCAGCAAAGGATCTTCATCAGGGGATGATGGGACCAGACTCCCAGGTTGCCTAGGCCACAGGATCCCCAAGGCCGTGCCGGCAGCCTGCTCTGGGGAGGCTGTGGGAGGAACAGCACCAGAGGTGTCACTGGGCTCACTGGCTGCTGTTGGTCAGATCTCACAGGTGGGCTGAAACACCTAGGAAGCCCCAGGCCTGGAGCTGGTCACGTTGGGTTACCAGATGTTCAGGAAGAATGATGCAGTGGGAATGGGAAAATTACCAGCCTGGAAGCCTCATCCTTAGGTCCCCGTGTTACTTATGAGGGGAAGAAATCCCAGCTCTTCATTCCAATGACAACACATGTCTATCCCTCAAGGAACTACTGCTGGAGACCAGTGTAATAGATTTCATAAGAACTGCAGAAATAAAATGTTATATCACACACACACATGCCTATACATGCACACTTCTGCAGCATGGCACACTTCTGACTGCATGTGACATCCTTGTACCATGAGAATTCACTGACCTGGGGAGACACCAGGCGCCCAGCTCTACATGTGACCGGGAAACTCCTCCCTGACGCTGGCGAGGGACTGCTTGCAGGAGGTGCTTCATTTCTTCATTTGATTATTTTAAGATGTGTTTCCAACCTCAGAGTCAAGCAGTCAAATGCTATGGCTTCCAGCACCGTCCCACGTGTCTACTGTTTTCTTCACTATGTTTTAATCCACTAGGTGCCGCACGTTTGAAACTTGGAAGGAGGAATTGAAATGCATTTGAGAATGCAAAAGCAAGGATAAGGACACAATCATTGAAGGTAAAATAGTTATGAGAACAGCATATCCTATCCCAGAGTAGTTTAGACAGGAAGATTAAAAAGTCAAAAAAAAAAGAGAAGGAGGAGGAGAAAGAGAAGGAGAAGGAGGAGGGGAAGAGACAGGGGTGAGGGGAGGGAAAGAAGAAGGGGAAGGAGATAAGGAGGAAGAGAGGGAGGGAGAGGAGGAGGAGGAGAAGGGAGGCTGCAGACGGTAGAATGAGCCACCACACCAACCCTCAATGACCCGCCTCCAGGCATTTTCGAAGGAAGAGAAAACACATCAAAAACTCCAGCATGATTAGATCATGACCTCCCCTGCCTCTCTCACTAGGAGCTGAATGCCATCCCTGAGGGTTCACCACATGTAGGGATATTCTCTACTACATGGCAAAGGGGATGCTTCCTAAATCAAGAAAGTCTCGGGCACCACCCTGGCCACTGGACCTGAGGCCCCAAAGCCTAACGTGGAGGTCCCAGCTCTGCCCTCAGGTTCCTGTTACCACATCTCTAAGAGGGGGATCTTGAGAGGGGGCCTGTGGAAAGTGGGACACGCGGCATCCAGCTGTGGCATGAAGGTAGGCGCCAGCCCCCAGCAAAGGCAGTGCTTCTGCAGGAGGGGGCTGCCCGGGCCTCGCTGCGGGAGAGGATGGGCTTCCTGAGCTTTGAACAAGATGGAAAGGAGACACAAGAGGTAAGCCCAATGGGGAAGAATTGGCCAAACATCTTCTGTCATAGTCATCGAAAGTGTAAAAAGGAAGAAGAGGGAAAGGGGACACATTTCCCAGGCAGGGAGAATGAAAGAGAGCACCATGTCTGAGGACAGGGAGGAGGAAGGTGGGGCTGTCGAGTGAAGGTGTGAATCAGGGTAGAGGGCACCATGGGGGAAGGGCAAGTCAAAGAGCCAAGGTCAAATTCACAGACACAGAAAGCAGAACACAGGTTCCCTGGGCTTGCAGGGGGTCAGGGAAAGGAGGAATTACTGTTTGATCAGTGCACAATTTTAGTTTGGGAAGATGAAAAAAGTTCTGGAATTGGATGGTAGTGATGGCTGCACAAAGAGATGAACGTACTCAATGCTAAGGAAATGAACACTTGATGGTTAAAACGGTAAATTTTATGTGATGGATATTTTATTTTACCATAATTTTTTTTTTAAAGAAGCAGCCCAAGATTGCTTCATAAGACTTTCCAGACAGAGGCAGAAAACAGCACGAGACAGTCTTTGTGCCGCGGTTCTGGTGGAGGTGAGGGGCCACGGGGGTGGCCTGTGCTGGGGTAAGTCTTCGAAGCGCCGGTGGCCCCCCGACCCCCCTCCGAGTCTGCGCTGTGCATCAGGCCCTCTTCAGCTTCCCGGCCCCACACAGCCACCTGGCCGCCAGCCGCAGCAGCTTCCCACAGAGCCACGCGGTGCCCAGGGTGAGCACCAGCAGGAACAAGAGGACGTCCAGCAGGTACTGCTCGTACCACGGCTGCTGGAAGGCGTGGGGTTTGAGGTGCGCCGCGCCCCCTGTCTGGAGGATGTGGTCGATCCAGCCCACCAGCCGCTGGGCGGGGGTCAGGGGGTGGGAGCGCCTGATGATGCTGGCGGCCACCGCTGCCGATTTGTACCTGTCGGCAGAGACAGAGGTGGGCGTTACTGATGTGGTCTCAGAAGTTTAGAAGACATTCCATTTCAAAGAAAAGTTGTTGGCCTGGCCTTGACACTGTCTACCTGGCTCCCTTTGAAAAGTTCAAACTGATACTTACATGCAAAGATCCATGCTTAGCGCTAAAAGTGCTAAAGTATAAAAAAAGCAACCAAGTCTATAAGGACTAGTCTATGACAAGGAGGCTTATGCTATGCAACAAGAGAGTTGTACATGATGTAAAGATGACAGACAGATAGATAGATACACAACCTATTTTGCTACTTTATGCCGGTGTCTGCACTAGGTGCCAAATGTGGCTCTAGGGACTACGGACAGAGTAATGCCTTTACTTTCCAGTCCCATCAGAGCATCACGTTGATCTGCCCTGGCGTCAGGGGTTGTGGCTGCATATCCACACAGGGTCCCGCGCTTAGATCCTGTGCTTTATTTAGTTCTCTGCTCTCGCCATCTTGAAACCCTTAAACTTAATAACAAGGGGCCCCACGTGTCCATTGCACATCCGACCCGACAAACCACGCAGCTGGTCCTGACACAGAGTGTCTGGGGACCAGCCCAGCCCATGCGGCCCTTCACAGAGCCCAGTGGATCATGGCCCCTTGGGCCTAGGTCCTTGAAAATCCAATGAAAGTAACAAACTCATTCATCAGAAACGACACATTTTTAACATGTAAGATACCAAATCTATATACAATGTCTGAGTTTGTCAGACTCCTGGAGCTTAACAACTTTTCTAGGTCTAAGAACCACACGCTATGTGGTTGTCTCTCTGTCATCCAACAGGAACTACATCCAGGTCTCCTACATGCACGGTAATGTGTTAAGTGTTGAGATTTGTTTTAGGATCGTACCCTTGAAACTCTAAGTTATTCAGTCCTGCTTAGTTATAATAAAGAAATTTTTATTTGCCTCTTTGCGTGACATGGTTGTGCTGGATCGGAATTGACAGAGGGAGTCCATGGGCCCTTTTTATTGACTCATGTAACAGCAATTCACTCGGATTTCCTCTGTGGCAGCCCTTGTGCAGGGCCCTGGGAGCAAAGTGGGAAAACGAGCCGCCCACTGCTGTTTTCAGGGAACTGAATCTCTGCTTTCCAGTGTCGGGGAACAGATGGTAAATTAAAAGGGGTAAAGCAATAGAGTGATGTCAGACCCTGAGCAGTGTAAAGCGGGAGTAATGAACTAAGGTTGGGGGGACGGGAGAGGAGACTGGTGGGGACTGTCAGGCCGACGAACTCTGAGGGGCGCGTCAGAGACGAGGCCTGCGTGTCAGGGAGGGGGCAACCCTGAGAAGAGAAGGGAGAGTGTCAGACAAAGGGCCTGAGGTGTGGAACAGGTGGCTTCTTGGGGGACAGAAAGGACACCTCCTGCCTCAGTCAGAGAATTCTACAATAAGCCCCGCAAAATAAAGGCCTTGCAAGGAGACCCTGTGTAAGCAGTTCAGGCTCCTCACAACCCATCAGGGAGAAAACGGTCCTCAGCATCCAACATTAATGGCCTAGCCTTGCTCTCAGAGGACACAGGCCAGCTGTTAGCATCACACACATATTGTTCCGTGTCCTGTAAGGTTCAGCTTTTATATAAAAGACCCTCACAGTGTCCATTTTTGATGTCTTCATTCAGCCTATAAGGCCACAAGCCCCAACGGCTACATACCTCTTGTCTTCAATGACTTCCTTCATCTTCAGAGCCAATGTCTCAGCCTTGATCTGCTGGAACCGGAGAGAGACGCCCAACTTTTTGGCTACTACTCGGACCATGTTCCCCGGCTGGTCTCCTGAGATGGGAACCCCCACCATGGGCACGCCATACTGGATGGCCTCCATTATGCTGTTCAACCCTCCATGGGTGACAAAAAGACGGATACGAGGGTGAGCTGTTGCATGTGAGAAAGAGAAGAACATTTAAGGATGACAAGGTTCAAAACACCAGGGAAGGCAGCAAAAGCAAAAGAATATATCCACAGATCTCAAGATGTACTGGGGACATTGTAAAGATGCCTTGGCTTGAGACACATTCAAGGTACATGTTCCAACATACAACATTCCAGGTCTTGCCTTTTAAGCAGGGGTGCCCGACCCTTTGGCATCTCTGGGCCACACGGGAAGAAGAGTTGTCTTGGGTCACACATTAAATACACAAACACTAATTAAAATTGATTAGGAAAAAAAAGGGTTTTAAGCAGATTTATAATTTATAGCCATCCTGGGCTGCATGTGGCCCATGGCCCATGGGCCACAGGTTGAACATGCTGTTGTGTGAAAGGAGTCTATCATAGAGACCCCTTTCCTAAACCAGAACACAGCCAAGGAATTCTCTAGAGAATAGTGCAAAACAAAGCCTGTATCTCCATCCATGTGTCCATCCATCCATCCATATCTACCCACCCGATGTTTGTCTTTGGTTCTCATGTCTGTTCTCTCTCTCTCTCCCCCACCCCGCCCCCCAGGAATCTTTTCTTAATTGCCAAGTTTCCTAATTTCCCTCCTTCTCTGAATTCCTGACACACTCACTGACATCACAACTCCTGTGGCCCCCGTAAAACGTGCACTATATGTGTTGTCCCCTCAAATATATGAGAAGCCCCTTGAAAGCAGAAACTGAGCCCTATAGCTCAGTATTTCCAGTTTCAGCCTTTCCATCCCACCCTCCTTTCAGAACTGACTAAAATGACAGTTGATAATGAAGAGTTTGTCTCAGTCTGTGCCGCTCAGCTGGGATGTGCACCAGAATCTCTTGTCTCTTCTGTGAAATGAGAGTCACTGTGCCCCGACCCAGACTTAAAGAAATGCATTTGCAGAAGTGGCCCCAGGAATATGTTTTTTAAGTTGCACAGATTATTTTGAGTCATATGTTGGTTATCGGTCTTTGATTCACTCAGCAGCTATAGCTGTGAGGAGTCTCTAAGCAGCACTGAGTACAAAGAAAATCTTTTGTGGGGAAGGGCATGAGGGAACTCTCTGGTACTAGAGATTCAATGGGTCCAATAACTGGCTACGAGGTTGCTCAGATTGTCAGTCAGATATTTTGGCACAACATAGAGACACTATTGGCATCAATGTTGTGAAGGTATGAGTTGCTCAAGTCTTAGTATCTTAGGAGGATGTATCTGTGTGTGGAGGAGTAGACTGTGTGTGTGTGTGTGTGTGTGTGTGTGTGTGTGTGTACGTGAGATCTCATGGATGTATAGGTGCTCATGAAGCCACTAAATATGAGGGGGGAATTTATTTATAAAAAATTGTGTATTTATTCTTGCATGTTTGAACTTCAGTCACCTTCTAAATACCGTCCATTTGATGCCGTGCACCTATTGAGACATTTTTTTTCCACTGCTCAAAACAGTTTTTGAACTCATCAACTTCGATACCTTTAGTGCTTCTGCCATTTTTTGTTTCACCTCTTCCACACTGGCAAAACATTTCCCTCTGAGGACTTTTTTCATTGGGGCAAACAAAAGCAAAAAAATAAGTAAATAAAAATAAAAAAGTTGCTCAGGGAAAGATCAGGTGAATAAGAAGGGTGGGACACAGGGTCATGTCATTTTGGTTAAAAAAAACTGCTGAGCATTCAGTGCAGTGTAGGCAGGTGTGCTGGTAAGTCACCCATCATGAGACGAGCAGACCCGTTGAAAGAGTCTTCAAAAAAATTTCACTGATGCCAAACGCAGCCTCTCACAGCAATGCCAGCTGGCACGCTGATGCAGACGGGCTCCTAGGACACTCAGGTAGCAGGGGAAGCCTGCACTGCAAGGGACCCGCCCTCCGGAAGATGATTCCAGGTTCGTAGGGTCCCCCGTCGTGTAGTGGCAACATGCACCCTGCTATGTGTTCTCAGAGTCACGGGTTGCTTTGGACTCTGGGTGACCTTGATCAAGACCAAATGCAGTAGGTCAAGGTGACTTTGATGGCTATCAATGTCAGGCCTGGGATAAAAAAGAATGAAGGGGAGATGACTGTTTGGCCATCTCGTCTCATTGGAAGTATAGCGTAATTCCCCAAGAACTCCAGCTGGCTCCTGCCAAGTTTCTACGATCTGGACACTTACCTCTGGCAAACAGCAGCTCCTTCTGGTTCAGATGGGGTTACCCGGGTAGCATTCAGAGTTCAGATAGGCCCTAAGCACACATAAATGAGAAGGGAGAAGCACACCTGGGTAGCCCTTACCCAGGAGGTCATTCTGAGGAAGCCAGTCCACGATTTTCACATTTGCTGCCAATGTGACATCTTTGGGCCACTGAGAAGGACTACACTTCCATATCACCCCCTGAGGCAGTTGACCAAAGGCACTGTTCATCTCCTTAAGAATCTCCTGGGTCTGCGTAATGCTCAAAATGGAGCCCAAAGCCACAAGGACAAAACCAGAGTCTCCAAACTGGTCAATGAATGTCTCAAATTCCTAGAGAGAGGTAAGAGGGGAAAGGAGGTGAACAAAATCTGTCCACAAAAGCGTAAGCCCCCATGAAATTAAAGTCAGGCTATTTATTAACAGGCCCTCTGTCATTCCTGGAGCTCACTGTCCTGAAGCTGTATCATAGCCCTGGGGATAGTTTGCACGGTCTGTATTGGGCTCATATTTATTCTGTTGGTGGCAGCATCTTTTTTCTTTGAAAACCTGATGCTAGCATCAGAGCCCAAGACCCTCTGCTCAGTTTCAGCCCATTGCTACATGGTTACTTGGGAGTTTTCCAAAGCCAGGCGAGGGGCGGTCATGTTGGGAACGTAACTCGTGGGGACTGTTGGTTCAGCAGAGGTAGGCAGACCATCAGGAGACTGGAGGAGAGAGGCGGGGAGAAGGTGGCTGGCGTCCAAAGCAGGACAGGGGAGAATAGACGCAGGACAGGGGAGGCTCTTCACCAGCGGTGCTTAGTGCGCCATGATATTCTCAGTCACTGCTCTTTGTGACTCACTTTGTCCCTCAGTAGTTCATCCATGTGACTACACAATATATCCGCATGAGAAGATTTTTAGAAAGCAACAGCCCCAGCCTTGGGCACCTTATTCTTTCGAGTCCCCCATGCAGTTCCTAAGGAAGGGTGTGACCTAATACCGTAATCTCGGCTTAAACAAAGTTTTGCCTTATTTCTTTAGACCCTGACTCTCTCTACATCTGTGATGGTCCCCCAGATCCCAGACCTTCATCCTATTAAATCGATGCCCTCCAGCATAACACGGCCTGATTTACCATCTCAAAGGACCACTTGACAAAAACCTTGTTGTCTTTTATAACTATGAAAGCAACATAATGTAAAAATTGGAAAAGAGAAGGGACACATTTTTTAGTTAAAGCCTGCCACCTCACAGCCATTACTACCCTTACTCCCACCACGCTCCTGCCTAACAGTTCCCTGCCCCTTGCCGTGGCCAGAGCCTGGGCCACCCTCCCATCGTCCTGCCGTCTGGCCCGACTACAACTGTGTAGTTGAGTCTTCTGCTCTCTGGCCCAGCCAGGGACCCTGGACTGTGGGCATCTAACTTCTGCCTCGACACTGAGGGCCTCTCCTTCTCCCCAGCTGGAATGCCTTCCCTCCTAGCTCCATGCCTAGAAAATCCTACCACCAGCTCAGAGCCCATCCAGCCCGTGGGTCATTCTCCAATGCTTCCTGGTCACTTGATGCAAGGTCAGTAGAGGAGGATGGACGCTTCAGTGCCAGGAATGAATGGGGACTGGGGAAGTTGCTTACAGCACCTGAGCCTCTGTCTCCTCATAAAATGGAGATCCTCATACTGCCTCCAGGTGGAAAGATATTATATCAGATAAATTCCATTAAACAGCAACCCTGTGCTAAGAGGCAAAGGGCAGGGCACTTATCTCAGCTCCCCTTCATTTTGAAAACTTCTGCGGCAGGGATTCTGAGTCCAGGATATGCATTCAAACTGACTGAGCTGCTTTACAACTTCCAAAGTCCGGGCTTGACCCAGGTCCATCCAATCAGGAGGCTGGGTGGGGTTAGGAACCAGGGCTCTAGGGCTGGTGCTGCCAGAGATAACGCCTGCAGCTCTTGTCGGCCCCCAGGATCCGCCTCAGTTACACTGTGGTGCTCACAGCACTGTGTGTTTCATTGTGAGCTCATCTCTCAATAATTCTTGCATGTGACAGATGCTTACAACATACTTCCTGCTCGTAGAAAATGCACGTGAAAATGCCAGCCTATTAAGAGATTTACCCCAACAGGCAGGGCTATAGTGAAGCTAGAGAAGACCCTAAGCAAACCGTTTAAGGAGGCCCTCAATGTAAAGGGTGTGCCAGCCCTAACAGTGTACCTGCATGACCCTATATGTGAGTACTTCCTTAAAAAGTGTGCCTTAGGCACCTCACTAGTTGCATCCTACCAGTCCCAGGACCTGCCTGGTGGGGCAACCACCAAACCTCCCCTGCAGACCTCTGCATGCAACCCATGGAGAGCTATGCTTTCACTTACTTGTGGTACTGGTTTAACAGGTTTGGTCATTAAGCCTCCAACATACACAGTGTTGGGAAGCAGAGGCTGAGCAAAATCAAAGGCAAAGTCAGAGTTAACAAAAAATAACTCTGCTCTCTTCAACACATGAGACAAAACTGGCCTGGAGCCTTCTGGAAAATGCTCTTTGATGGTATTGTCAAACGTAGATTGCATCAGCCATTGACTCCAGAAGAAACTAAAGCTCATCAGAAAATTCTCTACTCTGCCCCAGAAATCCATGTGGTCTGTTAGCGAGGCCTGGAATGCCGGCACGTAAGACAGAGGGTTTGGTAGCCCAATGTCTGCGGTACCGAACGTGGTGGGCACAATAGACACAAATGGCTTCCCAAGCTTCTCAGCAATCAGCAAAGCACAGTAGTCAAAACTGTCCAACGTCATCAGGTCGAAGTTCCCATTCTTTAGGATATCCAGGATATCGCTTCTGAGAAAATGAGTACACTGACGCCCCAGCAGTTGCATCATTTCTATTATGTGTTCAAATCTGTACAAGAAGGCAAATAAATGACCAGCGTTTGTTGTTGGTGTTAATTTCACAATGCCTAAAAGAATGCTGGGCTCTAAAGAAAACATCCTAGGTCACCAAGGGCTCCCCTAGCAGCCGCCATCCTATTCCATCTACCCCCAACACCCTCTTCTCTGTCCCTCTGAACCCTAACCCTAACCCTCCCCTCGCCTTTCCCATTCAATCCAAATCGCAGGCACTCCCTGCCCCAGTTCATTAGAAAATGTGTCTTTGGGCAGTCAGTTCTTGAAACTCCTGTGCACAGCCGAGTTACGTTAACTGAAAATAAATCATCCTGTTGGGATGCTTGCTCTGGGTGTTTTCTCAGGCCGTAGCAGACGCCGCAGACTTCTTTCTTCTTGGTATACTCAGTGATGTTCCCCTTAACCTTCGTTTGCATACTAACTTATTGTGTGTGATTTCGTTGTTTACTCAGCCAAACTGTCCCAGTGATTTAATGACATAGTCCCCTAAATACTGACGATATAGGCTAATTTTGAAAATCACTGTGTATTCTGTATATGACAGATCACCTCGCCTAAGGGACTCTTTGGTCATATTAGGACACACACTCTCAGCTAAAAATGGGAATTGCACCTTCCTGTGCCCATGGGTTAAGCACTTTCAAAAGCCTAATTTTGAAACACTTCATTCCACTTCAATACTCGCAGCGGCATCCTGAGAAGATAGAGGCAAAGCTTTACTGATACATAACTAAGACTTCACCTGAGGGGTTATCCCAGGGACCTTTCTCCTTGCAATGCTTTCCGATCATTTCCTTGTAGAATATGACCCTGTTTCCTGTTTGTACCACATACAGGAAAATAGATGAGAATTAACCATCTACGTTCTAAGCTCCAGAGGTAACAGGTGCAATGGCTCAAGACGTCAGGGGTCTGTGGCTGCATGGAGAATCAAGAAAATCAACCCCCGTGCACACCTGCAATTGTTCACCACTGCACCATGGTGCCCGGACAGAGGAGGCCCAGGGGCTGAGAACTCATGAGCAATGTGCAGCTGTCAGCATGATCATTAGCATCAACTGCAAGTCACACGATGAAAGTGATTCACTAAAATTATCCCAATTTTTAAGATTTCCCATAACAAAAAGAGGGGTTGCCAAAGATTTTGGATAATTTCAGTGATGCTATAAAAATTCCTAGAATACAGTTCATAAGTCATATTTAAAATATAAAACATGTTCAAGAATGTGTGGTTACTTATATTCCTGTCCTTAAAAATATTAAATTGAGGGAGAAGAGACAAAGCATGTCCTCAAAATACAAAACAACTAAAATATATAACTAACCAGCAAGGCCAGATAGATTAAATGCCAAGTGAATAGGTTAGATCACACCTATACAGGAGGGACTGGGGTCCTTCAGTTTGAATAGGAAAAAAAAAAGATTTTATAAAAAAATATTAAATGAAATGAAAAGTCTGATTTGAGCAGATGGTGACCAGTAAGTAGAATTTCCAAAGGAAAAAGAGAGAGAGAAAGAGGGAGGGAGGGAGGAATAGAGAAAGAAAGGGAGGGAGAAAGAAAGAAAATAAGAGGCTACTGTAGTTAACCAAGGGAGACATGGATTTCTGTCTTTCCACTTCTATGTCTAAGATTAAGGAGTTATGTGTTCCTTTCCATTCCAGATGAAGCACAAGGAATTGGCTTCATGTCTTATTTGCATGAGGTTGACTGCTATTTAAAAGGACTTGACATGGCCCAATGTTCAACTACTAGAAAATCAATATTCATAAGTCTTCCCTTCATGAATAAATATATATGTTAAAAGAAAGAATAAAAAGTATGTGGCAAACGTTAGCTCTGAGCTTCCTACCAACAATAAGAGGTTGAGGTGCCTATGTTTCTGTGTTGGGAGATCGCAAGCAGGTCCCAGAAGGAACAATCCAGACTTTCTACAGAAATACACTTACGTTTATGGTGGAAGAGGAACAATACATAGTACATGAAAGTCTCCGGTGAGTAGACAGGATAATTTGGTGTGAAATACTTGTTTACCCAATCAACTATCATCTATCCCATCCATCCATTTATCCATATTTTTTTATAAACTTTATCTAAGCATCCATGCATCTATCCATTAATTTGTATCACTAGCAGTATTTCTTTGATTCAGATAATAAAAGAAATTACCTGTCAGCCATAGCGTCTTTCAGGAATGAATCAAAATACTTCTCAAATTCTTTGTTAAACTCTTCAGGTCGCAGCCAAGTGATAACTTTGTATGTTTTTTCCACATCTTTAAAATCTAGAAAAACAACATTTAATAATGTTAAATACGTCACATAATAAGATTAACATTAGCATGATGATATCAACATCTGTTCCAATAAATTTACATTTACTTGAATATTTGCCTTTTGAACTATTATTGTTTGGTTTGCTTTCTCATTCATTCAATCTTATAAACTGAAAACATTTATTGAGAACCTTACAACACTTCAGAAGTGGTTTTTTATTTCAAGTAATGAAAGCTTCTATTAAAAGATTTTATTGGAGGTATAGTTATTTGTCTCATTTTGAGGGAAGAAAAGAAAATTAACTGAGTTTAAGATAATTAGTCTAGGCTGCAAACACGGAAAGTGGAAGAGTTTATTTAAATACAGCTCTCTTTCATTCGAGTCCCTGCTCTTTCTGTTGTAGACAAATTTATTTTCACTATTATATTCATACAGCCAAATCGTATTTTGTTTCAGTAAAAAGTACTAAATGGCTTCGTTAAAATCTTTCCTCTGTACCTCTACTTACCAACTTGGCTTCTCCCCGCCGGCCCCCAGTACTCACGTGTAATATAATGTGAGTTTATTTTTGACATCGAGTGCTGACAAATCTCAGGCCCTATCTCGCCCTCCCTCTTCTGGACGCCATCTGGGAAAACTGGTAAGAAAGTCTGAGTGTTCTATTCCTTGTCCCTTGTGGGAGTTTCAAACCATGCAAGTCAGAGCAATGAGGGGGAACCCTCACCCCATCCCAACCCACTACCCACAGTGAAAACTCAAGCCAGTCTTTCCTCCTTGCTCTGGTAAGCCATTTCTCAGTTTTGCTTGGGAGACAGTGCTGCTCCGCCAAAAAATCCTCATTATTTGAGTAGATCATTTCATACTCCCAGTGCCTGTGTTCCTTCCTCAGTCATGGCATCCAACCAAATTGTGTGTAGGGACGGAGAATGGATTAATGCATGCTCCATTCTTTGAACTGTCTACTTCAAAGTGTCCAAAGTGTCCAGTATCCAAGTGCCCACTGGAAAATACTTTGAAACTGAAGATTTGGATAATATGATCTGCTCCGTACCCATGTTAACAGGCTTGCTTCCCTAGTTGGCCTTCACCTTGGAATGGACCTTTAACCGGCTCCTCATGTGGTACTTCAACAACCCTACCGTTGGCCTCAATCTTTGTCGGCAAGACCTTAACCACATCCAACTTCCCCAGGAGCAGGGGTATGGCATCCCCTGGAGCACACCCTCCTCCAAGGAGCTTGTTTGGACACACTGATTCAATGCAGAGAAACATTCGCCAAGGAGCCCATGCAAAAGGATATGCCACTGCCCCCGCACAGAGCTCAAGGCCAAGTAGCTCAGTTAAATTCCTGGAAATTGTTTGGCTAGTTTAAGTCCTCTATATCCCTGATACTTTCAAGAATCAAGGCTGGGCATCCGGTCCAAGATGATGGCGTGAGAAGACCCTGAATCACCTTCTCTCATGAACACAGAGTCTACACCTACAGACAGAGCACTTCCCTCGGAAGAAGGACAGAGGGTTGACTTAACAGCCCCTGCACTACAAATGAAAGACCATACAGAAATGGGTTGGAGAGACCGAGAGGTGACACTGTGGGAACCACATCCCCAGCACACTGACCTGCCGCAGGGAGAGGTCCTTCAGGGGCCTGCACAGAGACTTGCTCACCCTGGGATACGGCAAGAAAGAAGTAGTATAAAAGGCGCCTCGATTTCATGGGAAGAAAATCCATTTGATAACCCCAGAGCACCAGTCAAATGGGACGGCAATGGCGGGAACAATGTCAGAGGCGCCCGTTCACATGGATAGTAGCTCAATTCGGGAGCTCTTGCCAGCTGGCCAAGGCCATTTCAGTGTATCCCAGACCCCAAGACCATGGCAGCCTGCCAAGGTGGCCCTGGTCTAGCTTAACCCCAGGTCTTTCGGCAGCCTGAGCTGGCTCCCATTACAACACAACTAAGTTGCCCTCGTAAAGCTTTCCCCCAGGATTTCCCACAATCTGCACCTGCTTCGCCTCCAACAACCCGGCCAAGGCAGGCTTCATGAAACTCGCCCCCAGGTCTCCCTGCAGCCCAGGCCTATGCCAGCTGCAGCTCCCCTCCAGCTAGACTGCCGAAGACACCCAGCACACGCAGCCCGCAAAGAAGAAGCTCCTACGCAAGCCCTCTCTTTCAGGCCTGGGAGAGATTGTTCACAAAAACAAACACAGAGACAGCCAAAATGAGGAGACAAAGAAGTATGTCCCAAACAAAAGAATAGGACAATATCCCAGAGGAAAAACGAAAAGAAACTGACACAAGCAGTGTACCAGATAAAGAGTTCAAAACAGTGGTAATAAAGATGTTCTGCGCGCGCGGGAGAATAGATGACCTCAGTGAGAACTTCAGCATACAGAGAGAGAGAACATAACACAGAATCTCTCCATCAACTCACAGTTTTAAAATCTCATCGAAATAGCATCAGCTCAAAAGTCCCCCATTACACTGTCTTTATAACTTAATCAAGTATGAGTGAGAGTCTGAGTGTGATCTATTCAGGCGCAAAATTTCTCCACCTGAGGGTCTGTTAATTCAGAAACAAGTTATCTGCTCCCAAGAAACAATACTGGGACAGGTATAAGATACCAGTTACTGACATTACTATTACAAATGGAATAAATGGAAGGAAAAAAATGAGTCACCAGTCCTCAGAAATTTTGACATGCAAGTGGGTAAATAATATTAGGTTTTAAGGACTAGAAATAATCCTGTCTGATTTTACCTGCAGCTGTGTGAGCTTAAAGCTCTACCCTGTGGACTCACTGCTTCACCCTTAGAGTACTTTGTTCTTCATGAAAGAAATCAGGAGTTCACAGTGGAAGAGCTTATCAACCTGTTTCTTACTTTTGGAAAGTTGGATGGCCTTCTTTCCTGCTATCCCCTCTCTGTCCATTCCTGTCTAAACTGGTGGTATTTTTGCTGATAAAATTCTCAAGCACCTTGTAGATCTCCTGGGTGTGTCATAGAATTCGCTCCACTGGACAAGAGGTTGCTCCACAGATCTTTAAAATTAAAGCTGACACAGAGCTGCCTAGAGACTCTTAAAGAGAGACTGGAGGCAGAGGCGTTGGGGAGAGAACTAAGGGAGTAGCCGTGGGGGTGCGGGGGATCCTGGTGCTGACTCCTTCCGGATTCCACGGACTCTATCTTGTTCAGGCAGACCACTCCCTTGAGTGACAACAGCCTGTAAGGACATGATAGTTCCACCCTCAGGAGGCACTGCCCACCTTGTGGTACCTATACCTGACAGCTGAAGGCAGAGTGACTAGATTAACAACTGCAGGAAACAGACACAGAAAGTGGATCCCTGAAAGGCTCAAACAAATGGCCTAAGGTCAGACAGGGTCAACAGCTGACATTATCAGAGGCAGACCCAGAAAGAAAATAAATAAATAAATAAATAAATAAATAAATAAATAAATAAATAAAAAGACCCACCTACTACCATGGAAGTTTAATCCACAAAGTCAGGAAATCAAGACTGATCAATTGAAGCAGAAGGAAAAATAAAAGACTCTCACAAATAATGGGAAGGACAAGAAATACCCCCCAAATGAGGGGAAAGGAGGAATCCCCACAGAGAGAGCTAAATGAAATAGAGGCAAGTGAACTACCAGATATTGAATTCAAAACAATGGCTCTAAGGAAGCTCAGTGAGCTCAAAGAGAACTATGAGAAACTACAGGGAAACTATCAGGAACTTACTGCAAACTATACCAACCTGGAAAAGGACATAGAAACTATCAAGAAGACACAAGAGGAAATGAAGAATACCATTTCTGAATTGAAGAACACAGTGGAAGGAATCAAAAGCAGGCTAGATGAAGCAAAGGATCGAATCAGCAAGCTGTAAGACAAGGTAGATAAAACCTCCCAGAAAGAGCAAGAAATGGAAAAAAGACTCAAAAAGAATGAAGAGGCATTCAGGGAATTGCAGGACAACCTGAAACACAATAATATCCACATAATAGAGATACCAGAAGGAGAAGAGGAGCAAGGGATAGAGAACCTGTTTCAAAAAGTAATGATGGAAAATTTTCCCTATTTGAGGAGAGAAAAGGTCTCAGGGTCCAGGAAGAACAGAGGGCGTCATTCAAGAGGAACCCAGTGAGGCCCACTCCAAGACACATCATCATTAAAATGGCAAATATCAAAGACAAACAGAGAATCCTAAAGGCAGCGAGGGAGAAACTGGTAATAACATACAGGGGAGCCCTGATACAGCTAACAGCTGACTTCTCAACAGAAACACTGCAAGCCAGAAGGAAATGGCAAGAGATATTCCAAGTAATGAAAAGCAAAGACCTACAACCAAGAATGATGTACCCAGCAAGGCTCTCAAGTAAAATAGAAGGTGAAATAAGGAGTTTCCCAGACAAAAGAAGACTAAAAGAATACGTCTCCACCAAACCAGCACTACAAAGATATGCTAAAGGGACTGGTTTAAGAAGATGAAGAAAAAGAGTGAGAAAGAGAAAAACACAGGTACAAAGGGAAAAAATGAATAAGTTTCTATCAATAATAACTCTCAATGTAAATGGACTACATGCCCCAATCAAAAGACACAGGATAGCTGAATGGATAAGAAAACATGACCCACACATATGCTGCCTACAAGAGACCCACATCAGAACATAGGACATACACAGATTGAAAGTAAAGGGTGGAAAAAAAAATATTCCAAGCAAATGGGCAAGAAAAAAAAGCAGGGGTAGCAATATTTATATCAGACAAAATAGATTTCAAAACAAAGGCCATAAAAAGAGACCCAGAGGGACACTTTATAATACTTAAAGGAAGAATCCATCAAGAAAACATAAACATTGTAAACTTATATGCACCCAACATAGGAGCACCCAAATATGTAAGGAGAATCTTGGAGGACTTCAAAAAAGATACAGACAGCAACGCACTGATAGTAGGGGATTTTAACACCCCACTGTCAAAAATGGACAGATCTTCCAAACAAAACATCAACAAGGATATTGTAGAGCAGAATGACACATTAAATCAAATGGATTTAACTGACATACATAGAACCTTTCATCCCAAAGAAGCAAAATACACATTCTTTTCAAATGTGCATGGAACTTTTTCAAAGATAGACCACATGATAGGACACAAAGCAAGCCTCAAAAAACTCAGGAAAATTGAAATAATAACAATCATTTTCTCAGACCACAAGGGCTTGAAACTGGAAATCAACCTCAAGGAGAAACCTCAAAAACTTGCAAACTCATGGAGACTGAACAACACACTATTAAACAATAAATGGATCAATAATGAGATAAGAGAAGAAATCAAAAAGTTTCTGGAAAAAAATTAAAATGAACATACAACAGTCCAAAACCTATGGGACACAGCAAAGGCAGTCCTGAGAGGGAAGTTCATAGCAATACAGGCCTACCTATAAAAGATAGAAACATTTCAAATAAATGACCTAACCCTACAACTTCAAGAACTGAGAAACAACAACAAATAAATCCCAGAGCAAGTAGAAAGAAGGAAATAATCAAGATCAAAGCAGAACTGAATGACATAGAGACAAAAAGAACAAGTCAAAGGATCAACTGGTTCTTTGAAAAGATAAATAAAATTGACAAGACTTTAAGCAAACTCATCAAGAAAAAAAGGGAGAGGACCCAAATAAATAATATCAGAAATGAAAGAGGAGAAATAACAACTGATACCACAGAAGTACAAAGGATTGTTAGAAACTACTATGAAAAATTATATACCAAGAAAGTTGAAAACTTCAATGAAATGGACAAATTTCTAGAAAAGTATAATCTTCCAGAACTGAAAGAAGAAGAAGCAGAAAGTCTGAACAGACTGATAACAGCTGTGGGAATTGAAGCAGTAATCAAGAAACTCCCGGCACACAAAAGCACCTATGAAAAAACATTTAAAGAAGAGCTAACCCCTGTCTTTCTCAAGCTATTCCAAAAAATCCAAGATGAGAGAAGACTCCCAGACTCTTTTTATGAGGCCAGCATCACCCTAATCCCAAAACCAGATAAAGACGCCACAAAGAAAGAAAACTACAGGCCAGTATCACTGATGAACACAGACGCTAAAATCCTCAACAAAATATTGGCAAACCGCATCCAGCAATACATTAAAAAGATCATCCACCGTGATCAAGTGGAATTCATCCCAGAGATGCAAGGATGGTTCAATATATGCAAATCAATAAATGTAATATATCACATAAACAAAAGGAAAGACAAAAACCACATGATCATCTCAATAGATGCAGAAAAAGCATTCAATAAGGTACAGCACCCATTTATGATCAAAACACTCAGAAAAATGGGAATAAATGGGGCATACCTCAATGTAATAAAGGCCATATATGAAAAACCTACAGCCAACATCATACTCAATGGGCAAAAACTAAAAGCTTTCCCACTAAGAATAGAAACAAGACAAGGATGTCCGCTTTCACCACTTCTAGTCAACATAGTATTGGAAGTCCTAGCCACAGTAGTCAGATAAGAAAAAGAAATAAAAGGCATCCAAATAGGAAAGGAGGAAGTAAAACTATCATTGTTTGCAGATGACATGATAGTGTACATAGAAAACCCTGTAGACTCCACCAAAAATCTACTCAACCAATTAAGTGAATTCGGCAAAACAACAGGATACAAAGTCAATATTCATAAATCAAAGGCATTTTTGTACACCAGCAATGAAATAGAAGAAGAAGAAATTAAGAAAAAAATACCATTTGCTATAGCAACAAGAAAAATAAAGTACCTAGGAATAACTTTAACCAAAGAGGTAAAACATTTGTATGCAGAAAACTATACAACATTTAAGAAAGAAATTAAGGAAGACACAAATAAATAGAAGCATATACCATGTTCATGGATTGGAAGAATTAATATCACCAAAATGTCCATACTACCCAAAGCAGTTTATAGATTCAACACAATCCCGATTAAAATACCAATGATGTATTTCACAGAAATAGAACAGACATTTCAAAAATTTATATGGAACCATAAACGACCTCGAATAGCTGCAGCAATTTTGAGAAAGGAAAACAAAGTAGGAGGGATCACAATACCGGACATCAAACTATACTGCAAAGCCACTATAATAAAAACAATCTAGAACTGGCACAAGAACAGACCCATAGACCAGTGGAACAGAATAGAAAGCCCAGAAATAAGCCCATGTCTATATGGTCAATTAATATCTGACAAACGGGGCATAAACATAAAGTGGAGTAAAAATAGCCTCTTCAACAAATGGTGTTGGGAGAGCTGGAGAGCTACATGCAAAAAGTTGAAATTTGATCATCAGCTGACACCATACACAAAAATAAACTCAAGATGGATAAAAGACTTAAATATAAGTCGCAACACCATAAAAGTCCTAGAGGAGAACATGGGCAGGAAACTCTCAGATATCCCACGCAGCAATATTTTCACCGACATGTCCCATAAAGCAAGGGACAAAAAGGAAAGAATAAACAAGTGGGACTTCATCAAAACAAGAAGCTTCTGCATGGCTAAAGAAAACATCAAGAAAATGAAAAGGGAGCCAACCGTATGGGAAATATATTTGCCAGTGATACCTCAGATAGAGGTTTGATCTCCAAAATTTATAAAGAACTCACACAACTGCACCCCAAGAAGACAAACAATCCAATTAAAAAATGGGCAAAGGACCTAGGCAGACACTTTTGCAAGGAAGACATACGGACAGCCCAGAGACATTTGAAAGGATGCTCAGCATCACTAGCCACCAGAGAAATGCAAATCAAAACCACCATGAGGTACCACCTCACACCGGTCAGAATGGCCATCATAAACAGATCAACAAACAACAGGTGCTGGTGAGGCTGTGGAGAAAAGGGGACCCTAGTACCCTGTTGGTGGGAATGCAGACTGGTGCAGCCATTGTGGAAAACAGTGTGGAATTTCCTCAAAAAGCTAAAAATGAAACTGCCTTTTGATCCAGTGATTCCCCTGCTGGGACTATTCCCTAAGAACCCCAAAACACCAATTCAAAGGAACCTAAGGACCCCAGTGTTCATAGCAGCACAATTTAGAATAGCCAAGTGTTGGAAGCAACCTAAATGCCCATCAGTAGATGATTGGATCAAAAAACTATGGCACATTTACACAATGGAATACTACACAGGAGTAAGAAAAAAAAAAAAAAGAATTACTACACTTCGCAACAACATGAATGGAACTAGAGAGCATTATGCTAAGCGAAATAAGCCAGGGGGTGAGAGACAAATACCATATGATCTCACCTCTAAGTGGAACCTGACCAACAAAACAAAGATGCAAGGAAAATATGATCAACAATATTGAAAGAAAAAAGAAACCAACAGAGTCAAGAGGGAAGGAGGGAGGGGTGGGCGGGGGAAAGGAAGGGAAGGGTCAAGTCAAGGAACATATAGCAAGGACTCATGGTCAAAACCAAAGTGAGGAAGGATTGAGGGAGGGAGGTGGGAGAGGGGGACAGGGAGAAAAAAAGAAGAAAATTCCCAAATGTCCATCAACAAATGAATGGATAAATAAAATGTGGTAAATACATACAATGGAATATTATTCAGCCTTTAAAAGGGAGAAAAGTCTGATATATGCTATAACTTGGAGGAGACTTGAAGACATTATGCTAAGTAAAACAAGACAAACAGAAAAGGAGAAATACAGGGTTGAGCAAAAGTAGGTTTAATGTGTGAATACGTAAAACACAGGGCTTATTACTGTATCATCATTTATTAATTATTGTATTATTTTCCGCATGAACAACTGTAACTCTACCCTGTATTATATAAATTCACTTATGTGCGCTATCTAGAATAGTCAAATTATAAGAGAAGTAAAATAGGGTACCGGTTGGCAGGGGAGGAGGACAACGGGTAACGGGCGGTTTCTAGTTAATGTGCACAGAGTTCCGGTTTGTGATCATGAGAAAGCTCTGCCGATGGGTGGTGGCGATGGTTGCACAACACCTGGAGTGACCTTCAGGGTCATTAAGTTGTACACAGACGTGGTTAAGATTTTCAATTTTACGTTATGGATATCTACCACAATAAAACATTTAGAAGTTTTCACAGAAAAAAATATTGTTTTAAAACAATCTGAACAGTAACAAAACCTGAAGTCACTGAAGTTTTATCATTTGTGAGAGTTTTATTCCCCAAAGATGCTGTTTAACACTAGATTTTCTTAAAAAAAAAAAAAAAAAAAAAAAGGCCTGGCCAATATTTCAGATTAAGCAATCTAGAGCTTAAAGTCCTAACTGTACTCAGCATAATTATTAACTTGCCATGAGACCTTGGGTAAATCATTTAATTTCTCTGGACTGCTGTTTCTTCTCTGTCAACAGAGAAGAATTGATAAGATTTATAAGCTTATCGTAGTTAAAAATTCTTTGGATTCAATGACTCAATTAAGAATTTCCAACATCACTATTCATGAACTTATGAGCACTCACTGAATTTTCAAGACAGCAAGATCACCTCAATGTTAGATTCCTATCATAGCTGCATAGATAAGAGATTCCCTGAGAAAGCTTTCTCAAAAGACAAATGATGTTTACCTCTTAAAAATCTATATGGCTGAACACTGCTGTTCAACATATTTTCAAGTCATATTATAAAGAAACATTTACCAGAAGACTCTGTAATAATGTAGAAAGTTGCTTGGAATGGAGTAGCTATTCAGGTGAGGGAGAAAAATATGAGACTATGGCGTGTGGAATCCTAGTCAACAAACTCAAGAAGTTTTCTAACCACTTACACGAACACACACACAACTTTTCATTCTTACAATCCAATTAGATTTTTCAAACTATTTGAAAAGCCCATCTATGAAAAAGTCATTATTTTCCTCTGCCTGCAGTAGAAGATATCAAGAATTAATGGGAAATCATACCTGATATGGTTGAATTTTTTCCCGGGTGAAGTAAAGTGACATTATGCCCATGATCTTGAAGAATCTGAGACATCCGCTCCATCAGTAGATGATGGCTTCCCCCTAGGAACGATGAACAACTTCATTTTTGTCATGATGAGAATAGAAGTTCTGAGGTTGATAGGATGATAAATCCAGAAGAGGAGGGGTTGGGAAACAGAAAGATGACATTGAGCAAAGGAGATGAACTTCACCTGTCAATTTCTCCATCTCCATCTGACTAAGCCCCTAGCCCGGGCAACCCAGAGCCACCGGCCCGTATCCTTCACCTATGGCAAACTTCCAGCAAATATTCCCTCTTGGGACTGACTCACGGTCTTCATGTCAGTGTGATGGGTTTCTGAGGGTTTAGGCCTTAAGGAGTTTCTAATCCTAACATACATGCTGCATTTTAGCCAGGGTTTTATGGAGATACCATGCCCTAAAGAAATAACTGCGCTGGTAGCAGTTCTGGCCCAGTGCTATGCACGTGAGTGTGAATGCTTCCTAACTAACAATCGATGGAGAGCTAGTTCTGAAATCCTTCTCTTTGGAAGTATGTTTGCATAGGAGCCAGAACTATTGGAGCTTGAATGTCTAAGCAACAGCCATTGGAGCAGAAGGATGTGGAGTCACCCCTTAGAGCCAAACCCCATGAGACTGCAGGGTTTGGCAGGCTGTTTCTCGGCCGGAGAGTGGAGTTCGCAGAACTGAGTTACAGCACTCAGGGTAACTGTGGGTTCATAGGGCGGGCCTGCAGGACTCCACACCTATGAGCGAGAGAGGCTGGGATGCCATCCATCCTCGGACAACCCTGGGATCCTAAGGAAAGGGAAGACTGACCCTCAAGGGAGGTATAAGTGCCATCACATCAATGCCTCCTCCTAGAACCAGTTCCAACATAGGGCCTGTGCTTGAAGCTAAGCGTTCCAGCAGCAGAGAAAGATCAGGAGGGAAGGTGATGGCAAACGCCAAGAGTTTAGAGATGAGCATTAGAGGGGTAGAGTGTTAGAGAAATAATGTAACTATTTCTAAGGGATTTTTTTTTAATACCCAAACTTGTATAGTCTGAAGTAACAGGGGATTATACAAAGTACAAATCTCCAACACCTTGTGCCCACATTTAATCCATGCAAAACCTGAGAACCAGAAAGTAGGTGGTTAGCACACACGTGTCCCACCTTAGAGCGTCTCAGTGAGCCCCAGTGCATCCTGGGATGAAGACAAGGCTTCCAGCTCCTCACAAACCTCACCAGCTCTCTCTAGAATTTGAGGCAGGAGAACATGTACTTTCAAGAAGTGGGAAGCTCGTTTGCTTCATTTTCAGATGGAATGGAGTTACGTGGCTTCTTACACAGTGGTTTTCAGAGCTCCACACAGAAGAGGGCGTGAGAGCGGAAGGTTGGAGAGGGGAGTCCTGGGGTATGAAAGTCTGAGCAACTCAGGTGTGTGCCAGTTGGGACCTGGCGTGCTCCTGACACAGGCCCCTCTCTCCCCAGGCCCTTAGTTTCCTGCTCTGGGAAAACACAGTGGGGACTGAATTAGGTGGCTGACGGTTCCTTTCAGCTCCAAGGTCCCCTAATTCTTGGCCATCTAAAGGATGGGTTACCTAAGAGAGCCCGCCCACTGTCTATCAAAATAAAGCCTTGGGGGAGCCCCAGTCTAGGATGACCCCTTTATCCTGATATATGTTTCCCTTTTAATTTCTATTCACTTTGGTGCAAAAGGAAACAAAACTGAGACCACAAAATGCAGAATTAACAGTCTGAGGCGTCCTCGGGACCATTCCAGCAGCAGGGCTGATGGGAAGGGGGCATGGGAGCGACCTGCAGGTCCAAAGGGCACCCCTCAGGCCGGGTGAAGTCTCCGGAGTTCCCCTGGTTAAAATCACTACCCTCTCTCCCAGACCCCCACGGACCCACAAATGCTGGCCAGGCCCCACTGGTCGCTGCTGCCCTGCCCTCCGCCCGCCCCCGGGGTTCAGATGAGCCTCTGAATGTCCAGCCTGCTCTTTAGAGTCTGCGGCCCAGCGGGCCCCGCACTGGGCTGGATCTAAACACCTGTCCGCAGGCCCGCATCACCCCGGCGAGCGTTCTGAGCAGGAGGAGAGTGAGAAGGGTACTTCTCTTTTCTCCACAACTGTCTTGTCCTCTGGAGGTGAAGGGTCAGAGGCACCTCTCCGCCCCCACAAAGGCACCCACCGCTTCATCCTCCAGCCAAGGACACGACCTGCCCCTCCTGGAAAACCACATGGAATGACCGTCTATCTAGTCAGGGTAAACACCGTTTGCCAGAGCCCTGGCGTGGTTCCCCAGGACACGCCTCATCTCAGATTTCTTTGGCCAAACACTCACCCAGAAAGGCCACATTTAGGATTTTGGCAGCCTCTGAGAGCAGGAGCCCGGGCAGAAGGAAGCCAGCTAGAAGCAGCGGCAGCAGCCCTGCCATGCTTGCTCCTCAGCAGCAGCGGCTCCGGGCCTGTGCTGTGCGCCCTCACCCGCGCGGTGCGCAAAGGGGCCTGTGCGCCTGGAACAGAGGCGCGCGGGCAGGGAAGGAAAGGCGCCTGTGGGAGCTTGAGAAGAACTTGGAGGAGGATTCTGCCTGTCTTTCCTTCCGCGCGCTCCCTTTGGTCCACTGTCCCTCCTCCCTTGGTGCACACCCCTTTGGGTGTTCTGCCCTTACCCTCCCTAATCGGGAACAGCTATCGGGAGGGAGGGTTAGGGAGTTGACCCTTAACCACTCTGTGTCACGTAATAACCACACTCTCCCTACAGAAACCCTCTGAACCAGGAAAAGGAGGGACTTCACAGTGACTGAGCCTCACCTTCATTCGAGGGACACTTCCCTGAATTTAAGGTACTCCACCTCCTGCTAACTACTCCCTTCAACGCCTGCGGCCCTGTCCAGCCCCGAGTGCCACAGGCACCTGCATAACGTGTCTGCCAGTGTCCCAAGCTTAAGGGACACTGCTCTCTGAAATAGTGTGTATTCCTGGGAGTAGGGCATTTCTATTCTCTGGAAGTAAATCCCCAAAGAAAGCCCACCTACTTTTCCTGGATTGCATCTCTGAAGGCCTCTCTGATAGATGTCATTGATTCATGGAGAGGAGCTTCTGTCCTAAGTCTCCAAGTTCAGGCCTTCACCTGCAGGACTGACCCGCTAAAGCAGAGGCCATAGTTCTGAATGAGCATCAGTCACAACACAGGACTGGGGAGTCTTTCCAGAGTCCCCTCAAACACCAACGGGAACTCTTGTAATTCGGCCCCTCGGAATGTCAGCCCTGGCAACAACAGGCCATGCACGCCAGGGTTCACCTTTGCATTTTCTGTCCTCAGAACAAGACTGGCTTTTAGGGCAACTCTGAGACAGGTAGAGCAACGGCTTGAACGTAAGCCTTGAAACCAGGAAACTCCCGGGAGGAAATGCACGCAGTGAGCTCTTTGACCTCAGTCTTGGTAATATTTCTTTTTTTAATTTGACGTCAAAAACAAAGGCAGCAAAAGTTAAAATAAAAAAGTGAGACTACATGAAACTAAAAAGCTTCGACACAGCAGAAGAAACCATCAAGACAATGAAAAGGCAGCTTATTAAGTAAGAGAACATAGTTATAAATCATATATCTGATAAAGTGTGATTATTAAAAATATGTTAATATAAAGAGTCACACGACTCAATATAAAGAATTTGATGAATAGACATTTTTCCAAAGAAAACATACAGATAGGAATCATGTACATGAATTATTGCTTAACATCACTAATTTCAGAGAAATGCCAATCTAAATCACAATGGCTATTAGCAAAAAACAAAACAAAACAAAAAAAAAACAAGTGTTTGTGAGCATATGCCGAAAAGGAAACCCTTATGCACTGTTGAAAATAATGTAAATTGGTGAAGGCACCATGGAAAACAGTATGGACATGCCTCAAAAATTAAAAATATAAATAACATATGGCCCAGCAATTCCAATTCTAGGTGGAATTAAAACATTATTCTTGAAAAGATATGCACCCCCATCTTTACTGCAGCATTACTTAAACAGCCAGGATACAGAAGTGGCCTAAGTGTCCATCAACACATGAATGGATACAAAAGGATAGTTATAAAATAAATAAGTCATTGGGATATAATATACAGCATAACTACAGTCAATAATACTGAATCGCACATTTGAAAATTGCTAAAAGAGTAGGTCCTTACGTTCTCATCACAAAAATATTTGTAACTATGTATGGCAACAAATAGTAACTAACTGTGGCGATCATTTCATAATGCATACAAATATGAAACCATTTTGCTGTGTACCTGAAACTCATGTTACATTACAATTATACCTGAATAAAAAAATAGGTTGAGAAAGACTTTCAACAGATTCCATGCCTAGAGGATGAAGTGGGTCCTTGAATTCGGTTGATGCAAGTACTTCCATTTGTCTACAGGTGTGTTTTCAGCAGACAGTAAAGCATTACCTTATACGTGTTTGCATGTGCCTCGCAGAGCCACACCCCTTGGGGTGAGACAGGGAAGTGCGGCTTTAGCACACATCACATGACTCCAGTTCATGTATCATTCTTGTATCTGTTATAGCAAAAGATTTTTTAAAATCTAACTTCAAACTTATTCATTTATTTAACAATATATTGGTAGCTAATTATATTCCAGTTACTGTTCTGCTGGAGAGAAAGATGCAAAACACAATAATAAAGATGATATACAGGCTCCAGCACAAATAACACCCCTTTTTTATTACAAAATCTTTTATTATAAAAGCATAAGCATGTAATCCCGTAACATAAGAATATCGCACTCAAGCACACCATGTGACATTTTAGGTGAAATGTTCAAATTAAGACTATAAATTATTATACCCATACTATTACCCTACCAACCACATTCAGGCAGGCCTTACTTCTGCCAGACTCTGTATAAGAAAAGTCAATCAGGGAAGGAGATGTGAAGACCTGGGTATCAAGAGTATTAAAATTTAGATGGCTTGATTCAAACAAACTTTAAATATTTATGAATATCAGAAAACTAGAAACACGTATATGATTATATTATTCATCATGTAGTTACTACTGATTTAGAGAAGTGTTGTGGCTATTTAAAAAGAGATTCCTTGTCTCTTAAGATACATTTGGAATGATTTGCAGACGAAGTTTATGAGGTTTGCCTTGCAGGACCCCACATTTTCCTGGGTTGCTTTTTTCTCATCACTCAGTATCTAAGGAATGCCTCCCCTTCCCTTTTACCCTCGGTTCCCTCAAAGCGGAGACTTTCCAAGTCTCTTACCATGAGTCCCTCATGCTTTTGTGCTTCTTTCCTGTTGCCAAAGCTCCCATCTACCAGGACTCTTTTTCAGAATTTTCATACGTAATGTGGATCTTTCTCTTTCTGGGCATAGTTTTAGTTCAACCTTGAGCCTTCTGTGGCCCTTTTTTCTGTACTCTTGTTTTCTGGACTCACTAACACCCTACAAAGCTTTGTAGCAGGAGTTCAGTAAATAGCTCTGCTGAAATCTGATGTTTAGTTTGCTACTTAGAAGTTTTATTAGCTCTTTTGTTGTTCTGTGCACTGTCCTTGAAACCAACAGCCACAATCCCATTCCCTGCTCCCACCTGCTCAGGGATCAGGCCGGGCCCCGACTGGAGGTCACCTCCTCCATCTCCCTGCCTGCACCCCGCCTTGCTCTTAGAAAGTCACGCAGGTCATCTCTGCCCCAGGTCCTCTCTCTGGCTCAGCCAGAGACTGTAACCAAGAGACTGAAGTTTTATCTCTGTTACATTGAAGATTTCGTATTGCTTTGCTGTATAAATGTAGGCCAGGACAACATATCAGAACACAGAAAATTCTATTATGATGGATCAAGTGTTGAGGAGGTTTTTTGGCCCTTGGCTGTGTGCTTCAGACACTGCAGGTTGGTTAACCCAACACCCATTTCCAGCTCTCTTAGTCTGCACGAGCTGCCAATGCAGAGATTTTTCCAGCTTCCTTTGTACCCCTAATTAGCCAGAATTCTGTCACTCTACACATGTAGGCCCTCATTAAATATCTGTTATATTCTAAGTTTATCATCCAACCATTTAACCTCTTCCTTAGTTTGGCTTAGAGGATTTGGAGATGACCTCCCTCTGGGAAGCAGACAAATAAGCAAAGAAGTCATTGGAGGAATGGACTCTGCTTGGTGATCCCATCTAAACATAAGGAAAACTGTTTAGCCAGAGATTTCGAGTCTTTAAAGATAGGACTGGGAGAGGATGGCAGATGGTGACAATTAGTCTTCAAATACAGCTGATCGCTGTCAGCACCTGCCTGCATTTGGAGAACTTGGGGAAGTTACGCCACTTTGTAATGTCTGAGTTTATGTATGGTTGTGCTTGGTATTTTGTTTCACTAGTTATCGCCATCATTCCGACTCTCCTTGGACATTTTGTGGAGAAAGAGTGATTTTTTAATGGATTTTTTAATGAGTATGTTTATGTAGTAAACATTAGTACATAAAATTAACCATTTTACAGAGAATAATTCAGTGGCAATTAGTACATTCACTACGCTGTGCAACCACCACTTGTACCTACTTCCAAAACATTTTCATCAGCCCAAAAGAAAAGGAAACCCTGTACCCATTAAGCAATTATTCCTCATTCTCCCATTCACCTCAGCTTCTGGCAACTGCCAATCTGCCTATATGGGTTTACAGGTTCTGGATTTTCAAGATAAGTGGAATGTGTGACCATTTGGCTAATTTCACTTATAAAATTTATAAGTGAATTTATGAAATAACATAATATTTTCAAGGTTCATCATCATAACATGTATATTGATACATGTTTATACATGTTTAATTCCTTTTTTGGCTGAGTAGTATCCCATTATATGGATTATCACAATTTCTTTAATTATTCACTGCTGATCGACATTTGGGTTGTTTCTACCTTTTGTCTATTGTGGATAATGCTGCTTTGAACATGTGTGTATTTTTTTGTTTGTGTGTGTGTTTGTTTTTTAGCATCTGCTTTCAATTCTTTGGGGTATATACCTAGGAGTGAAATTGCTGGGATCATATGGTAATTCTACAATTCAAGGAGGACAGAAATCTCCTGCCTGGAGGGGGGCGGGGGATAAAGGTAATTCTGTGAAAACTTGTATTTCCAGATCAAAGGGATATATGTAGATCCTACTGCCCCTTCTCCTTTTCTGACCTCCCTGGAACATGAACGTGATATCCGGAGCTGCACAGCCATTTTCAACCATGAGGTAAAGGACAAGAATTGCAAACACATTCTTCCTGGCTTTGTAGAGCTATTGAACCAGTACCAGCACTTGCCTACTTCTCATCTATTTCTTATGTAGGGGAAATAATCTTCTTTTTGTGGAAGCCAGTAACAGAAAAATTTATGGTCTTCAAACTTTTTTCTCAACTATCCCTACAGAATACTTTAGTGGAGAATAAATTTTTAAATTGACAGCTATAATTTTTCATCATAAATGTAAATAATTGAGTAGGATGTCATTTCTGGTCATTGTAATTATGTGACTTTAAAATGAACTGCCACATCACTCTGATAAATTTGTGCAGTGGGATGTAAGTACCTCACAGTTTGATACTCCCCAGCGCCCATTCTTAAAATTGGCAATGAGCTCTTCATTGATAGTTTGACATTTTACATCATTTCATCTTTTCTTGAATTATTATTTCTATTTCATTTTCCCCAGAAAATTGAATTCTACTATATATATGTTGATGTTTGAAAGAAATGTATTGAGTATTCTCTCATAACCTTAAGCATCAAAGGTATGTATTCAAATTAAAATTAATATTTATATTTTTATAACAATAAGGCTCTAGTAGCTTGATATTTTACTGTTATTATTTTAAGTTTTAATGCTTGCATTAAACAAATTTTAACTTTGATTAATAAGCACCTAGCACAAAATATAAAATTTTATTAGCAGCACATCTCACAAGGAGGTAAGGGGCTGTATTTTCAATTTTTTTTAAGTTAATTAACTGTGTGTAGATAAACATTGTCTACTTCTGGAATGAGACAGATTGATATCAATATTCCCTAGTTATAGAAACACCAAGAAAATCATTCACATCAATAGGCAGCAGGAGCAGTAGGAGTTTTCTTACGACCATTTTGAAAATGAGGTAGCTAAATTCTTTAAACACATTGAGAATAATACACTAAAATCTCAGTAATCAACATCAAAAGTTACTTTTAATGGTTTGTCAGCTGAAAAATCATAGCTCTTACTTGAACCTTGTTAAAAACACAGAATTGCAAAACATCCTAATTATGAAGAGCTTCTTCCTCAGTCACTAGGTTTCAAACTGTTCGTCTGGTGCCCCTGTGGTTCCGTTCTGGGGCAACACGCTGCTGTGAGAATAGGGGCAGGTGGAAGGCATGCATTTCTTTTGTAAAACAAGAGTCCAGAAATTGTGAAGAGTGTGGCAGGAAACAGAACGTGCCAACCAATCACAGCACATTGGTAGGCAGAGTGGTTTTAGGACACTAGAGCATGCTGGGTGGAAATTTATCACCTCCATGGTGTCTGCCCAGGTAGCCCTTGGAAAGCCCTCAGGCTCACATTACAGCACAGGTGCCCAGCTGGAAGGCCGGGGGCCTTACCCCTCTACTGCGGCTCTCCGCCACTGCTCCCTAATGGACTTCTGGGGAACAGTAACTTTCATCTGGGACCATACAACGTTCATTAATGGTCTACGAAGGAATACGAAATAGCAAGGCCTAACTCAACAAAATTCCAGGTGATGAATTACAACATGGGGAAGGAGTGAAATAAACAACTGTTATTCGGTATTGATGTGGGACACTCTCCTGCATATTTTGCGGGCTTGCTCGTCTGTCATATCTCTGTTAGAGCACAGCTGAAGCTTGACTCCCCATGCGACAAATAAAAAAGGGAGAGTGTCACTGGGTGGCATCACTCGCAAGAATCATACCTCCACCTGGTGGTGTCCCTAGAACTTGTCTGTGGAAGCGTCTCTTCTTTGCATTTGTTCTAACATGAAATTTCTCAAAATTTATCTTGGATTTTTAAAACAGAGGGAAAAAAAATCCCCAGAAGACTGGATCACTAATGCAAGTATTAACTGATTATTACTTACTGTTATCTTGAGATGAAATTCAAAGAAATTTGCAGAAAACCCACTCTGATAAGTGTTTTTCTAATGTTCTGCACATTTTATTTGAGAACTTATCAAAACTAAGTGATTAATTGCCAGCCTATCACCCGGAAAAGAGCCTCCTTGGGTCTTAATGTCCCTAAAACAAAGTATCCCAAGACACCTTCTTAGCCAATCATCAAATGGCCCTCCACATGCATGCATGTGGGTGGGAGGGGTACACAGCCAGGACCACCACGTGGTAGGGCAGAGCATTCACGGCCGAGGGCTGCCCAGGAGAAGGGCCTGTGGGGCGGCTAAAACCAGGCAATCTTCATTCACCAAGCCCTCTGCCTTGGCTGGCTTGTGCAGCCTCCAAGAGGGGGCAGCAGGCTTTGCTGCTCTTGGCTTGATTTGCACAGTGGCTCTCCTCTTCCTCTGGGGCCATCTCTGATGGGCATACGATGGGGCAGATCAGGCACATCGATCTCATTCAAGGACTATAGGAGATGAAAGAACGTGGAAGGCACAACCCACTTCAAATGGCCAAGGATCGCTGTTTGTATTTAGCACGTTCACCCCTCTGACAGGTCTGCTTTCCATCCACAGATGTGTACCGTGGGTTTAAGACTGTCCTTGAAGTCACCAAGTCACAGGGTCACAGGTGAAACAAAAGGTCTGATCCAGCCCCTCCCTGCCTGCCTTCCACATGTGACCAAGGCTCTAGTTTCTACTGATGACCCACAGGCCATTCATTTTCTTTCTAGCACAACCTCCCCCAAGCTAATGGGGGTAACAATGCCCCTAGCTTGACAGTCAGGACTGGGAGACGTTTCTCAGGCATCCTGGGCAGAGAGGCACGCCCGTGCGACTCATGTCTGGTGAGTGGGGTTTATCTGGTTAGTGGGGTTTGTCTACTATATTCATATAGTAGACAAAACATGTGGGAAGTCTCTTTACAGAGAGCGGACTCAGCTCCAGAAACCAATTTTACTCGCTTTCCCCAGGTTTCCCATTTCTTGCCTGAAATTCCAATGTGCTGACTGGATCCAAAACAACCACCTTAAAATTTTAGGGTGAGCTTGAGAATGAAAGCTACCCACTAAGGAAGGCAGACCAGCCAGACAGACATCCGGACTATTGGTTACATCATCGAGCCACCATGCCAGCCCTCAACTGCCTGCCTACCCAAGTATTTTATTTTTCACATGAGAAAAAGAAGAAACCCTGAGTGGCTTCAGCCTCCTTTTTTCTGGTTCCTGCTCCCAGTGAATACAGCCTCCAACAGCATGCCACACATAGGGAGGTGCAACTATCCCTATGTTAGTTTAAAAAGAAATTCCCTCTTTTTTTATGACTTCATTTTTTTAATGGAAAAATTCAGAAGACAGCTCACAGTGATGAAAAGTGGACCAGGGCCCCTTCCACCTGTGACCGCCCCACGATGTCCGCAGCCGATGGGCAGAGACTCGGGAGCGCGCTGCAGGCACCCAGGCAGGGACCAGACCTGGACGCCTGCGAAGCTGCATCAGGCCCTGCAGGTGCAAGCACAGGCTTCCCGAGCTGTGATGAATTTGCAAGAGAAGCAAACAGAAAACAAAAGACTTAGCAAAGCGCCTGTCTCTGGAGTTACTCTGTGACAATGGTGGAGGCAGGATGAGGGAAAGACACTGAGAAGCTACGGGGCCGGGACACGGACGTGAAACGGATGAGTCTCAGCGCCACGAAAAGGGTGTGATGAAGAGGAAGGGCTTCAAAGGTCACGGGCCCAAATTTCCCACAGACTGGCTCCAGGAAGCAAAGAAGGCAGCAGCGCTGAGTAAAGGGCTCCCTCCGATCAAAGGAAGAAGCCAGTGAGCAGGAATCTGTGGCAAAGTTAGCACATGAGCGTGACGTGGAGAACAGGGGCCGCCAGAACTGGTGGGAGCCTCATGAGGAATGGTGACCCCCCCCCCCCCGCCCCACCGAGCCCCGTCCGAGTCTGCGCTGTGCATCAGGCCCTCTTCAGCTTCCCGGCCCCACACAGCCACCTGGCCGCCAGCCGCAGCAGCTTCCCACAGAGCCACGCGGTGCCCAGGGTGAGCACCAGCAGGAACAAGAGGACGTCCAGCAGGTACTGCTCGTACCACGGCTGCTGGAAGGCGTGGGGTTTGAGGTGCGCCGCGCCCCCTGTCTGGAGGATGTGGTCGATCCAGCCCACCAGCCGCTGGGCGGGGGTCAGGGGGTGGGAGCGCCTGATGATGCTGGCGGCCACCGCTGCCGATTTGTACCTGTCAGGAGAGACACACAAAATATGCATATACATTTATTTGGTGTATATGTATTTTGTGTATATAGATATAATATATACATATTTTGTTTATATATACGTGAACCTATATGCATTCTACATATCCATATTTATGTACATGCTGTATATATGCATGTATATACAGGGTGGGGCAAAAGTAGGTTAACAGTTGTTCATAAGGAAAATAATACAATAATTAATAAATAATAATACAAGAATAAGCCCTTTGTTTTGCACACTCACTACTGTAAACCTACTTCTGCCACACACCATCTATGAATCAGTTCGGAGGAATGGCAAAGGCCATGTGTTAAACATTCAGCCAATTCTGAGGCCAAAGCTGATTCTGACCTGGACAGAAGTTCTTGAAAGTTTTGTGACCTAAATGAAGTTAAAGCATTAAAAAATAAATTTTAAATGAGCAAGTTCTTTGGGTTATAAATCCTAGAGCAAATAATTTTATAAATTTGAATTATGATAAAGTAAAACCTCTGTTATTCTTCCTTGTGTTTGTTATCTAAACTAAATTTTTACAAACTTTAAGTGAAAGGCACCTACGTTTTGGGCCTGATAAGCAAGAAACACAGAGTCATAATTTACGGAAGTGGGGAATATTTGAGCAGCAGGTTTAAGGGTGTCAAGGGCAGTCCAAAGTCGACATTTGGCCATGGCACCTTTGAGATGCCTACCTGACAATGAAGAAGAGATGCCAGTCAGGGAGGCGAAATGATTACTGCAATGAGCAGAAAGTTTTGCAGATATCAATTTGGAAATTAACAGTAGTCCACAGAGGGTATTTTGAACCATGAGACTGGCGAGAACCCCAAGAGGTAAGTGTGAGTTAGAAATGAGATGCGATCCAAGGACTAGACCTGGGTATGTGGAGCCCTACAAAGCCTGGAGGTTGTGGGGCTGAAGAGGAATCAACCAAGGAGACCGACGAAGAGCAGCCAGTGAAGGGAGAGAATAGACTAAGGTGTCTGGGTCAACTGAAGCCGTCTCTTCAAGGACCGGGCGGTGACCAGTTGGGAGAAGTATGCTGGCCGGATGAGCAAGATGAGGACTGGCAGGGTCATTGGCTTCGGCAGAGTAGACACCACTGGCGACCTGGCCAAGAGCTGCTTCGTGCAGTGAGGGAACCTTGCTGAAGCAGGCTGAGGACAGGCTGGGACAAGAGAAGTGGTGACAAAGAACACAGACAACTCCTTGAAAGAGTTTACAGTAAAGGAGAGCCTAGGTTTGAAATATAACTATAGGGCGAGGCAGGATCAAGAGAGTTTAAGTCAAGGACCCTTCAATGTTAAATTTCTGGACTCTGATGACTGCATTGTGATTATTAAGGAAAATGCTTCCTTCATGGGAGACACATACTGAAGTCTTTAGAGGTAAAGTATTGTGATGTCTGCAACAAATTCTCAAAGGATTCCGCCATTTATATACATACAAAATATTCTGCGAAAAAATAGAGAGGGAGGGAGAGAACACAGTGAGGTAAAATGTTAATAAATGATAAATATAGATGAAGGGTAGACAAGTATTATCTTATTGTATTATTCTTGTAACTTTTCAGAGAATTTGAAGCTTCTCAAAATAAGAAGTTGAGGAAAAGCATGAGAGTTATTACAACAAGTTTCTTTTTTTAACGGATAAAAGTGTTCCAAAGGAAAGGGAAAAGCAAGTAACGCAGAAGGGAGGGGGACAGATTGCAGAAGCAAGGGCTCCGAGTAGCTGAGAGGCCGTGGTCCTCCTCCCCAGGGCAGGGCCTGGCCTCCACAGGGACTCAGCCACAAGGGCGGGTAGAGAGGAGAAGGCAGGTAGGTGGGGAGGCAGGTAGGTTGGGAGGCAGGTAGGCAGCAAGGGTGGTGCAGGTGGGCCGATAGGCTGGTAAATTTGGCAGTGAACACATGTAGAACTTCTTTGCTGATGGTTTCTCCCCCGCCCAGTAAAATAAAACAAAGAAGAGCATATGTTGAGAATGAGCGAGAAAAACATGTGGGAGGTTTGAGAAGATAAAAGTAAAACAGTAATAGGAGGGGAGCTTGGAGGGTGGGTGAAAAAGGTGAAGGAATTAAGAAGTACAAAGCGGTTGCACAGAATAGTCATGAGGATGTAAAGTTCAGCATAGAGAACTATCGTCAGTAATACTCTAATAACTATGTACGGTGGCAGGTGCGAGATGTATTGGGATGATTATTTAGTAAGTTATATTATGTCTAACCACTGGGGTGTACGCCTGACACTAATAAAATTATGCATGTCGACTGTAATTGAAAATAAAAATAAAGGAAAACCTTAACAGGAAAGTGGGTAGGGAAGATGATTAGGAAAATACAGTAAGATCGTCAGGCCTTGTTGAGGGCCCATGTCAGGCCCGTGGTCATGAACTGAAGTTGCAGCCATTCAGCGTGGATGCTCCCTCCTGATGTGGAGGCAGGCACACAGCAGTGAAGAGGGCCACAAGCAAGAGCCATCAAGGAGTCTCGGAACCTCTGGGCCAGAGGAAGGAAACCCAGAGAGTAGTTCATACCAGAGAGCCCACTCCAAAGTCCTGATTCGCAAAGGCCCACTCCAAAGTCCTGGTTCTAAGTAGCCTGTGCCACTTAATTTATTCATTTGCCAGGAAGGGCGCTGGGTTCCAAAAGGGTCTCTGGAAGATGTTGGTGCCACCCCTCGCCAGGCATCATGCTGAACAACATCCAGGGATCACTCCAGGGATAGAATGACCCTCCACCCAGAAGTAGCAGCTCTTGGCCTTTCTGGACCTTAGTGAACTCTATTGAGAATCTGATGAACGTTATAGAAACACCCTCCTGAAAATGTGTATATGCAAATACATGTTTGTTTTATACCATTGCACAATTCCAGGGATTCATAGACCTTAGGCACCGAGGTGTGCTTCTTGGGCCCTGATTTAGAGGACTCGTGTTTACTTATCCTTCATTTGTCCACCAGTTGCTTCCTGGTGCCACCATGTGCAAGGCAGTGAGAGAGGCCATGAGAAAAAAGGAAGATATGACCCTTCCCTGCTCATGGAGCTTCCATTCTTGCTGGAGGAAAGGTCAGTAAATAAATAAACAAATACATAGCAGAATTGTACAGTACAAACCATGTTATAAGGGAAATTTTATAGGATAACTGGGGTTGATCAGAGAAGGCCTCTCCGAAGAGGTGATGTTGACAGTGAACGGAAACAATGTTAAGGAACAGCTAAGGGCAAAGGCCTCTACAGGAAAGAACCATGTGTTTGAAGAAGTAAAACGAACGCTCCTTCCCCTCACCTGGCTCAAACTGCACATTAAGCACGTCAAGAGAACAAAACACTCTAAGAAAGAAACTTGTGTGAAGTTTCTTTTAAAGGCAGAAAATTCTTTCTGTCATCTGTCCTAAATTCCTCCTATCGATATATAAGGCATTTCTTTAACTTGGCATTTGGGGAAAATAGGTCAGCTGCCATCGTAACGCTGCATTTCAGCTTACTTGGGGGCAGAGGACCCTCTGGCCAGGTCCACTACGTACCGCTTGTCTCCGATGACGTGTTTCATTTTAAGAGCCAGGGTCTCCGCTGTGAGCTTCTCTACCAGGATGGAAACACCCAGATTTTTGGCTACTACTCGTATTACATTCCCAGGCTGGTCTATGAAGAGAGGGATGGCCACCATGGGCACGCCATGCTGGATAGACTCCATCACACTATTCAGCCCTCCGTGAGTGACAAACAGGCGGATGCTGGGGTGAGCTAGGACATAAAAAAGGAAGAGAACAAGGACAAAGCTTAAGAAAGAATTTCCAGAACTTGGGAAAACAGCATCATCAGGGAAATGTGTGATGAGGGAATCTAGGGGCATTTGGGGACCAATGTAAAGTGTCAATGACCTGGGAGACACTCCGTGCACCTCCTCAGAACCACGGTCTAAGACCTGAACCAGAGACGGAACTAAGTGCACTACTTCCCAGCGCTTGCCTACTGGTCTGCCCATCATCCCTCTACATCATTGTTAAGCAGGGATTTTTGCCTGATGCCTTAGCATTGCCAGTCCCTGTCATTCTGCCTTCCTCTCATTTGGAGCAAAATAAAATGTTGAGGAAGGATTTATGTAGCCCGGGGACTCAGACACCCCTAAAACGCTCGTGTAAAGTGCCATTCTGGGGTTCTGCCACAAGCTGCTGAAATACATTTGCAGGGGTGGAACACAAAACTTGTATTCCCAGCTCACCCTGTAACTCTGATCCAAACTGCAGCTATGCACACGGGGTGTCCCCAGAATGCAGCACAGGCCAGAGAGGGAACCCCTTGGAGATACCATCATGACATCTCAGACAGGACAATGAAGAATTTTGTCACATTGGATAGACACCATGGCACCTGAGCCTCACACCTCTGGCAAGGAAGAGTTAGGTCGGTGTCTACAAGTGAGTCTGTGTGTACCACCCAGGTGGCTCAAGGCCACTGCACAGAAGAGACTTCTCTCTGGTTGTGCAGAGAAATGTCCCAAAGCTTATAGGTGCCCCTTGGATGGTTCGGCTGGTTCTGATCATCTGCCCATTGCAAGAAGCCACAGTGAGCCCACTGGGATATCGCTAGTGGCTATGGTTCACTGGTCTGGGTTATGAATAAATGAAGCGACCCCAAAGGGCCAGCCTGTTCTGATGCTTTGCCTTTCGCTAACGGATACTTTCCGTTTACATGACGGTGGAGTGCCCCAGGCAGGAGTGAGAGCTGTGAATAAACCCTAAAGAAAAAGTAATGGGAGAGGAAAAGGCAGTCGTGGCTGTCTGCCTGCAGAGAGAGGGCGCCCTTACCCAGGAGGTCATTCTGAGGAAGCCAGTCCACAATTTTCACATTTGCTGCCAGTGTGACGTCTTTGGGCCACTGAGAAGGACTACACTTCCATATCACCCCTTGAGGCAGTTGACCAAAAGCTCTGTTCATCTCCTTAAGAACCTGGGATGGAATAATGTCCACAGAGGAGCCCAGGGCCACTAGGACAAAACCCGCATCTCCAAACCGGGCAATGAACTTCTCAAATTCCTGGAGAGAGCAAAGACAATGAAGCTGCTACCTGGCTGCCAATAAGACTTATACTGTTTATGGAGCGCACTTTTCCAGTGAATTCCGTGTGTGTCCCCTGTTCACAGTAAATCAAAGACTCCCCTTTCTATAGGTTACCATCTGCTGAAGCCGGTTGGCCTAAAAGAGAGATTTTCTGGGCCTTGATTTCTCAGGATCATGAGAATGGTACATGCTTTCTCTCCAGGCTTCATAATTGGATGAGTCAAATTTCAAATTCTTCTCTTATGGGTCAAGAGGGGAGAGGGGAGCTGGTTTTTATAGCGCCCTCCAGAGGACTGTATTAACACCATCCCTCCCCCTGAGCAGAGGAACCTGGGAGAGAAGCAGAGTCCCCACTTGGTCAGTAGCTGGATCTCCTCTAACCCTGCTGGGGAAGCAGGAGAAATGTGTAGTGCAGGAAGACGGTTAGCAAGGAAGACGCATGATATGTGTGTCACAATGTACACACTGTACTCTCAAGTTCTTCTCAATTTTCTAAGAGTTCCCAGCTTGCCAGTGGCAACCACCTGTGTGGCCTTTGCCAAAGGCCAGCTATGAAGTTCAACGGCATTTGTGCTCCTCTCAACCTCCACTCAATTATAATGATGTTCTCAGAGCGGGCCTCTGAGAGGGTCTGTCTTCACCACTCTGCATTTCTCTGCTCCCACAAGCTACTTCTTATGGCGTTGAAACCACTCCTCTCCCCGCTGTGGTGGCTGCTATGGGTAAGGGAAGCCCTGGTGAAAAAAAATATGATGATAGAACTCTCAAGAATGCATACAAAGCTACAACCCAGCTCAGAATGTAGAGCATCAAAGACACAAGGAGGAGCTGGATTTTTGCTTCTCGATAAAAGCCAAGAAGCCTGAGTCTGATTTTTCTGCTCCTGTTAACCAGGCTTGGATAAGATGTCAGATGGCCCATACCAGTTAGTCACTCACGCCCAACATGTGCCAGGCACTTTAATGGGAATCCTTCAAAACATCTCATCCAATCATCTCAACAATCCTGAGGGTAAGGTCATTCCTCTTTCACACACCCAGGGGCTGAGGCTCAGAGAAGGTCAGTCACTTGTTGGAGGGAACACATCAAATAAATGGCAGACCCGGAAATCAACTCAAGCTGTGTCTGACCCCGAAGTCCGAATTCTTCCTACTACACAACAGTAAAGTAGACCCGCATTTAGGGAGAACAAATGTTCTCCTCTATTGTGTTTCTCTTAGAATACTCATGGGCTGAATTCATAGTGAAAGTATCTTAGTTTTTTGGTTTATTTAGGGACACAGCACAGACTATGGAGAAAAGAATAAAAAATAATGGTAGCCTCACAGTCGGTCTTATGTTCTCAAAGATCTAATCTGCATACAAGCAGTTTGGATGTTGTTAAAAATGTCAGTTACCAGCCCTGATCGGTGTGGCTCAGTTGGCTGAGCACTGTTCGGGCCCAGGGCCCAGCTGGGGCGGTGCAAGAGGCAACCAAGATGTTTCTCTCCCTTTCTTTCTCCCTCCTTTCCCCTCTCTTTAAAAATAAATAAATAAAATCTTTTTTTTAATGTCAATTACCAGGACCCATACCTGAAGATTCTGATTCAGTAGGTCTGGGGCGGGGGGGCCTAGAATCTACAGTTTTAACAAGAATCCCAAGAGAAGCTGACAAAGATAAGCTAAGGACATACTTGGAAGAAAGCTAACACAGAGCATGACTGTGTTATTCCAAAGTACCAGAGGGGAAGGGTGCAGCTCACTGGAGTCATTTCTGACAATAAAGCAGATGTCATTGATGAGGTGCCCATAGTAGTTCCCAGTTCCCATAGATCACCTTGTTTCTGTGAAGCAGGAGATATTTGGTTGTCAGAAATATTTCTCCTCACTATAGCTCTGGCCCCAGTATCAGGCACAGCCCTCTCAAACCTTCCGCAGTATTTCTCTAAGTCAATGGTTCTCAACCTTGGCTGAAAATTAGAATCATTTGGAGAACTTTAAAAAATTCCCAATGCGCCCTGGCTGGTGGCTTAGATGGTTGGAGCATCATCTCACATACCAAAAGTTTGCAGGTTTGAGTCTAGAGCAAGGCACAAACTAGGTTGTGGATTTGATCCCCCGTTGGGGTATGTACAGGAGGCAAGAAACAGTTCCATGTTTCTCCCTTGCATCAATGTTTCTCTCTCTCAAATCCTCAGGTGAAGCTTAAAAAATAAAAATTCCCAGTTCCCAGGCTGCACTCCAGACCAACTAAGTCAGTATATCTGGGAGCGGGCCCCCAGCATTGGTACTGTATTAAAACTCTCCAAGTGATTCCACTGTGCAGCCCAGTTTGAGAACCCCATAGTAAGACCCAGTAGGCAGACGTTGTAAGTTGTTTGTTGGCTGACTCCACATAAGAGGTTATAGTATGGGGTTGGATGTGGCTTTCTGAGGGCTAAGGTTAAGAAGCTAGAACATGAGCTCCATATTTAGTAAAGCAATAGGTCTAGGGAAGAAGCAATAGTTAGAAAAGAAGACAAATAAGATTTGGGTTTCTCACTAGCCCCACCCATTCATAACAAAAGCAACCATTTGGTGGGCAAGTATTAGGGAGTAAGCACTTGGTACTGTGTCCTAGGGAAATCAGGAAGACCAAAGAACAACCGACCATGTAAAAAACGCCATAGATGCCTACACTCATTCGTGCACACATGTTAATTCAAGATGGAGCATATGCCTGTATGTAAAATCTAAAACTATGGAGCCTATAGAAAAAGCATAGGAGAATATCCTTATCACCTGGAGACAGGCAGAGATTTCTTAGATCATAAAAGAAAAAAAATTGGTAAGCCCAGGCTTCATGAAACACATTGGATTGGCCAAAAAGTCTGTTTAGTTTTTTCTATAAAATAAAAAACACGTTTTTCACCAATAACTTTACTGGTTTGGACATTTTGAGTATGTCAGCTACCTCCTGGCTTCCAGAGGGTAGAGGCCAGCGGTGCTGCTGAACACCTTGCAATGCATAAGACAGCCCCTCAGCAAAGAATTACTTGGCTAAAATGTTAATAGTACAAAGAAACTTCACAAACCACTTTTGACATGTTCGCTCAGTCACAGCACCTTTTCCATACACTGCACAAATCATTTTGCTTTTCAGTTGCATTTTTACCTTTCTTGAAATAATAAAGTGTAATACTTTGAAAATATTGCATGTGTTCTTCCATCTTCAATATTAAAATGGCTGCACAAAAATGCACCAACTTTGATAAGCTTTTTTTAAACGCATGCTGTATGACAGCTGTCACAATACAATCTAACTGTTTGTTTTGATTGGAGTTAATGACAACTAAGTGTCACTAGAGTCATTGTATAGAAAAAACTAAATGAATTCTTTGGCCAACTCAATAAATGCTTCTGTTCATCAAAGCACAAGAGTAAGAAAGTGAATAGGCAATCTGCAGATTGAGAAAAGTATTCACAGTTGAAAAGATCTTTATCCAGAACATGAAAAGAAGTTTTACAAATATACAACCAAAAGAAACGCAACCTAACTAAAAGTGGGCTAAAGACCAACAAACAATTCAAAAGAGAAAGTATAAGAATGGCTATCAACAGATAAAGAAATGTTTAACATCACCAGACAACACAAGAAAAAAATGTTTAACATCAGTGGACATCAAGGAAATAAAAATTGAAACTGAAGGCACCATTTCACACCCACCAGAAGAGCTAAAATAAAAAGACTGACCACACCCAACGGTGCACGTGGAATAACTAAAACTCTGCGGCAGCGCTTGGTGCTGCATAAAAATCATACAATCACCTTGTAGGACTGTTTAGCTATGTCTTTAAAAGACAAACCTACCCGCTACGTCTGAAAAGAAAGGTTTTACTTACTGGAGGTATTGGTTCAACAGGTTTGCTCATTAAACCTCCGATATAGACAGTGTTAGGAAGCAGGGGTCGGGCAAAGTCAAAGGCAAAGTCAGAATTAACAAACCACAGTTCTGCTTTTTGTCGAAGATGAGACAACACTGGCCTAGAGTCTTCTGGAAAATGTTCTCTTATTGTGTCGTCGAACTGGGCACTGACGCACCATTCCCTCCAGGCAGAAATGAAGAGCAGCAGAAAGTTTGTCACGCGGCCCCAGAAATCCATGTGGTCTGTCAGCAGGGAGTCAAACACTGGAACATAAGACACAGGCTCAGGCAGCCCAAAACCCTTGGCTCCGAAGGTGAGAGGAAGGACGGCCACCAGCAGCCTTCCGAGTTTCTCAGCGATCAGGAAAGCACAACTATCTGTGCCATCAACCACCAGCAGGTCGAAACTCTCGTTTTTTAAGGGGCCTATGATGTCTGTCCTTCTCAACAGATGACCACACTGAGTTGCAAGTAGCTTTATCAACTTCAAAAAGCTGGTAAACGAGTTTCTGAAAAACAAACGTGAGAGATATTTAATATACAAGGAAAGTGTTCATCTGAAAACACTGGAAAGGCCCCCGTGGTAGCCACCTGGCCCTGTGCGGCTCTTGCTGGAGAGCTTTCTGCTCCAGACACTGGCATTTTCTTGCCCTCCAAATCCACCGTACCATTTCCTTGTTTTTGTCTCTGCTACAATTCTTTCAGAAGTTAAGAATGATCCTGCTTCCTTCCCTCTTCCTTTCTTCTCCTCACCCTACCTTCCCTCTTCCTTTCTGCTTCTTACCCTACCCATCCTTTGATGCCATTCTTGCTCTTGGAGACGTTACCAGCCACAGCCTGATGGGCGGCGGCCCTGATCTCTCAGGGCTGGAAGCTGAAGTGCATCTCGGGTGCTCTGCTCTGTGTGAGCTTGAGAGGTCAGTTAACTTTGCCCTCAGGGCTGCCTGTGTGTAGGACTAGTTTTCCTGGGGATGTGGCATCCAGATGACAGGTCCCATGAACCCAAGGGGAGGAACGGTGTTTCCCACGGGGACAGCATCTTCTCTTAGAAGCACTGTGCCAGGGACATCTGCCAGGCGCCCACTTCCAGCTCTTGGGTGAACAGATGTCTTCACACACCAGTGGCAGAAAACCCTTCCAAGAGGTCACTGTTGCCTGGGACCCCTTTAAAGGCCAGTGAACAAGGACTTGGTACTTTGCTCTGCCCTGAAGTGCCTCTTCTGTAAGGCAGATTCTTAAAACCCCTCTGAGTATTAATTTCTGGCAGCCTTTACTTGAGGCTTTATTTTGTTTTGGAGGGGATTTATTTAATTTTCTTATAAGAATGTTTAAACGTGCGCTGCAGTTATCAACTGACAGAGAATCAGCTGACAAGTGATAATTCCCAATTTCCCAACACCCAGGAATTAAGCAGGCAATTCGTGAACTGAATGATCAGCAGTCCGCTGTATGACCGCCTTTTGCTGAAGTGAAGACCCAACCCTTAGAACCCTGCCCTGTGTCCTCTGGAGGTGACATGAGGGAGTGGGGCAGAGACATGGCTTGAGGAGGGGCGGGGCAGGTCTCTACCCTGACTGTTTAATTTCTGTAGAGCTTTACAAATACGTCTACACTGTAGTGCACCGTAAATGCCTTACACAAGACATGCTGAAGGCAGGACGCAGGTGTAAGTACGCTTTCCGAGCTCCTCAGGTGATTATGATGGGCAGGCAGCACTGAGAAGCCCTATTCTGAAGGGAGACAGAAAGCAAATGTGCATTTACTCGAACAGAAGAGCACAGGGTATACCATCCTTCATGTATTTTTTAATGGTTCCACTATAGTTAAAACTGGTTCAGAAGAAAGAATAAGATGAAATGAAATAATGTTGAGACAAAAGTTCTTACAACTTCTGTTTCAATAAAGAAAATCTTTTCTGGAAGGATAATTGCTAATCATTGTCGGGGACCAGCAAGAGACGTTCTTTTGGCATTTCAGCCGTGAGACAGGCATGGCAGGCACCTTCCGAAAGGTCATGAGGTTATGAGGGGAAAATAAATGTGACCAAAGGCGCAGCCCGCTTAGGCTGGAGTAAATTTGATGAGCGTGCTCTCACTGGATCATTTGGAAAATGAAAGCAGAAAACAAAGATTAACAGTTTTTAAAAAGCAGCTAGCTTAAGCCATAAAGAGAGTGGTCTGAGGAGCTTCTTGAATTCAATGCTCAAATCAGGATAATTTTCCTAATTACATATGGGACAAATGAAAGCTTTCAGTAACTGTCAAAAGCTAGTCAAGAAACATGTGACATATTTTGGTCTAGTATTTTAATAATTCTCTGTAAGGCTGAGAGCAAGTCCCAAAGTTCTGCATTGAATGGATGGTAAATGGCCAGGTTCAGGTTCTGCAAAAATTGATCTCTGCAAGTGACCCCATCATCAAAAAATGTATGAAAGGAGAGAGGAACATAAGGAAGTGAAAGTCAGTAACTATGGCCTCATCCAACAATGAAATGGTGAGTTGCCCATCACTGTCTCTGAGCTGGAGAGATTAAAGACAAAGTGAGGAGTTGTTGTTTTTTTAAATTGATACTTAGGGTGACATTACCCCCACTCCCAGTTCCTTTGTTCACTCGGGCTTGAAAGCTGAACATGCTGGGAATGTTAACCAGAGTGCCACATCCCCAAGACTGCCTGAAATGACTGGTTCAGGGATGATCGAGATATTCCCATCCATTCATCCATTCATTAGTCTCAAATAATAATTGCTTTACATTTACTTAAAATAAAAAACTATTACCTTCCCAGGAAAGATTCCTTTAAAAAGAAATCAATGTATTTCTTGAATTCCTGTTTATAGTCTTCAGGAGGAGACCAACGGACAACTTGGTATTTTTCTTCCCTTTTAAAACCTAAGAAGAAACCGAAGAGAAAAATCAATTAAATGTCACACACCTATAACATATTACAAGGAATGTTGAAACCCAATTTAGCCCTTTCCCTTATTTCTCAGAAAATTTCTTCTCTAAAATATCTTTATTGAGATACAATTCACATAGCGTAAGTTTACCCTTGAAAAGTGTGCAATTTAGTGGATTTTCGTAAGTCTGCATGGCAGTGCAACCATCACCACAATCAATTTTAGAACATTTCTCATCCTCAAAAGAAATCTCCTGCCCTGGCCGGGCAACTCAGTTGGTTAGGGTATCAACCCCGCGCCAAGGTTGCGGGTTTGACCCTGGCCAAGACATATGCAAGAACCAACCAGTCAGTGCCTAAATAAGTGGAACCACAAATCCATGTCTCTCTCCCACATGTATACTCGCTTTCTCTAAACTCAATCAATAATAATAAAAAAGGAAATCTCAAACTTATAAGCAATTGCTATTATTGTTCTCAGCTTTCATTTAGTTCTTTAGATGCAACGTTCTGTAGTTCCTTAAACATATTTATAATCACTGATTTAAAGTCTTTGCCTAGTAAATATGTTGCCTGGGCTTCCTCAGGACCAGTTTCTGTTCATTGCTTTCTGATGACATATTTTTCCTGATTCTTTGTATTGTATGTCTCATAATTTTTTGTTGTTGTTGAAACTGGACATTTTGAATAGCATATTGCGGCAACTCTGGAAATAAGATTTTCCCCCATCCCCAGTTTATTATTGCTGCTCTTCCTTGTTGTTGTTGATGTGGCCGGTTAGTGACTTTCCTGAACTAATTCTGTAAAATCGATTTTTCTTGTCACGTGCATCCCTGAACATCTCTGATCAGTTCATTAATGATCATCTCATAATTAGGCTGAGATTTCCTCAAATGACTTACAACTAACTGTAAGAGTCCTAGCCATTGCCCAGGGGAGTGTGTGTGTTGGGCACACATTCAGTGCTCTGGCAGACGTTACAACTCGGCCACCGCCTTCATTTCCTGAGTGTTCAGAGATCCGCAGTTAGCTGATAGTGAGCTGTTAGGACCTTCTCAGGTCTCTCTTGAGCATGTTCACAGCCCCACATATGCACCCAGCCTTCTCGATTCCCAGGAATATGTCAGAGCTATTCAGAAGCATCTTCTCAGCTGTGTCACAATATTGGTTTAAACATTCTGAGTTTACATTATTATGACTGTGTAAAATTTATTCACTTTGGAGCCAAATAGTATATTATCATTTGGTTTCCATTTGTGTACTTTCTTGCCCCCAGAATGAATAATCACCTTCCTTTTTTATTTGCTTAGTTTTGTTTTATTTTGTTTCTGGGTCTATTGGTCTATCTCCCAACTCCCTCCAATATTCTCTTAATACAATTTTCAATAAGGTCAACTTTTTGAGTAATTTTTTCCCCCAGGAAAGTGTTCCTCCTGGATCCTTCCTTTGATCCAGCCTTGACTGACTGTTGTCCTGACCAACTGCACAGCTGATATTTTACAGCATATCTTCAACACTTTTGTTTAGTCAAGTCTATTCCCTGACATTTGGTCTTCCTCTTTCTTGGTTAGCCTGTTGTTCTGGTCAGACTTAACCCTTCTTCTTGAGAAATTTAAAGTTACATGAAAAGCAAAGCCTTTGAGACTATTTTATTGTAAAATCTTGTTGATTTTCTGTATGCAACGCCAATGCTAAGAAGCTGTATGTCATTTTTAGTCTTATTCATCATTGAAGTATATGAAAACTTTTAGGTTGCTTTTTATTAATCATTGGTATTCTGAAATTTTACCATGATTTGCCTTGCTGTAGGTCATTTTTTTATTCTTTGTGATAAGTGCTGGGTGGAGCCTGTCAATAAGAGGACTCCTGTATTTTAGTTCTGAAAATTTTTCTTGAGTCGTTTTTTGATAAGTTTCTATTGTAATTTCACTGCTTTCTTTTTCTGGAATTCTTAATCAATCTTGATCCAATCTTCATAAACTAGAGGTGAGATTTCAAACACCATAAATAGAGCAGCATTTCAATCAGGGGAATGTGTGTGGGGCGTTGGCCTGGACGGGCTGAAGGGGAGGGTGCGGGGCAGAGAAAGAGAAATGTCGGAGATGGTCAGAGCTGAAGAGCATGTCACACTCTCTCTGCTAAAGTCATAGTTTAAGACAGACCTTTGAATAAACATGCACCAACACACATATCTTTTCTTATTATATCTATTGAGAGGCCTAAAATGAAGTTTTGCAGAAAATTTAACATAGGCAAGGCACTCACAGCTTATCATCTATGGAAGGAGGGTCCAAACACTACTCTCCAGCACGGTCACCATCAGTCACTGTGGCTACTGAGCCCTTGAAATGTGGCTAGTGTGAACTGTGAAATATGCACCAGACTTCCAAGACAATGTAAACAAATGTGAACTAGCTCATTAATGATTTTTGTATCATTTACATGTTGGAATGATAATTTGGATATATTGGGTTAAATAAAATATATTAAAATTAGTTTGACCTGTTTCTTTAAAAAAAATTTTTTTTTAAATCTGGCTTCCAGAATTTTAACAATTATATATGTGGCTTGTATTTGTGGCTCATGCTATATTTTAATAAGACAGTACTAGTCCACAGAATAAGAAGCTATGATACCTGATGAGAAATGAGGTTCACTAAGTTGAAGATAGGTCACATCATGCCCATGATCTTGAAGAATCTGAGACACCCGGTCCATCAGCAGATTATGGCTTCCCCCTAGAAGCAAGGCTTCAGTTTTGTGAGGTGCATAGAGAGGGAGGATGGGGCATCAGGGCAGCTGCTGAATGAGCCCTGGTGAGATGGTGAACAGAGTTTCATTCCTCTCTTCGTTTCCTATTTAGGCCCTCAGAGTCCTTGCTGACTGATTCCGGGCTTACTGAGCCTCGCCTCTAGCAATGCTCTACACGGTTTCCCTGTCCTGTGACCCAGGGGCTCCGTGTCAGTGACAAGCTTTAGGTGGGCAGAGAGCTAAAGCATTCCTCCTCCCAGGAAATAGACTGCACTTTAGTAAGGGCCGTGCCCCTTAATTACGTACCACACGTGGTGGGGGGCACGTGGCCTTTCACAGCTGGCAGCAAGTCAGGGCTATTGTTGAGTCCCTCTGCACTGGAGGTCTTCACCACAGGGAAACCCAGAAAGTGGTTGGACAGTGACCCCAGGAGGCAGTCATGCAGAGAAGGAGGTGGAACTAGAAAGTTCCTTGTAGTATGAATACTTCCAGCAGGAGGTATTCGTTTGGGGTCTGAGCGTGGCTCCACTTAAAGTGAGACATCTTGGGATACCTGTAGCCCACCGTCCAGGCCCCCTTAAGAAACCCGTGGGGCCTGATGGGCATGAAGGAATATGGAAAGACCTATAGAAACTTGGTCCCAGGACTGGGGCTCAGGCAGGCTGCCCGTTCTTCCTGGCCTGCTGTCAGCTCAGAGAAGCCCTGGTGCTTTCCCTAAGGGCGGCTTTCTTGTAGCCACGGCCTGACAGCTCCCAGAGAGAAAGGTTCCTCTGCCCAGCGGCCCAGTCATGCTAGCTCCCTGATGCCTCCCAACACTCACCCAACAAGGTGATAGTCAGGATTTTGGCGCCTTCCAGGAGCGGGAGCCAGGACAACAGGAAGGCCAGAAGCAGCGCCCGCTGCGCAGGCATGCTGGCTCGCGCTGCACCCTGCCGAGGAGCCAGAGGCTGCATGTCTCCGGGAGCCCGTGCTCCCTCAGCCTCACCAGCCACCACGACACACTCCTAGCGCTGCCGGGAGCGTGGCGTCTGCTCCTAGTAGGTCAGAAGTTTTTCTGGCCAGGCTTCTTTACCAATGAAAATTAACAGAACCCAACATGTCAAGGTAGCTCTGAAGAGAACTTGAAGGTTGATCTTTGAAACTACAAGTCAAAGGGTTTTTGTTTCTTGTAGTTGATAGATAACTGGCAGGAATAAGTACTTTTCTGCTGACTGTCCATATGAAAACAAAGTTTCAAAATAAAATCCAACTAAAACAGAAAAAACATCTAGTACTCAAAATAAGGGATATGAGAAATGCAATGTTCAAATGTTTGTGTTGTTTAAAAAATAGTGCTATTTTATTCATTTGAACTATGTTAAATGCTCTTGGAAACTGGAGAAATAATGGTAAACAACAGTATCCAATGTGTGCCTACTGTCTATCCATAGACAGGAATTCGGGATGTCAGAGCAGCAGCCCATTCAGGTGGAACTGGGGCTGAGGCCTGACTGGGGAACATACGGAGTTTCCCTGAAACCCTTTGGTCCATTCCCATTGGCGCCCGGGCTTACAAAACACGGTCACGCTCTCCCCTGGAGGGCGGGGCCTGCATGAGGCCCCCTTCCCTGGGGGTGGTCCCCGTCAGACAGGCCTGTGGACACTTCCAGGACCACTGGATAGAGCTCAGGGCTGAATGAGGCGGTGGCAATGAGACCTACTTAGGGAAGCAACTTCATGGCAACCAAAGCAGAAATAGTTTATAAAATGTCGACGTGGTTGAGAAAATGTACACTCAGCATTTAAGAACTGACACCTCAATATTGAGTCTTCCTATCCGTGAACATGGAATCTCTCTCCATTTATTTAGTTCTTTGATTTCTTTCAGAATTTTGTGGGGGTTTTTTACTCATACACAATTTATTTTTTTTTTTTTTGGCTATATTTTTACTTGTTTTTAATTTTGGGGGTGCTAATGTAAATGGTCTGTGTTTTTAATTTCAAATTCCACCTGTCTGTTGCTGGTATATGGAAAAGTGATTGATTTTTGCCTATTAACCTTGCGTCCTACAAACTTGCTATAAGCATTTATTAGTTCTAGGAGGAGTTTTTTTTGGTTATTTCTTTTGGATTTTCTATATAATCATGGCATCTGCAAGCAAAGACAGCCCTTTTCTTGTCTTACTGCATTAGCTAGACTGTTAATGGTGGTGTTTTACATTTCAAACTTTTGATATATAGAAAAGCAACTCTGTTTTCTTGTTCCACCTGGCTAGAGTTCCATCGATTTTATCTTTTGAAACACATAGCTTTTCGTTTTGTTGATTTTTGTTTTCCTGTTTTCAATTTCAGTGATTTCTGCTCTAGTTTTTATCACAATTACTTGTGTTAATTATAAACACAGGATAAAGTAATATGGAACTTAAAGTACATCTTAAAGCATTTATTTTATAATATCTGTTAATAAATTTCTAAGAAACAAAGAATGCTTTAGTCTACTTAAGAGTTTAATCTTAAAGATAGTATGATACAAAACTCATAAATAATGAGCAAAATTCTTAGTAACTTATAGAAATGTACTTTATTTCATGCAAAGCTACATAATTTTCTATATTTTAACAGCTAATCAAATAAACATTTCAAAAAATGTATTACATCACAATAAGTTAAAATACTACAGAGCAATTGCAAGCCCATGAGTTTGTCAAAACCAAACTGGAAACATTATGCATAGATAAGGCCAAAGATGCTAATTTACTTAATAGATAGCACTTTGCAGCTTTTTCCAAATACATATTTGAAAATGTAATGAGAATTTGCAGAGAAAAATAGTTAAATCCACAACCCACTGATCAGATATACAAATCAGGTAGTAATAGCTGATTAAAGATAAATTTGGCATCATGCACCAAAATAAACATGATGAACATTTTGAAAAAGTATGATCAGATACACATTTGAAAAAGGCTTATCTTTTATTTCACCTAATCCATTGAATTAGATAATTAGCACATACTTTATTAATGCAACACAGAAATTAGGCTTTTGTTATACTTTGTTTGGGTACTGGTATATATAAAAAGATACTAAAGAGATATAGGAATATTTCAAATTCACACGGGACTAGTGAACTTTAGAATATTGCCCTAAGGAAATAGGTTCTGGGCAGAATTTATTTGAGAAAGGTTTTTTTAAACTACTTAAAAGCAATACTACAATTAGTTACTTACAAAACATTTTATAAAAATTAAATACTAGGAAGTAACATCAGTATCAGACCTCTTTTTCAATGGTATAATTTATAAATATATATTAGATTACAGTAATTTAAAAGACAGGTCCACATGTTCTCTACCTTCTAAAATGAGAAAAATTCTTCAAGCTTGTTTTCAAAATATGGACAAAAACAAATCCATTGGATTGCATTTAAAAAATAAATACACAGTCTCTCCCCTACAACTTTGTGTACTAAGTAGGGAAGATGCTAGCCAACTTCCTTTTGAGAAATACAACTCTAAGCAATTAGGTTGATAATATTTATATCAACAATATCAACTCAAAATGGTGTCATAAAGTCAGTTAATAAATTTTGACTTTTCCTTGTATGTCTGCCATAGCAAGACACTTTTTTTTCTCCACTAAGCACACTAGAATTACTTTTTGCAAAAATAACTTGAGATCAAAATAACCACAAAGGATTTTTAGGGGGAAAAAGTTAATTTTCCCCAGGGAATGTATTAAAAACAAATGTCTTTTAGGATATCCATGAGAAGAATGTGTCACTTTTCTTGCTTTATTAACACACTTAATATTACACCAAGGCTTCCATCAACCTCAATGGACAGATCTTTTGAAAATGAGAATAAAATTTTAGGAATATTGGGCTGAGCGTGAAAGAAATGAAAGGTGAGGGCATGTTTCCAGGGTGGTGGGGCTGGGGACAGAGCAGGGCTAGGGCCTGCTCTGAGCCGCAGGTGGCTCACAGGACCTGGCTCCCTGGAAACTGGACAAGGAGCTACCTGCCGGGGCTTCCAGGAACAAGTCACTGACTTGTAAAGTACCCTGTACAGAGGGAATTCCTATTTTAGGAGGCCGACTCTAACCCTCTTATATGTTCCCACCTCTCCTAATAAAAATTTTAACAGTGATGTCATATTGATGAATTCCTTTCATTAAAAAAAATGTCGAGTGTGTTTTTTTCTTCTCTTTTAATCCTCATCTGATGACATTTTTTTCGTTCCTTTTAGAGAGGAAGGGAGAGACAGAAATATCAATGGGAGAGAGAAGGAGCGATTGGTTGCCTCCCATAAGCTCCTGGACCAGGGATCAAACCTGCAACCTAGGTACGTGCCCTGACCGAGAACTGAACCTGCAACCTTTTGATTATAGGATAATGCTCCAACCGATTGAGCCACTCAGGCCAGGGCAGTCTCAAGATTTTTAACATTTTTTGTTTTGCTTTTTTAACAATCACTGCTTTTGGAAATACATTTTTATGCTAACACATTACACTGAGAACAATTAGTTTTACTGAAGCGCCCTCCTTAGCAATCTGAAAGACGACACACAACCAGCACTGGTCAAGTTTACATTCAGATGTCATGCAGTTGCCTAACAAAACATGTTTCACTACTTTAGGTGAAAAACAGCCATTTAACTAGTGGGATTTGTAGTTGAAACTAGTTCCTTTTGAGTGTACTGTTATCAAAAACAACTGTGTACACAAAACTACAGAAGAATAGAGGGAAAATACAATAAAAAATAACAGAAGAAAAATCTGTCAAGACTAAAAGCCATACTCTAAAGAGAGACCTCATAAAGAAAGGAAGGTGTAAGTGGAATGAGAAAGGGAAGTTAAGCCTCTACACCCATTTTCTTCTTATGTTTAGAATTCAATACAATACAACCCAATACACTTTGGAGATTCAAGTATGTTAAGATTTTTCAGGGATAAGTTTTGTCTCTTAGTGTAATTGTTCTTGTGATTTTCAAGCATGGTCCATTCAAATCACAAATATAAAACTCACGCAACTGAACTGTGTGAATTATAATCATGGAGAGTATGTTTTTTCTTTTAAAATGGTAACCAACATACCATCAAGAACACTCCCTAAACCTATTAGTTATAAAAAAGTTATAAAAAAGTGAGGTTTGCTATTGTACATAAATTAAATTCCTTCATTAATATGCTATAATATACTTAAGAAAGCACACACTGCCTTTCCCACCCACATTTCATTTCCTTTGGGTACACACAAAGCATACATTTAAGAACTGAGCATCTAATCCAATGGAAGAGTCCAAAAACAAATCAACTGGCAGCAATTTGTTTTTGAAGGTTTATATTGCCAGGCTCTCTGATCTGTTTTTTATAAATATAGAACCATTGGATATTTTAATTTAGCTCTTGTGAAACAAGGGCCTCTTGTGTGATGCAATTATTCCAGAGCCCTTGTATTCATTTGGTAAGAGAATAAATTCTAACAATTAGGCTTATACCTTATTTCCTATTTAAATAATAATTTTTACAAAGATGCCATACTGATAATGGATTATTGACAGAGTAACAAAACAATGTGCAACTTACAGGTGATTTATGAAGTTAGTGGATTATTAATTACTCTCTGCAGTGATTATTTTTAATTACTGGCTTACTGAATATCCTTCTTTAACAATTATAGAAAAATAATACAGAAAATTTAATCAGGTAACTATTATCACGTAGAAAAGACATCAAAAGGTAACTGCTGGAAGTAACACTTCAAGAGATGTACTTTGCATGTAAAGTGTATTAATTTCATAGTAATATTTTGCAGTAGATGTTACTATTTTAATAAATTTTTCAAAAAATAAATCTTTTGTACTTACTATAGTCTTTTAAACAAGAAGGCTTAATAAATATTAACTTAGTTCCCTGGCAATAAACTCTTAGCTTTCAGGGATTAAATCACTGTCTTCTGAACTCACCTAGCCAGGTTAACTTTCCAGTATGATCATATGTAAAATCCTGCAAGATTAATTCTCCTTAAAAAGTTGAGTACTCTGGATCACTTAACTCAGAAGTCGTAAGGTGATCTACTGTTCATGAAGTATATTTCAATTATTATAATCATAAAAACTTAACAATAAAGGCAAGTAGTATATTCCCTTCCACTTTCCTATCAATTTATCTTCGGGCATTATGAGTTATAGAACTAATTGGATAATTTCTTCTCTTTTTCTGCTTCATTTTTACAACAGTATCTGAGTTTTATGACAAAACCTGATAAAAACATTATACTTAAGGAAAATATTCCAAAGACTAAATAATAAAACAATACTATTTTCATAGGACTTCTGGTGAATTTTCCCAAGAGAGTTTTTGCTTTGGGGACTTGTAAGATTCTCTGTAATAAAAAGAACCTAGATCCCTCTGTGGGGTGGTCACTTCCCCATCCAACACAGCTAACAGCTAACTTTGTTTTCTTTTTAAGCTCCACACGTAAACCTCAGCTCAATGCCCTCACAATAGCTTTGTGAGGTAGATCAGGAGGTAAACAGCGAGTTCCTTCTTCATTTTACAAATGAAGAAACTGAGGCACTGAAAGGTTCCATGACTTGCCCATGGTATTCAGAGGTCAATCATGAAATTACAATCAGCACTGAATTCCCTCTGCTCCTGGCCTGCTGCCCTGTACCACACGTCAGATGGAGGCTGCGTGTGCGCGATCTCAAATGGACACTCTACATGACCTCTGACTAAGAGGAAGACCTATCCATTGATAATTACTTTAAAAGGGAGCCAATCAAAAAAAATCATAAAAATTGAAGAAAATTAGATAATAAGATACACCATTCCTTTCAGTATCTGCATAGATCTGAGTCTTTAGAAATTTACAGGATAATGCTAAGTAAAGAGGAAAACAAAAATTAAAAGTTATGATTCAGGGAAAGATTATCTTCAAGAAACATACTATCATATTGTTAGAGTGGCTAAATACTTCCTCTTCAAACTGGAATACTCAGGAGTGAAAGCGAGCACTATGAAAATCGCACGGTAGTAGGCCGTCAGCAGAGACGGCAGCGGGCAAGCTCAAGTGCAGGCACCGTGGGGCGACTCCACAGCACGGCTCTCCTGAGGCCTGCAAACATCTTAGGAACATAAAAGCTCTGCAAGCATGTTGTGCTCAAATGCATTCACTGTGTAATGTGATGATTTAAAATATAATACCTAACTCTAACTTAAACACAAAGATTAAAAAAGTCAATTTAAAATAATTAGCATGTTTGACCAATAAGCTAGTACACTCTTCCGCTCCCATACGCAGGCATGCCTCATTTTATTGTGCTTCGCTACATCTTACCCCACAGGTGGCACTTTTTTTATAAATTGAAGGCAATACCCTCCACCAGCAAAAAGATTATGGCTCACTTTATTGCAAGACTCACTTTACTGCTGTGTGATATTGTTTGGGACCGAATCCACATCTCCAAGGTATGCCTGTAGTTTTCTGTTTTCTATAAACTATAATTTAAGTGTTAGTAATAACACAAAATGGATTCACTTTTTACCTTTGAGTAACCAGATGTTCTTTTTCAAAAAGCATAAACATGCACCTTAAAAATTAGAGAATTTTGTGGGAACCTTTGGTTATTAAAAAAAATCCTACTATTTACAATTAATGTGTAGGACTCTCCTTAGATGGTATAATCAAAACAAACCAACACATTCAATGATAAAGGTGAAATGAAATCTTTTACAAAGCAATACCAAGAGCATACAACGATTTCCAGTTACTACCAAAGAATGGAAGAATTATACACACGCTAAGACACTAACACCATCGGTTGAAGTGTAATCTTAATTGTACATGCAAAAACCTCACTAATAGACATACAGAGTTGAAAAAGAGCTTTTTACATTCAGTTATGTCTGTAAGTAAGCCTTGTTCTAAGACATAGGTTTTGTAAATATGGATACTTGAGGTCTCCAATTCTTTGGGAAACAGAAGCTTAACATATTCTTTAAAAAGAGCAAAAATGTAAATCAAAATAGAATTGTATCATGTTATTTAGTTTGACTTAGGGCTGCATCAGAGCTTTAAATCAACTTTCCTGGAAAAGAAAATCTGAAACAAACTGAATTACATGATCTCAACATAGTGATCTTTATCATGAATTAAATCCCTCCACTATAACTGTACTTCTAAGGCAGACTCTTCAGAAAAGGCATGTAATAAATTCTTTTAGAAAAGATGCTACTCTATTCAATGCAGAATAAACTATTATTACTAAGATGTGATTAATTTTCAGTGTATTTTTTATCCTGACACTTTTCACTGAGAATACAGTGTAAATTCTAGGGTACACAGACGTTCATAAAGACTGAACTGATGTGTTGATTTTGGTTAGTTACTCCATAGATTCTTTCCAATTTTAAACATCATCAAATATTCTGCTGCGAGACATCGAGAGGTATCGTCCACCAGGCTGATACCTGAAAGATGGATAAAGAAATGATATGAGGTATCAAAAATAATAAAGGAAAAGAAGAAAATAAGAAGACATTAAAAAGAAGTGGCTACAAAATTTGCAAGCACTGTAATATCTCTCCAGCAGTTGAAAGCAGGAATTTATTTTCCAAGGATATTATCCCAAAGGGATTTATATAATTATAAATCAACCAACAACTAACTGTTTAGGGCCTAGAGTGCATGTATGATGGGGAGAGAGGTAAAAGAAGAGGCGTGGAGAGATGTAAAACACAGTATGGAACTTACTCTTGATTAAGAGGAAAACCTATCCATTGACAATTATTTTAAAAGGGAGCTAATCTAAAAAATATCATAAAAATTGAAGAAAATTAGATAAATAGGATACACCATTCCTTTCAGTATCTGCATAGATCTGTGTCTTTACAAATTTACATAATGCTACTCTTGATTTAACAACCACTCTTGATTGTTGAATATAAACAGAATACAGTTTTGCTATTTATAGGCAATAGTATAGCAAATATCTTCATGAACATCATATTTGCTTTTGTTTAATGATTTCCACATAACACTGTGGCTAAAAACACAGACTATGTAGCCAGAGTCCTGGGGTTTGAATACCTAACTTTGCCATCACCCAGACTCTGTGTGACTCTGGGTGAGTCGCTGAGCTTCTCTGGATTCAAATCCAACTGGATTTACTGCCACAGAATGATAGAGTATCATTGTAAAAGTGCTTAGTGTAGTGTCTGACACCCAGTCATAGCTAGGTGGCTATTGCTCAATAAGATAAATTTTATACATGAGGTTATCAGAAAGAGGCATTATTAATTTAAGATTCTTATTATCAATTTCAATTCTTGCTTATTTATAATGTCACTAGTAGTTCTCAATTAAGATTTCAATTACCGCCGCTGGATGCTACAATTTTAAAAAGAGAAAAGCTTTAGAAGGTATAATAAGGCATCAAAGGTTGCTTCATATATTTTTTATTAGTAGTAAAGATGGACACTTTCCTTATGTTTCTCTATCTTGTCAGGTCAGTGTGGAATTAAAATGTCAGAGGGCTGCTGGAGCCACAGTGACATAGCTGGAACTTGCCTTCCTGATTCCGATTCAAGAGGATCATCGGTAAATGCTTCTGCATTAAAATCCAAAGGTTCTGCATCTTGGAGGAGTTCTATTCGGTCCCTTTCAGTCCTGTTATTAGCCCTGGTATATTTGGATGCTGCAAGAAAAAAGAAAAAAAAATGTTTACTTTTCTGTTGTTTTTATGGGTCACAGTCTATGAACCCAAAGAAAAGTTAAGATTATAAAGGATCTGAATCTTGATTGTGACAATATTAAGAAAAGATAACTACATGGTTCCTTACAATCAGATTAAAATGATAAATAGTGTGATAGAAAATAACAAGAAAGTTCTCCCTTGTAGCTCGTCTAAGCTCAGAAGCAGGTATAGCGCAAAGACTTAATTACTATGAATCAGAGTTATTACTGAACTGGTTTTACTGTTGCATGAATTCTCCTTATTCATAATCACATATGAATTCTCCTTATTCATAATTAAATTCTGAGAACAGTAAAATTATTCATAATCAAGTTTCCGTCGGTTTTACAGTGAATCCAGGGGCTGTTATATCTCATTTCTTGGCTAAGATTTTCTTTAAGGTGTTCTCAATTCCAGCTATTTAAGAAAGGCCTGAATATTTTTCCCAAGAGACAAGATTTTAAGGCAGCGATGACCAAAAAAGAAAAAAAAAATGTAAGCTTCATATTTACTTCTGATTATTCTAGTCGCTACATTAAAAAAGTAGAAAGAGCTACATGAGATTAATTTTAATGCTCAACAGCCACATATGGCTAATGGTCGCCAACATCCTGGTCAGCAAAGACCCAAGGCACAGAGCCTCCCTTCCCTATGTGGATGCGATTTCCTTCACAGTTGCTCTTAAATCACTTTACGACAATGTTCTTTCAGAACACTTAGGGCAAACCCATTCTATCCTGTCCTGGACTCTCCCCTTCATCTTTTCTCTCCTTCGTTCAGCACCTACCGGTTGTCTACCACATGCCGGGTTCCCTCTAACTCATCACCCTAAGGCTTTATGTTTTCTCTTCTCTTAACCGCTCTCCCATTCCCTCAGATCCTTCTGCTCTGTTAACTCCTTTTCCACGGTAAGCAAGCTTCCAGACCTTCCCGTAAAACCCTCCCTCTATCTCCGAGCTCTCACTAAACTTTAGCTCTTTCCTCCTTCTCCTGCTCTCGGTGTCACTCAAACCCACCCTTTCGTCTCCATCTCCAGGGACACGGCCCTCCTCCCTTCTCGGCAGCATTACCAAAAGTGACAGTAAACTGGTTTCTGGGCCTCACTTCCCTGAAAATCCATGCTTTCACTGCTGTCTTAAGTCTTTCTAGATCAAAAATTTGAGCATGCTTCCTTCCAGGTTGAAATCTTATCTTTGGGACAAATTCCAAACTCCTGAGCACAGTAGTAGCTGTCTCCCAACCACCTCTGTGGCCTCCCCACTCACTGGCCTCCTCGCAGGGGTGCCCTGCCTTTGGGTGTCCCTGGGCCACACTGGAACAAGAGTCGTCTTGGGCCACACACTAAATACACGAACACTAATGGAAACTGATGAGCACAAAAGAGCTTTTTTATTTTATTTTTTCAAAAGAGAAATCACTCAGATTTTATTTTTTTATAAGAGATTATACCTAGTCTTCATATTCAAAATATAAAAATAAGCATTTAAAATACAGTTTCACTTTCAAAATAGTATAAAAGTACTTCTAATTAATATGGTTAGCTGGCTTTATGATCTAATTTGAACCAAATTTCAAGAGGGTCATAATGGAATTTCAATTAAGGCACTCTAAAGAATATAATGGAAAGTAAAAACAAATTATTTTACTAAAATCTCAGTGCAATATTGCAGTTGATGGCAGACATTTAAATGACATTTATTATCATAAAAATCTGTAAACAAGCTCTCTTGGTTGTTAATTCTGAAAGTGCAAGGCAATTTTTCAAGCATAGTGGTTTGAAAATGCTCTGAAATAGAATGGGTTTATAACTCGTGCTATCAATACATAGGGTGCTTGATAACATTATTATGAACTTCTCCTTTAATTTTCTTACAATGATATATTGTATTATTAAATACTATAGAGTAAGAAAGGCAAGAGGAGAAAAAGAATGGAAGACTTTAAGAGCAAGAGGTGTATCTCTTCCCCTTTTTCTTTTTTTGTCCTCATTCGAGGACGTGCTCACTGATTTTAGAGAGTGGGAAAGGGCAGGAAAGGGGATGGGAGAGAGAGAGACATTTATGTGAGAGAAACCAATGGGTTGCCTCTCGTATGCGCCCTGACCAGGGACCAAACAGGCAACCTAGGTACATGCCCTGACTGGGAATCGAACATGTGACCTTTTGGTTTACAGGACAACACTCCAACCAGCTGGGGCACACCAGACAGGGCAGAAGTATATCTCTTCCTCTTGATGTTCAATTTATTCCTCCATTATTTCATTTAATGCTAAATATGTGCCAGGAAATATTTGAGCCCTTGTTTTTTACAACCTACCAAATTAAAGTTCTCATTTATAACATGATACTCTACTACTTAACTAAGAAGATACTGTGTAACTAAAAGAAAAACAAAAAAAACTTTGTCAGTAGAAATGTCCTAGTTCAAATGTCAACTGTATATATTTGGTCAATATACTGATTCTATCCAAGCTTTAGGGGTTTTTTTGCTTTGTGTGTTTGTTTTTAATTAAAAAAAATTTTTTTTTCTTATTCAAATGCATTTGTCTCCATTTTCCCACCACTACCTTATCCTGCCCAACCCACCCCCACCCTCACCCCGACCCTCCACCCTCAATCCTTCCCTACTTTGTCTTTGTCCATGGGTCCTTTACATGTACAGTTTTGTGTTGGGCCATGTTCATAGCCACCCTGGGCCACATTCGTAGCCGTCCAGCGCTGCATGTGGCCCACAGGCTGGACACCGCTGTTTAGGCTCTAATCAGAGAAAAACATGCATTTCCCCAAAGGTTCTCTCCTGTCCCTCATTATTTCTTCTGCCTAAAACCCCTTCCCTGGCTAAGTACTGTCCTTTGCCACAGAAATCCTTTCCCAATAAAGAACCTGTTCCATCCCTGAGCAGAGTCCCCTCCGCATCAGGTGTGCCTTATCACGTCTCCTCCAAAGGCAGACCACCTCTGCCTTCTCCTCCGTGCTGGTTCTGCACAAAAACAGGTTTCCTGCCACCTTTCCAGGGGCAGATGGCAGCAGTAAGGATGTGGGCGGGGGGGGGCGGTTCCTCAACCCACTGGCAAATGTCTCCTGCCCAGTACCAGCCCCTCATTGAATTATGAGCATCTCAAGGATGGAAATTTATGTTCTCTTACCCCTGTATACTTGGGAAAGTACTTGACATACATGGGTCAGTCAGATTATTATAAGAATGACTGAATTTGGGCTTAAATCTACTAATACAAAAGTAAAGAAAAACATATTAAGTAAAAAACAGAAATCAGCACCTGCCTAGAACTTGCCTGGCATAAGCACTATTATTTAGGGCAGTACAACTACAACTGCCCACCTACACCCCTGACATCGTCTTCTCCTACCAGAGTGCGTATTTGAGTTTCCCTCCCTCCGATGCACTACAAGTTAAAAAAGGACAATCACTGCAGAACCCCATTTCTGAATGGGTATCCTAATCCTCAGTCTCTACGCGAGCTCTCAGAAGAAAAAATACCTCAGATGATACACTACTTACATCGGTTCGTACTAATATCTGAGAAACTGGACTCCTTTGAATCAATGTGAACATTTCTGTTTCTAGTGGAATCTTCTCTATTATGCCCATAACGTTCTTTCCATTCCTAGGAAAGAAACACAGATGAGTATATAACAAAAGAACTCACAGACAGAAAATAATTCATCAGTGTCAATAGATTACATATAGAGTAATGTAATTTAACTCTTTTCATTGGAAATTCATCAGATAATCAGTATAATTATCACAGTGTCTTTAAAAATCACAGGTCAATAATCTTTCTTATCTTTACATAATTTTAATAGTTTCCAAACTTAACTTTTACAGCTGAAGACATTTATAGGCATATTTGCTAGCTATGATTATTTTGTCATTCAATTCTACCTAAAATGTCAGAACAGTATTACAATTACAATAAACTTACCCTGACAATGTACAAATTATGAGAACACATAATAATTAGATGTTGACAAAATTTTCTTCCATTCAGATTAACTACAAATTTAGAGACCTCTAAACTCACTTGTGACAGCAAAATTAAAGTTGTATACAATGGCGATTAGATTAGGACTCACATGGCATTGTGTGCATTCTTGACTTCACTGAAACCATATTAACTAGGATTCTACTCATTAAACTCTTAGAATTGACAATTGAAAGGAGCATGATGAGAGGCCATCTAATTCAACCTCCCATGCATGCAGGGTTTCATTCTAAAGCAGCCGCGCCAGATGCTCTTTGGCTCTCATACTAGATGACATGGAAGTTTCCATGCATAATCACCCCTGCAGTTTTGGCAAACCGTGGAAATTTTCATAGAGAGGTGAACTCCATCTCCAGTAACTTCCACTCTCTGGTTCTAGCCACGGCTCTGCAATGCAGAACAAGTCTCCACGTACACGACACACACTACAGCACAGGACGGCGCTATCACGTCCTGAGGCGTCACTTCTCCAGGACAGACACCTAGAGGTTGAAAATTTGTGATGACTGTGACTAGATTTTTCTCATTTTTTCCTTTTCACTCTCTAGGAGTTTGCCTCAGCAGATAGAGTGAAGAAAAATTAAACAGGAATAAAAGCAATATTATATTATAAAAAAGCATAATTTTAAAGCAATCAAAATTACTTTAATATAAGTAAGACTGATAAATTTATTCACTCACTTAATAATTATTTACTGAGCACCTACCTAGCTCAAGACACTGCTAGATGTTGGACATGAATTTATTACTAATGACTTTTTAAAACATGGCTGACAAGACACCTAGCATGTACCTATGAAACTAGTCAAGTTACCTTTCTCTAAAAATATACCATGTCTTTCCCAATTATTCTCTGGTCTTTAGCCAATTATTCTAAATTGTAAGATTCTTATGATATTTCACATTAATCTTTAGGTTACAACAATTTAATAATTACTGTACTTACTCTTCTTCGATTTTCACCTTCTTCTTGCCTTTGCCGTTTTCTCTTCTCTAGAGACAGAAAAGTGGTCTCAAATTTGGTATAACATGGTTTAATTAGACGCAGAGTAACTGCAGTAAAGGTATCAGGCTATGACCAATTGCCTTTAAATTACTACAAAGTCAAAGGTGACAGGTTATGTTGGAAAGGACCTTAGACATCATTTAACCCCTCAGAGAATATCTTCTCTACTTTGGCTGGTGATGGCCCCTTAGGCTCAGGCGAGTTTTGAGGAAGAAGTTCTTCTTCAGGGTGACTTGAAATTTGTTCCTCTGTAGCTTCTCCTTTCTTTATGTCTTATCTTTTAAGTGAAGTTCATGCGTCTTTCTGCATAAGTGTCCTTCCCCCTATCTTCTTCTGGCTATATACTCAGTGGTTTTTCCCTCACACGATATGCTTTCTCCCCATACAATGTGCTTTCCAGACTCATAATTCTGGCCTCTAAATAGCTTCTGATTTATCATTCTTACTCTTGAAAATCTTACCAAGGACTGATATGATACTCCAAATGAGGTCTAATTAATGCAAACAGCAACAGAACTATTATATTAACTAGATACCACCTTCCCATGAGAGCATGTGAAGGCTACACTGACTTATTTTAGAGCTACAACAAATTTTGGCTTACATTTAACTAATGATCACATAAAAGCTCCAGACCCAAGCAAGGAGAGTACCAAAGAATCAATGTCCCAAAACTTAAGTTTTGTTTTTCTTTTTCCCTGTCTTGCCATCACTTGGACATCAGAGAATTTGGCACATTCAGTTTTGAGATTAGATTCTAGCAAAGTGCCATGTATTCCAATAGGTTGTTAATGATCATCCATCACAGTATAAAAGCCAGCCTTGGCTTGAATGATTTCCTGTGCAGTATTAAACTGATCCTTTTCTAAATTAATGAGTTTTATAGTTGTATTGAACTTGGCCTACCTGCCTCAAAGTAAACATAAAAATGACCCCAAAACAAGGGCATCATTTAGCAGCAGATGTACTAAAAAATTTCTGCTGCAGAATTTCTTAAAAACAGATGAGACAATCATTTATGCTTTCAAATTATTTTTGCTATGAAGGTTTTATGTAGGTTTTTAGTTAAACTATTAATTTCTTAAGATAAATTAAATATTACAAGTTATACAATTCTGTATTTTGAGACTTCGCACTTTCCCTTCATTTATTGTAAAAGACAAACCTTACCTCGCCTGATTAATTCTTTTCCTTCATCAACTAAGTCTGAAGTCATATCATTATCTCCCATGAACTGCTGGAAACCAAGTAGATTCAAGCAACGAGTTCCCAAACTAATAAAGTAGATTTTCAAAAGAAAAAAAAGCATTATTTCACATTGTAAGTGTTCAGATAAACTGTTTTTAGTGCTGTCACCCTCAAAGAAACCTGTATTTTATTATTAGTTATCACAGCAAGTTAATAGAGTTACATTAAGAAGTACTTACTTTGCTTTCTAAGAAGCTTATATACCCAAAAGTCCATGGACTAGGGTATGCAACATATGCCAATTTCTTAAGGAAACAAATTATGTTAGGCCATTAGCATACTTTTAGGAAATCATTATACCAGGATGCTAAACAATAGCTATAATACAAAAGCAGCCATGGCTGGGGTGGCTTAGTGGATTGAGCACCGCCTGCTAGGCAAAGGGTCACCGGCTGATTCCCAATCAGGGCACATGCCTGGGTTGCAGGCTAGGTCCCCAGTAGGGGGTGTGCGAGAGGCAACCACACATTGATGCTTCTTCCCCTCTCTTTCTCCCTCCCTTCCTTTCTGTCTAAAAATAAATAAAATCTTTAAAAAAAAAAAAGCAATTTATTCTTTTCTTACATCCAAACAGCAACTTTAACCCTGTTAACTCTGATTGTAAGTCCTCCCCTGCCCTCTCCATACGCACATTGTGGAAACACTCCCCCCTACAGTAAGAAGCCCTAAACTGCGTAGCTGTCTCTGGAAAGGCCTGAGCTTTGTGTAAGGTGTCAGTAAACAGCCTCACACTCTCTGGACAGTTAAATCTGAAGATCAGCTCTGCGTAGGAACGTGTCACTAGCAATCTGGGTATTACTTAGACTAATTATGGCAGCATTTCAAAAAAAATGGACCTATAAAATCAAGTTATAAACCTAAATCAATAAATAAGTGAAGTCAAGTTACCACTGAAATGTCAGCAAGACATTGCTTTATATATTCCTATAATCAAACATCTATTTTGAGAGATAATTTGAAAATTGAGAAATACAACCTTTTTTTCCCTTAAAGACAAATTGACAGTCAAAATTTTTCCTAATGAAATAAAAAAATAAAAAAAAACTCCTTAAAAAGTGTTAAGCTTAACAATTTTCCTTTTAGATATAATAAGTCCTTATATTTAAGATATTATGGTTGACAAAGCACTATCCCACCCATCTACTATTTGATCCATATAATAATCTAACAAGGTAAGAAGAGATGCTAATCTAACCCAAATAATTACTAACATGACATAATTTATACATCAGAAGCTCTGAATATTCATTAATAGTTTTATAAACTTTTCAAGGGAATAAACATATGATCAAAACTTAGCGTTGGACACCAAAAAGATAATTATTTTCTTCCTTTAATTCATGATTTTCACAGTATAAAGCTAAGTCTTTTCTACCTCACAGAAAAACGCAAAGCAAAAGATTTATTATCAGTTCATATAACAGTTTTATTTTAAATTATAATTCTTTAGCTCCTTTACCTATGAGGAGGTAAAATAAAGATATTTTTAAAAATTCAAGAGAATTTATTTAAAAGAACACTTGTCTATTTACTCAATAGTCTCATGTGGGTACATACATATTATGTCTAATAATTATATAATGGTATTATACGATTTAAATAAAAAGTAGTTGGATAAAATTTACTTGTTAGGAAAGCAAACTAACATCAAAAAACTATTTTTGAAACAGCGGCACTTTTGGCATGTCATGGAGCAGTCAGGCAGTGAAGAGGGTAGACAGAGCGCAGGATGAGGCACCCGACAAGCAGAGGTAGGGGCGACGGGCACTAGAAGCCAGGCAGAGTTGTCCTTTACCTCCTTTCGAGTCTTACCTCTAAGATTCCACCACTTTTTCTAATCCTGTGAAAAAGAGCAGCCCGTGTATTTCCCAGCCTTACGTGTACTGCCTGACTGTAGTTGCCCCTCACCTGACCTTACGTGCTGGCTACGATCTGAAGCATCAGGACACCCGGCAATGACTCTGGGGACAGCCCTAAGACTAAGTTATGTGACTAGAGAGAAGCTGGGCGCGGGGTGTTTTATAAGCTACACTGGCTGTCAGTGTCGAAGGCCAGGGCTTTGAGTTTACCTTCTGTAATTAATCCTATCTTTTGTAGCCTAAGTATTTGTAATAAGTAACTCGACCTCTCTTTTTCTGAGAATGTCTTCAGAGAAAGAGCCTTACCTAATCACCCAAGCAATCCCTTTAAACTCTTCTTTCCAGCATGACCAAAGCGACAATAAAACAAACGACAACCAGAACCCAATCAGTAAATATTTAAAAGAGCTTTAAGAAGAAAAGATATCCAGATCAGGCTAAGAGTATGTGGAAAAATAAATGATGTTAAGTTTCTTACCTAAAATAAGTAGCGATGCAGAGAATTACCACCAGCATAGGATAATATATATAGAATCCATCTGCAATAAAGGATAAAACTTTCATGGAACCCATAATCTGAGGAGCAAGAAAAAAGTAGAAAAAAAGTAAGTCAAATCAGTATAGTTCTCTATTTTTTTTTCCATCATTAGAAAATTCACACAAAACCACTTATATCAATAAATTTGGACTTTTCAAAAAGTACAAATAAAGCACTGAATGATTTTTTAGTTCTCATCACAAGGAAAAAAAACTGTCACTGAAGTGATGAATGTTAACTAAATTTATTGTGGTAATCATTTCACAATATATGTATATATCTAATGATTACATTGTACAACTTAAACTAATGCAATGCTATAGGCTGATTATATCTTAATTTGCTTATTTAATAAGGCTTTCTCCTAAAGAAAATTAATATTTTATAAACATCAGTGAAAATTATCACCTACATTACACTGAAAATATAAAAGTTAATATTATTATAGCTCTGGTCTATTGATACTACTCAGCTGGATGAGCTACGTGAACCAAAATGCATTTTTTAAAATAAAAAGGGGAAGGGACTAGTCAAAGAGCATGTATGAGTGACCCATGGACACGGACAGCAGTGTGGGAATTGACTGTGGGATGGATGGAGGAAGGCAAAGGGGAAAAACTGGGACAACTGTAATAGAATGACAATTAAAAAATCTTTAAAAAAGTAAAAGTAAAAATAAATAAAATTAGAAAATCAAAATCACTTATCCAGTCATTGGTAATTAAATATACAACCTTTTCGTTATTTCAAAAAGATCCAAATAATGCAATAGAACTTTTCTGCATCAAAAAAAAAATCCACAATAATAATATCCCATATAGATAACAAATCTAAAGAACTCTGTTTTCTGACCATACTTACAGAGGTATAAGCTGTCGGCTGCGTATTCTGGTGAGAGATGGAAGAATCCATATGGGTCAGACCCAAGAAATTAAGACATAAAGGAGGAGTCAAACGGCAAAATAACCTGCAATAAGCATTTATAAACAGAATATATAAAAAATAAAGCAGCAAAATATATTTTATATTATATTGAACTGTATTAGGAACATTTCGGATCACTCCAACAATTATTTTCTTCTATCTGTATTATATATATTTTGAATTATTAATGTGACTCCCCGTTACTTACTTGGGAGAGATTCTAAACTCCTATTAATCACATCTCCCTTAGGAACATCCGTACCTACAAGGCAGAACTGCAGCCCCGGGCTGCCTGCTGCGGCGGTGTTGCCACTGCTCTGTCCCAAGATCGGGGAGGTGCCTGTGTATGTGCTTCTTCCCCATCTACCACCTGTGCAATCTGTCTCAGCAGCATGACAAGGACAGGGACACCCTTAAGGTGAATCATACTCACTACACGAAAGATCTGACGGTGTATCAAAGTACGTCACTCTGATAACTATAGGTGTAAAGGATTGTTACAGCTCGATTTGTCCAGATAAAAAGAGAAACTTACAGAACTGCAGAGCTGAAGAAGAGGAGAGAGGGAAATGGAGGGTGGGAGAAAAAGGTGAAGGGATTAAGAAGTACAAATCCGTAGTTACAGGACAGTCACAGAGATGGAAAGCGCAGCATGAGGAACATAGCCAATGATACCATAACAGTTATGTAGGTGGGTACTTGAAATATCACAGGGGGACACTGTAAATTACACGACTGTTGAACCAGTATGCTGTACCTCTGAAACTAATACAGAATAATATTGAAGGTAAACTGTAACATGAGGAGTGCTTTCATGGTGATAGAATAGTTGTAGTTACAGGAACCTACATACACACACAAATAAAGGATAAAAATAATGAGAATTAAAGAAGATGTGTAGCCTAGTTAACAGTATCAATGTAAATTTCCTGATTTTGATATTGTAGAACAGCTCCATAAAATGTCTCCATTGGGGGAAGCTGGATGAAGGTGAAGAGGAGGACTCTTTGTATTATATCTGAAAGTTCCTGTAAGTCTATAATTATTTGGGGGAAAAGGGTGAAAAAAAAAAGTCTTAGAGAAGCTTTGTATATTGATCCCTCTGCAAATCTGCCCAGTTCAGCCCTTATAAACATCCCCGATATGACTAATTTAACAACATGGACAATAATAGATTGGGCAACCTAGCATAAGCTGAAGCTCTCTCTTGAAACTTGTGAAATCTCTTAGCAAAAATTATTCCTGCTGGTTTTCTCAGTCTTCCTCAATTCAGTTTGAGGCCACTGAATTTCAACATACTTTCTAGGTCTGATTTAGTCTCTAAATTCTCAAATGTTTCCATTTTTTACTAACCTATTTATTGAATTTCTAATTGGTAAATCCAAGTTCACTATGTCTTTCTTTTCAATCCTAACCTATCATATCTGTTTCAACCTTAAACTTCAAGTGGTATTTAGCTAGTTCAACCTTAAACTTCAAGTGGTATTTAGCTAGCAATCAACAAACATCTAATTAATATTTAAACATAATCAATTAGCTCAGAGAAATACAGGTGTTAGTGGAAGACCCAAACACAACAAGAAATAAAAGAAAGATCTATAAGGACACACGCAATAAAGACATATCCCTTATTTCTAAATACAACCTACTCACATGCCACTGAAAAGAAGGCTGTAAGCATCAGTCTGGTGATGTGAAGCCAAGTAATAATAGTTAAACACACGAATCCTGAACACAGTAGAATAAACACAGATACTTAGGAAGAAGATGGAAAGGAAGCAAGCAATCTGAAAAAACAAAAACAAACAAAGAGGCCCAGATTAAGACTAATGGACTTTGGCACTTCATATACTGTCACAGCACTAGCCTTTATTTCCAGCTAACATGTGTTGACATTCTAAAATTGAAATATGTTAGTAATGAATTTTTTTAACCACTTAAGATGAAATTATGAAAAAAAATCTACTTCTCAACCAGTTGCACATCCTATCTCTAAATTTCAAATCCACCTCCTGTAGGGAGCCTGCTCTCCCACCCCCAGGAGACTCTTCACAGGAAGACTGGAAGTTAGGCTGCTTCATGGGCAGACTGCAAATCCACGTGTTCTCAAAACAGTATTTTGCACTATCCTGTATCTTTTAATCTGTCCTCAAATACGGTCCTTAGTTTTCAGTCTGGGTAAACTGATGAAGCTCATTTTGGAAGTCTGAATAACAACACTGTGGGAAACTTCACTGCTTTCATTACTGCTGGAAGAAATATATGGAGACAAGCTACTACTGTTAAGAATTACACTATGAGCTGACATTTATTTATAACCGATAGAAAATAAACTGACCTCGATATAAATATAATTGTACGTTTTTTCGGCCAACTGAATGAAGACTGCAAAGAGGGACAAGACAGGGGTAGTGCTGAAGAACGTGCACTCTGACCACACGACAATCACCGAGAAAATGGACAAGACCACAGCAAGTATTCTGTAAAACCACGGCCGCAGAAGACATTCCCAGTACCATTCTGGAAGATAAAAGAAAAAACTGATTAAGAGAAGCACAAAGGAGTAACAGGGTCTTGACACTGTTTCCAAATATCCCCACATAAGATTCATAAAAGCAAAGGGAGAAATGGTAGTTTCCCAGCGGAGGAAGCCGGCCGGCACCGGACCAACCAAACGATGGCCAGTGGCGGGAAGGACACCTCACGTGCCCCCTGCTGCGCTGCATGGTGAGAACGCGGCGCTGCTGCGGTATTCCTGCCAGAAACACAGAACCCGCGTCTACTCACAAGAAAATGTCAAACTCAAATTCAGGGACACTGAAAAAACACAAACAAACTGGCCTGTGCTCCACCAAAACAGCAATGTCATGAAACACCACAGACTTAGAAACTGGTCCAGATTAAAGGAGACTAAGGTGACATGACAACCGAGTGCAATGTATGGCCTGGGACTTTTTTACAGACATTACTGAGACAGTTAGCAAAATCTGAATAAGTCTGTGGGTAATAGTGTTGTTTTGATGTTAATTTTTTATCATTTTATTCAATACTTGGTTATGTAAGAAAACATCTTTATTTTTAGAAAATAATATAACATTTAACATTTAGGGGTTAACCAACATATAACATTGAAACATTTAGGGGTTAAAAGGCATGATGTCTGGATTCAACTTTGAAAAGATTAAGGGAGCACACACACAGAGAAAGAAAATGAACATGGTAAAACTGCTGACCCTGGGAGAATCCGGGTGACGGATATAAGGGACTTTTCTGTTATTATTTTGGCAACTTCTTGTTAAGTCTGATTTTAGGTAAAAATACAAGTTAAAAAAGCAGAAAACTCACAAAATTGAAAAGGCTCTATTTCACTTCATTCATTGAAGAGTGGGGCTCCGGGCTCACTAAATGTTTTCAACCCTACTCTCAGCATGATTCCTGGTGATTTGAGTGTCCACATAGGTGATACTCCTTCAAAACTCGGGTCCTTCCCTTCTTGGCCCCCTCTCCTCCAACGATTCTGTCCTCCACCCTACCTCAGCTACTCATTCCCTAACTCCAGCCCTCATCGTACCCTCATTACAGTTTCCCCGGGTCCAAACAACACCTTCATCTAGTATTCCAACTCTAAGGACTTCCTCTGTCTAGAATAGTTATCCATTTATTCAACTGCCTTTTCACTGCCACTTAATACCCTCCTGTCCTTTATCGGTTTCTTCACCCAGCCCAGATTCCACAGACTTTGAGGGTGATCACTCTCCAATATCCCAGTTCTTTTGCTTCCTCTTACCTCTCATACTTACTTCCTCATGCTTGCAAAACTAAACCACACCCTGACTCCCAAGTCCTGGACTACCCTGAGCCTGCACCTATGGAGCTGCGCATTGTAGGGGTAAGGCGCACAGCTTTGCTCACTCGCCTCACTTTAAATTTTTAATCACCAGCTTCAAGTGGACCCTTAGCCATGCCTGGCTAGCTGGCTATAACTCACCAATTTTCTCGCATGCAGACTCTCCTAAGCAACTATTTTGCACCTTTTCTTCTTTCCTCAATTCTCCAAAATCTCCTTCCCCATAGTTACTCCCAGCACTTCACTGAGCAAATAAAAGGTGGCAGGAGAAAACCTCCCCAAGTTTCCACTACTACATCGTCTCCCCTGCTCGGTACGTCTGTGCTGTACCTCCTCATCTTAGCCTTTCTCTTCATTGTTCACTATTCCCCTTTCATCTCCCCTGCACACACACATTGTCCCAGCCAATTCCTCTGTCCCACCAAACCTCCTCTGGGATACCACTTGCAAATGACATGCTGTAATTCCTCTCGACCCTGCCACCCCCCTTCCGCTACTGCCTCTTGCTTCTATTCCCTTCTGTAAGGAGCATTCTGAGAGTTTTCTGTTCTTGCTGTTTCTGCCTGCTCTCCTTCCCATTTCTTTCAAACTCCAATCAGGCTTTTTCCCCCTCCTCTTACCCCACCTCACCCCTCTGAAATCCAAGGCAAGTCTTAGTGTTCATGATAATCGACCTACGTGCAACATTTGAAAAGGTACTTTATACACCCTTGTCCTCAAAAGCCTTCACTGCCCTGGTTGTCCAATCTCATCGGCCACTCCTTTTCTAGTTTGTTCTGCTGCTTTCTCAACAACCTGATGTCTAAATCCTGCAGTGCCTCAAGCTTAGTCCTCAGGTTAAGCTATCCCACTCACTTCTTTGCTGATTTTGTCATCAATGGATGTCACCCATCCATTAACAACACCCCAGTTTATATTTGCAGACCAGACTTCCCTGAGCTCCGATTTCTATAGCCAACTACCGACTCAGCATCTTATATATTTATGTGCATGATATATTGCCTGTTTTTCTCACTCCACAAGGGCAGACATTTTTGTCTTTTCTATTCATTGATTATATTCCAAGCACCCAACAATATGTAGCATATAAGAGCACAAATATTGGTTGAATAAATAAAAACAAGTGTCACACCATTCCCTCATTTAATTAGGAAAGTGCTTCACTGAAGATTTCTGAGATATTTGTTATGGCCACCATTATGTCTTCATACTGAAGATCAAACATGCAGAAGAGAATCAAGTGAATTAAGCATCTGTCTGAACATCTACAGTAAACAGAAGTTTTGATACTATGCCACTGGTATTTTCATTAAATTCTTCATACTAAATTGGTAACAGTGAAGAAAGTGTCATAAATAATCATAAAGGGGAAGAGAATAATTATGACTCTTGAGTGTAGGTTTTGTAAATTGACTAATAAATGTAAATAATCAAAGAGTACTTCTTAGGGGAATATTTTAATAGTGTGTCAAGAATGAAGGAGACACGTCTGCGTCTGTGTCTTCCTGTGCAATGGCTCCTGGGGGCATAGCCTCCAGCGACGCCTTGACCTCCTCAGCCTCCCTAACTTCCACGAACTCCACATCCGGGTGGTCTGGGACTGGAAAGCCAGGCCCAAGCCGTCCCGCCATCCCAGCACCACGCCGCCACCCACCCGTGCTGCGCATGGTACTGGAGGTGCTACAGGCAGGTGAGCAGTGCCGGGGCACCTCGGTGGTGGTCATCAAGGTTTCTATCCTGCAGAATTACCCCACAGTTGACGCCACCCGGCTCAAGTACCTGCTGAAGCGGGCCCTGGACACCGGCATGCAACGCGGCCTCCTCGTCAGGCCCACCAACTTCAAGGCCAAGGGGGCCACCAGCAGCTTCAAATTAGTTCCCAAGCACGCAAAGAAAATCAAGCCCAGGAAGATGTCCACCATGTCAGCCCCCAGGAGACGTGCTGAGGCCAAGGAGGAGGCCCCCAAGAAAGGTGTCCAGACCAAGGACAGACAGGCAAGAGTGGGCAAGGCCAGGAAGGTCCCCCGACAGCCAGACAAGGTCGCAAAGGCCCCTCCTGGTGCCACTGGGTCCTGCGGGTAGCCAAAGGGTAAAAGGCAGAAAGAACAGCCCAGCAGATGACAAGGCCCACAGGAAAACCAAGGGACTCAGAGTTCAAAACCTGCGGTCACCAAGGGCAAGAACAGTGCAGCTTTCCCAGCCAAAAGGAAGACCAGGAGCACAGTCTCCAAAGAGGCCACTGCCCAGGGGGCCAGGCAGAGGTCAAAAGCCAAGGCTGCTGCTGCTCCTAAGGACTGTGTGTCCAAGACCATACCTGCTGCTCTTAAGGACAGTGTGTCCAAGACCGTACCTGTGGCCAGAAAGACAGAGGTCGCCAGGGGCCCAGGAAGGCCTGGCATGCCCACAAAGGCTTTGTCACCCAATGGGACCAGTAAGAAGACAGAAACCAAAAGCTAGAGGCAGGGTGGAGGGAGACTAAATTCTGTTGGAATTTTTATTCCCCCAAAAACCATTATTCTATTTATTTCACTGTAACCTATTTATCAATATAGAATTCTTTTCCTATAAAAAAATAAAAATTAAAAAAGAAGAATGAAGGAGAGACCCAAGCTTGTGATGTAAAATTGCTTAGAATTCTAATTATTTAAGTATATATTATATATACAAAATATGCTTGATATATTGCACATATTTTTGCATAGAATTTTTGTTACCGGTGAAGTAACAGTGCAAAATGATAAATTATATGTTATATGACAAGTGAAATATTTTTCTGTTGGGAAGGGGAGTTTATCAGATACGTAATATTACCACATGGTATAAGTCAATAATACAAATACAATTCAACTCCACATTGGTGAAAATATATACATTTTTCTAAAGAAAAATTATCATCATAAAACTTTGAAGTGTATATCAAATTACATACCAACTGTAGGAGTATAAAAGTATTGGATAAATCTATTTTCTGGCTCCGGCGATTGAAAGGTGTGAACAAACTGATGAGTAGCACTAGTCTCATTTTTTGCTACATCTTCTAGATAAAATGCTTGTTCCAAAAGAATCTGCCATTGTACCTGAGTTCGACGGTGCCTCTGAACTGAGTAAATAACCTAAAAAAGAAAACAGGGCGTTTATCTGTGCAGTGTTCTGACCAACAGTGGTTCAACTGCCCATTAAGGAGCATGTTTGGGTTGTCACAACAGTTGGAAGCGCAAGTAGCATTTCCTGGGTGGGGCCAAGGACGCTAAAGTTCTGTAATACATGCAACAGCTAGGTTCAGTGGTTAATTTCGCCCCCCTGTTAGAGTACTGCAATGTGGAGGACCTAAGCCACCATTTGTGCTGGAACAAAGAAGGTATGTGTCACTAGTCACCAGCTAAATACCTGATCAAGAGATTCCCCAGTATCAGAAACAACTGAGGCGCAGCCTCGGGCATCCCGCTGGAAGCCAGTTTAATGCTCACTGCCCCTCACCTCTGTCAGCTTTTCCCAGAAACAAGGCTCATAAATCTCCCAGACTTCAGGTCCCCCTGTCAGCCATCCCTGATCAGAGGACATTGTCTTGCAAACACCTGTCCCCAGGACACCTGGGGCAGATCAGCAGGGTGACCCAGCCTCCCCCAGGGTCCGCTACAACACCCTTAAATGCCCTTCTACCCTTTCTCTACCCTTTCCCTGGCTGCTGTAATCTGCTCAGACTCAGCACCCCTCCCCGCCCCGCCCCCTCCATCACAGTGTCCCGCCTTGAATAAAAGCCCTTACTTGGACCTTTTTAGCTCCTGGTCCTTTCTTAGCTACCTCAGCCACCTAACACCCCCCAAATGCCAATATTACTCCTGCCAAGAAATGTGAAGTTAAAAATATTTCATTCAAAATTCCTTTTTTGTGGGCAGTAATTATAAACTAAAATATCATTAAGTAATATAGCGCCAATTAATAAATGTACCTGTTTATGCAGTTTCACCAGACTTTTTTCACTAGGATAGGTATTATGCTTTTCATCAAAATCTTCATAATCATCCATGTTCCTACCCATTTTTTCCTGATACTCTGTAGGGCACTAAAAGGAACAAGTACAATGGAAAAAATCTTATTTGCAAAAAGATAAAAATCTTATTTTTATTAAAAATCTTTCATTCTTGGGCATTTCTAATTTTCTCAAAACTATCTTCCTTGTTGTTACCTCTAAATAGTTGGAATTTCAGTTGATGACATTTTCTGGAAAATGTTCTAACGGACACATTGAGTTTCTTCTTAGCTCCATCTCCACTGTCCCGGCTGGGGATGGGCAGGGCAGGGGAGCTCACCTTCCCAAAGCGACTAGTACTTGGGAGGATAAGCCTGGGTAAGCACCTGAGGACACTGTCAGTGATTTTCCCAGCTAAATAAAGTGGGAAAATCACAACAAATTCAAGATGCTGAATTTTTTAAAAGAATAGTACAGAGAAACAAATACCTGACTTGGAGTCATCTATCCTGCTATTAGTTGTTTATTACCTATATGAACTTGGGCAGTTGGTTAACTTCCCTGGATAGATCTCAAAAGGTAGCAAATATACAAGAAATGATTAGAGAGTTGATTCTCATGACTATCACCTTAGCCTAAAGGAACACTAGCTATCAGTATAATAAATTTAAAATATAGGAAAAGAGAGAGTTCAGTGGTTCCATGGTTGCAGGGAAGATAATTGGGGAACTTATGTTTTGGATAATCATTTTTGGAAGTATATGAATACTCCTAACTCAATAACAATACATAATGCCTTAATTGTATGGCTTCTTATTAAATGTGTGTTAAACATCTCATGATGTCATTCATTTTACGACATATGAAATGCGCCTTTAGCGAGCACATTCAGTGACACTCCAGAAACTGTCAGGGTCCCCCTCCACCGCTGTGTTGTGCAATATGGCCAATAATTAATGTTAAACTGGTAAGAACAAAGGAGCAAATTCTATGTACACATTACTACTGGTTTATATGGTCAATATTACCACGAAAATGAAAAGGAGTTGGGAAGACTTCAGTTATAGGCTGTTTTCATATTTATAATATAGAAACTTTTATTTCACAGGAAAATAGATGTGAATATGATTTAATTACCTTTTTAAGAATTGTGTCAACACATTTTCTCAATGGGTGGTTATACTTGATGCTTTCATTCACTTTACGAACCTCCTATACAACAGAAAAATTAAAATATTTTTATTTCTATAGACTGGACATTTCAAATGAGACTGCTCTATAGGTACTGTATAAATATATATATATTCTCACAAGTTTAATTTCAACCCAAATTACTTAGCATTTACATGAAGTTCCCTTCAATGAATAAAAGTTAAGAACATAAGGAAAAATACCTATAAAGTTGTATAGGGTGGGGCAAAAGTAGGTTTACAGTTGTGAGTACATGAAAGTTTATTTTCATATTAGTATTTATTAATTACTATACTAGTTTCCATGTGAACAACAGTAAACCTACTTTACCCCACCCTGTATAACAGGTATCTCTATACCCTTACGCTTTATATTACTTTCTAGATTTACTCCCTTGTCACTTGCTTACTGGGTACACAAAGATGACTAAACATTATCAAAAAGGCACAAAGGAACAGACAAATTTTGCAATCCTGAAAGAACAGGACTGTGCCCCTTCACCTTGCTCATCAAACTGAATTATCTCATTATCTAAAATTCAGTGTTCAGAAAGCAGAGGTGGCGGGAAGGTTACCAGTGCCCCACAGAGCACCTGCTCCTTCCCGGGGGGCGGCTCACCGCAGCGCCGCACTACTGACCCACAACAGGTGTGTTTACTGAGAGCGCACTGCAGGCCAGCACCATGCCGCGTTCAAGGTCACCACCATCCGCAGCAGAGGGTGGGGTGGGAAGACATGTTGTCAGAGGCGTTCTACTAAGATTAGAGTCTAGTGATGAAATAATTAAATAAGCAACTTAATGAGTATGAAACACATAAAGGGGTTAAGGAGAGGGATCTTTAGAACCAATAGTTCTAAAAGGATCATAACACTTTATAAGAGTAATAAACTTTTTAAAAAGTTGAAAACACTGTTCTAGATAGAATAAATAGCATGTTCAAAGGCTAGGAACCAAAAGAGAACTGACCAGAATATTAAAAAAGAATATTCTGATTGTAGGGTGAGCATGGCCTTAAGGTACACAAAACTAGAGGCAGGGAAACCATCTGGCATATAGACCAAGTCATGAAAAAAATATTTGTAACTTATATGGCAAAAAATCACTATCCTTAATATAGAGCTCTTGCAAATCAACAGAAAAATGGAAGGATGCAGAAGAAATACAACTGTCTGATAAATGTCTGAAAAGATATTCAAGCTCACTGAAAACAATTACAAATTTTAAAATGAGAACAATTTTCTTACAAAATTATAAAAAACAATGGTATCAGACAATGAGGCAAGATCTTGGGGAAACAGGTCCTCCTATACGAAGTAAAATGTGGTAGGTATCTTAGCACTATCCATCAAAATTTTAAAAATGCAGACCCTATGAATAATCTGTATTGAAAGACATTGCTCCTGTCAGGGAACGAAGCTTACTGAGTTTGAAAACACCTTATTCAAGGAGAAATGGTGAGGAAACTGCTCTGGACTTTAGTGTGGGAGACTTCATATGAACTGATTATTTAAACTGAGATGAAAAGCATGAGGACTCAGCCCATGAAAGGAAGGGGCAAGCTATTCCAGCCAGAGAGGCAGTACGCAGGAAGGCCTCAGAGCAGAAAGGGACAACGAGTTTCAAGGGACTAGAAGAAGTCCGGCCGTGGCTGCAGGAGCCCTTAACAGTTTATTCCGAGGTCAATGAGTGAGGCCTAAACACGGGAGTAGCAAGATAAGGCGTGGGTTTTTAAAAGGTGCTTGAAGCACCAGTATGGAACACTTTTCCATTACTAAGCTGTCTTAAAGTTGCATTGACTTGTTAGCAAAACTTTGAATATGAGCTGTACAGTCTGGTTTTATACTTATTTATGAAATATCATAATTTCCTATACATTCTTTAACCATATTAAACCAAAATAAGTACTGAAACAGTTAACTATTTATATTTGCTACAGTTATTAAAAGAATAAGTTTCCTTCAAAAGTTCCTAATTTTTATAAAGTGTGGAAAGTATTTAAAACATTAGCCTATTTTCTTCATATAAAATAACATAACATTGAGCTCCGTCATCACCATGTCTAATCAATTCTTTACTAAGTGGGTCAGACTACACCCGCGAAGTCGGGCTAACGGGAAATTTTCAGCATAAGTAAGTAGCTGTTTCCCCCTCTCCAAAATCATCTACCTTAAAAAATGACAGAAGGTAGAAGTGACATCTTTGGCCATGTAGCCAATACCCTTTGAATAGCTTGACATGACTTTTAAGTTTTATTAATGCTTCGAAGAAAAGTAACAGACACACAGATGTAGTATACATTCACTTCAGGGAGAAACAGAAAAACACTAAAATGGTTCTTATGAAATTGCATTTGGAAGATTTTATAGACAACTAAAAAATATAATCACTAACTACAAAAAAAAAGGTGATTGAACTTTGTGGTCTCCTAAAAGATGCACTCGAAACCAGTGTATTTCTTTTCTTTCAAAGTAGATAATTCAGTCTTGTCCCATGCTTCATCCTGCACATCTCCAGCAGACTGGTCGTCCTCTACCACAGAAGCACGCTGCTCCCCTGCTTGCAAGGTGTCAACGATTCCTTGTTGCCAATTCCCGTTAAAGCATCAGCTGAAGTCGGGCTGCCTGGCTCTACCTTCCCTGGCTATGTGAAATGAGAATCTTAACCTCAGTGTAACTCATTCTCTTCATTTATGAAATGGGGATTGAAAAAAAATCTCCCTCATAACATTGTAAGTATTAAATGTATTAGTATATGTAAAGTTCTCAGAAAGTTATTAGTAAATAAGTAAGTCTATCTCGCTGTTGGCTATTGTCTTCACCATCATTGAGTCTGAGGCACCAAACCTGACCAGTGCGAGGAACACAGAGGCGTGAGACAAGGGTAGGATAAGGGTGGAGAGCTAAGCAGGGGCCAAGTCACTTTTCAGGAGGACACAAGGAAACATGGATGCAAAGCCTTCAGCATCAGGCAGAGGGGGAGGGTAATGTCATTAGTACAGTAGATTTCCCAGAAAAGCAAAATGTGTAGAGACGACAATGATCCCTTTTTAAATCAATAGCAAAATTATTATTTAACAGCAAAGTTTTATGATTTGCTAGTTATTTTTATGTATCTTATTGAAATTTATACTTTCACCAACTTTATGACATTAGTTCAAGTCATCTGCATGTCATGAGTAAAAACAAAAGTGCCTTATTAAGAGTACAGATAGGAAACAAGTTAATTGACACAAATTCCCATGCCAACTGTTCTCTAAAGACATTTCCAGACATGGTGGGATTACTTTGGGTTAAACTTCAGGGAGAAGTGTCTTGTGATTCCTAATTTTCACTTCCACTATGTCACAGGAACCACATAACATCATCTAATTTGAGAAACTTTTGAGAGTAAAAGAGGGTGTTCTTAGAATTCACCCAAAGACAACAAGCGTAACTCTGCACTGTTAAGTGTATTCTCCCTGGATCTTTGTCAGTTAGAAGAGAGAGATGACATCTCATGACGCTGAATTGCCAGTAAGAAGTCATCCTAATGGATGACACTCTGAAGAACTGCACTGAGCCAAAAGGTTACGGAAGTCCATCAAGGTGCTAACAACAACAAACTAACCATGTATCCAAAAGGAGATACATGCTCTTGACTCTAAGGTTTAAACCTGCTTACCTCCATGACATCTTCTAACGTCTCTTCCGCATCTGCTTTCTCTGTCATCAACTTGGCTGCCTTAAAGTAAGTTTTCATAAGTAGATAACCTCTCTTCGCTCCGTTCCAGTACGACCGAGGGATTTCCACCAAGCCATACCCCAGCAATAATACCAGAAGAAACAGGCCCCATGTGTTCGCAGCAGCTATCCCAATCGTCTGCAGCTGGTTCCTGAGAGAGAGGCAGAGCCCTTGGCTGTGAGAGGTACATTTTTCCAACAGAAAGTTAAAATCAAACTAATTAGTGTTAAATGGTTTTTCAGAAAACCACTGCCCTGAAGGATGGCTAACAAAAAATTAGACCTTCACATCCTCAGCTACCCTTTTAGTAATAGCAGATATTATTTCCCACTTTCCATCTTACTAAGTGGATTATTCAGATATTCTTTTTGAGGAATCTGTATAACTTATTATGTTTCTTGATGAAATGTCTGTTTACGTACATATGTGAGATAAAAATTAATTTCATAAAATGGAAATACACATACAAACAATGTTAAGAAGATGGTTTTTTTCTTACCATTCTAAGTGCAAATGTGGGTTTACAGCCACATAAATTAAGAATGCTCCAAAAATCAGCAAGTAGGTGCCATAATAGATTGCATTCTCTATCAGTGCAGTTTTGATCTTTCCGGTGATGGAAAAACCTCCTGACCTTGCATAGGACTGCATGAAGGGTAAGAGGATCCTAGGTCGTTGGAAAAAAATTGGATTAAAAACACTTGATATGCCTTTTTAATCTCAAAATACCAGAAATATGTGAATCTCAATTATAACAGATAGTGCTTTTCACAAATATGATTTTGAGTAATTATTAATCCCAAACAAACTAAAATAGATGATTGAATATTTTTGTAATATTAAATTTGGGGGAGAACAAAGTGCAGTCGCGGGAGCAAAGGTGGCCCCAGTGACCAGATGAGGACATAACAGTGAGTGATTTATGACGGGTTGTAAAAAAAAGGCTTTAGAATCTTATGAAGAGTTTGGACTATATTCAAAGAATAATGGGGAACCATTTTCTTTAACAGAAAGAGGACATGATCAAATTTTATTTTTCTAAAGACTGATAAGCCTTCAGCATGGAGAATGGTCTTAAAGGGAACAAAATTGTAACTATTTGTGTGGCAGAGTGAGGGAGGGGAGAAGACTGGTTGTCAGTAGGCTGATTTTGAAGTACCTAGAACACAGCCCAGAGGAGCCGCACAGGAGGTAGCTGGCTATCCAGCTTCAGGGTTCAGGGGGCAAGATTGGAAACGTGGACAGACTCGGAGGGACCACCACGTCAATGACACGGCGATCACATCAGGAGATGAGAGCTGGAAGCGCAGGGATGGAGAATGAGAAGCAGAGACCTGCGGCTGACCCCTGAGAAATACCTACTTTTAAAGGAGATGTCGAAAAACAGGAGGCGGAGAGGCCAGCAAGGAGACTCCGACAACAGTAGGGAGGCATGGAAGGAAACTAAGCAGGGGGTACGAGGGTAGACCAGGAGAAGCACCCGGTAGAGCAGAGAGAGAACAATTAGAGTCCAATGCTGCCAGAGGCCAAGCAAATTAGGAACCTGTGGGTGAGAAGGAAAGCGGGGGTGGGGGAGAGCTCAGTGAGGTGCGGAAAGAGTGAGCAATGAGGAAACGGATGCACTGAATGCAGCCGATTCACTGACGAAGTTTGGCCGAGCAGGATAAATTATGATATATTCATAAACCGGAATATTTTACAGAAATCTAAAAGAGTACGAATGCCTATAACATAGCACGAAAGAGTCTTCCAAGTATATAAGCAAAAAAAGAGAGGCAAAAAGTACACACTGTATAATTCTATGTTTCTAAAGTTTAAAAACAGGCAAAACTCATCTATGGGATGACTTCAGAATCATGGTTACCTTTGGCGAGGGTAAGGCTCGGGGCAGGGTATGAGGGAAGCTTCTGGGGACATTGTTAACTTTCTTTATCACTATCTGAGTGCTAGTTATATGGCTGCATTCACTTTGGAAAAAGTCAAACTAAACACAAATCTGTACACGTTTCTATACTAATTTATACTTCAGTTAGTCTCTAAAACAATTTAACTGTGATAAGGAGTAGATCATTGAGGTGGAAGACAGAAAGCTGGAAAGGGTTGGGACTTGAGAGACTGTTTCTTTTAGGATGAGAGAATCCCACACACTTTGTACAAATACAGGTAAGTATAGGTAAAAAGAGCTGAAGAGAATGGGTCCATCTTTCAGGAAGAGGGATTAATTTTAATTGCGACTCTTCCATGTTTGGTGGGGAAAGAAGAGATGGGTAGGTGGGTAGGTAGGTAGATATGTTGGTGAGAAGCTGAAAAGGCTGCCATCGGATGACTTATACTTTCACTGTGAGGTAGAAAGTGAAGACGTTCAAGGAGAGAAGGCAATGTTTCTCAGCATGAGAGAGGGAGAGAGTCACATAGGGAACAGCAGACGTTTGAAGTGAGGGGAAGGATTTGCTGTTCAGAACAAAGAGCACGCAGACTAGAGAAACAAAGGAGCAAAGCCTGGCAAGGTTGAGGCCCGCTGGGTTCAATGACCCCCAGTTCACGGGGCCCTGCTCTGCTCTGCTCTGCTCTGCTGCACGGCTTTCCTCTTGCCGCGGTTCAGACCTCTCGTTTCAGAACTCAGTTGCCTGCAGAGCATCTAAACTGCTCAGGAAACGGTCAAGTGTGAGCCTGGAGCAGAGCAGAAACACAGCGCTACAGCGGGTGGAGGGAAACGTTTGGAACGCCTCAGAGGTCAGTGAGACCATGGCCGTCATGAAAGCTACGCAGGGAGAGCCAGGTAACAGGATGTGGAACCAAATGTGGAACCCCAGGGAACATTCGTATGTGCGAAATGGACCACAGAAAGAGAGCCCAAGAAGGAAGTGCAGAAGCCTGGGCTGAGCAAACCGGGCAATATCGATGCCCTTCACAAGAGCAGTTTCACGTTATAATGGGACTGGAAGACTGAACTGAAGGAGGTCAAGAGAGAAGGTAGTAACTGGAAGGGAACGGTGACAGGGAAAATTATTTATTCTCTTTTCTTTTTCTGTTTTTTTTCGTTTCTTTTAAGATGGTAGAGAGTTGAACAAGCAGAAAGGCAAAGGATAAAAACTTCAGAGAAACAGTAAGTGACATGAGTAAATTCTAAAATACGAAGATTCACTGAAAGAATAATCACTTCTCTTTTTACTTTAGCCAGAATTTTATAAATTTTATTTTTCACTACCACTTACCATGTTAAAAATTGTGATGTCCAATATACTACCCGCCAGAAAATCGGCATGATTCCATCAGGAATGTAACTCCATGGCTTGAAACATGGATGTTGGCTGTTGAATAACAATTTAAAGAAAATTAATCATAAATGATAACTAAGTAAATGAATTATACAATTAATTTATACATGGCAAAGTTTATTTACATTCAGATTTTAAATTATTGACTCTAACTTGTAAAACTTAATAAAAACTTAAAATTCAAAGCTGGTTGTCAAATTAAACACACACAACCTAATAGATGAATAATGAAACTGTATCTAAAAACAAATGTATCATGAAATTAAACCTCTGATATGATTACCTTTAAAATTGATGACTGCCTTTAAAATAGACACTCACCCCATTTGTGGGGTTGGTTATTTGGGGGAAGGGGAGCAAAGAAGAGAAAGATATTAGCTGATTAATTCCTGGAAATCAGGATGCTAACTAATCCGTCATTATAGCATAGTTCCTGTGGAGATATATACCAGCACTGATACATAATTCTGTTTGAATTTTCAGACAGTATGTACATTTGACCATAGATTCTTCAATTAACAGTCTTCCTAGACTGTGGGGGTATCCTTTAGTCCAAGGACTTCCAATAATCCTCAGCTGCTGCTGATCTATATCCAATTTTTAATGATGCTTCAAAGGGGAGTATCTACATTTTAAATTTACCCTTATTCAGGTTAGATTTTAAAACTAAAATAAAAGCTAAATAAAAAAGCATGCAAATACTACTTAAAGCATTGGTAAAAACGACGATCAAGATTCATTAGTTTTAAATCTAAGCTAGTGTGTATTTGAACAATCAAATAACCCATGGTGCTAGAAGTCAGACGTATTTAGCCAGTTTTGTAATTCTATTTGGAAGGCAATTGCTATGAACAGAAGAGAACTGACAATTTTTCAATGTAAAAATTAAAACACAGCATTGAAATTAATGAGTGAAAACTAATGTTGACCCAAAATTTTCCTAAGAAAGTCTGCCATACCTTTGTTTTCTATTATGAAATTTCTCTGTTGGATCTTATCTTTTACAAGCAAATGGTTTTGTCCTATGAGCCACCATCTACTTAAATACTGGCCACATATTTAGATTCTCTTCAACAGTGTATCTTGTCGGTTGAAGGAAGTATGCAACACACACATAAACATGTACTTCTCTCCTACTTCCTACATTATTTTTTCAGTAAGACCCATTTGTAGAAACACGTTTAACATTTTTTGAAATAAAAAAATTCATCTTTTGAGTTGAAGGTGAACACATACATACAGACACACAAAACATTTCTTAGTTTTTTTTTAACTTGTAAGTTTAATACGAATCCAAGAAAACCTTTTGATAATTTTAATTTTATCCATTCTTTGTCTAAAACAACTTCAAAGGATGTGCAATATGAAAGGAATGTTCCCATATACAGAATAACCTCCTTGTACTTTAATACACAACCTTGTACACTAGACAAAAGAGAAAATGCATGCCCCATTTTGTGGATTAGAGTGGCCAAAATGAAAAATAGTTTTTGGGAGTCACATTCTTAGTAGGGGGCAGAACCAGGACCAAAGAATCAGGCCTTCTCCAAGTTTCTCGTTAGCATCTACTGAAAGGCCTCGTGCACCAATAAATATTTAAAATTTATTTAAGATTTAAATTTAAACAGAATAAAATGTAACTAAAAGTCTATTAGCAAAGGATGGAGGTGGGGGAGGAGGTGAGCAAAGAATGAATATAAACTTTAATAAATATAAATCCAGATAGCAAAAACTGGCAATTTTTAAACAACATTTAAGGAGGGAAGGAAAAGAGGGAGGGAGGGAGGGAGGGAGAGAGAAAAAGAGAGGAAGGACACCTTGGAGCTGGGGAGGCCGAGGCGTCCAGTCCGGAGCCGTTGCTGCCCTCAGCGGGGCTGGAGTTGCCAGCAGCATGCTTGCACCGGTTGTATATCGTCTAAAGCAAGGAACACACAGTTTAAAAACGAAAATCAAAAGGTTACCAAGTACTTAAGGGAGATTGGAAGGTATCAACCTATCTACCCCAAATTACCTTCCTGGTTCTGCTTCTTAGTGATCAAATTAATATAGTAACACTTAAACTCAAAATATAAATATAACCTTACCTAATTTAACTGTCTTGGGACCTAACACATCTCAAACATGCTAGATGATTACAATTGTCTTTTAAATTGTGAAAATGAGTTTCACATCTTACCGTACTAACATCCAGAGGCAGTATGAAGACAATAAGAAAGCAGAGGTACCAAGCTAGTAGTGTTCCAACAATTACAAGTCTATGCTGTTTCTTAAAGTCTCCATATCGATGAAGTAGAAATAATGCCAGAAAAAAGACAAAAACAATCTCGAGTCCCAAAGCCGCACCACTCATTATTGAATGTTCACGCTGACTGACCAAAGTGCTTCACGTACAGGGCTGGAGCATATCTGTAAAATGAAAAAAATGCAGTGTTAGTACAGGAAATGACCACTTGGAAATTTATTAAATCTTATTAATATATTAAGAAATTCTTTGGAAAACTGGCAGGTTTTACAATGGACTACGAATAAGATGAAAAGGATAATTCCTACTCTCCAGTTCTTGTATCTTATTTTTAAAGCATATCTTAAAATTTCACATAAGTTATATCTTCAGGAAAAAAAGGTATTTTTAACAAAAATTCTAAACAAAGTACAAAATAAGAATACTAGAGAGAAACAGTTTCAATACAGAGTCATTTGGAGCTTGTTCCTCAACATTATACATCCCAACAAAATATTTCATACACACTACTGACTAGATCCTAGGGAGTTAGGTATTTTATCAAATAAAATTTTCTAAGTCACCCATAACCCATTACTTAAAATTTTCTAAAAGAGAAAGAGGGAGAGATGGCAAGAGAGATGGAGAGAGACCATTGCTTGAAACAGTATTTGTCTTTACTGCTCATCTTGTCTAACAACTTTCAGAACTTGAAATTCTCAATTCATTACTGCTTCACAAAATATACTTATCACTTTCCATTTGTTTATATAAATCTTATTTTCTTTAAGGAAAGTTACTCTACTTATTTTACATGTATAAAAACATATCAATGATTATTGAATAAAGTCATACATTGAAAATATTTTTATTGTAAATGCTGGCAATATAGACATAACCAAATGCTTTATTTGCTGTATCTCTACTCATAAAATAATTTGCCTTCACTAACTGAAGGCAGTATGTGATTTTCACCTCTGTAAAAATTAATGTCAGGCTTTTCTTTCTTATCTTTCTATCTTTATTTATAGAGAGGGGAAGGGAGGGAGAAAAAGAGGGAGAGAGGCATCCATGTGAAAGAGAAACACTGATCAGTGCCTCTTGTGCATCCCAACCTGGGACTGAACCTGAAACCTAGGCATATGCCCTGACCAGGAATTGAACCTGCAACTTTTCGCTTTGCGGGATGATGCCCAAATGAGCCACACTGGGCAACATTAGGCATTTTTTGTTTTGTCTATGGACTAACTACAATATTCCAAGGAACTGATTAATACCTTAATGTAGAGAATTAAGATTGTGATGCAACCCACCAAAATAAAATTAGGCAGAGTCACTAAAATATATACTTCAAATCAACAAATAAGCTAAAGTTTGTTATAAAAAGAACAAAGAAAGTTTGAGTACTTTAACAAGCTAAATTTAAATCTATGTAAGAAATACCCCTACATGGAATATCACAAATAAAAATCATGCTTAATAAACTATTTTCTTCATTATTTCTTTATATTGAAGTAGTATCTTTCTATTCCTCTGTGCATTTCAACCAATATTTTCATTTTTCTTAAATATCTAAAATTGTACCCCTTGTCACCATCATCATATCCCACTATATTTTTGTCCAAAGCACTTACCAACCTGATATAAAGTATATTCTTTATATTTATTGTCTTCCTTAAGCCCCTCCCACACGCAGGTTCTATGAGAGCACAGGCCAGCCACATGTATTCAGTATTATATCCCAAGTCTCTAATATAGTGTCTGGCATAAAGTAGATATTAAAAATAATCTGTTGAATAAATGAATCGATAAAAAATCATTACCATACACTTGTATACTACTTTTTATTACTGCTGACTTTAAATACAACATAAGACTTGTTATGATCTCCAAAGTTGACTTTACAAATACTTACTACAACTCAAAAGGTTTAAAAATCTGTTCATTGCTACTACTCAAAATTTCATGTTTCATAATCTATTAAAAAACTTATACCACCACAGTAAGAGTAAGTCAAATCTTATTTTTAAGCTGAGACTGGATTAAGTGGTTAGACGATAGCTCAACATTGGGTGTGCTGATGAAAACCATGACCATCTTCAAGGCCTAGTTTTTAAGAAAATATTATTCTCTATGAATTTAACATAATTACTACCTGAAAATTACTTTAAGAATTTATCTGAAATTGTCCAGTGCAAGGAAGATGACAATCATAGAAAAAAGACTATCAGAGATTACCAAGCAAATGCTAAATACAATATGGCAGAATCAAATGATAGATTGTTACTGAAGTATAAGAAATATTTATTAAAATTATTTAATAACATTATAAAATTATCATAACATTAACTGAAAAACTAGATTCACGCATTTTTATATAGCATGCATAAAATGAGTAAGACAATAATCACATATATGCAGATATCAATAATAGGTGGTAAAATTATGGGCATAAGCAAACCACAAAATCATAATTATAAATTTGCAACTAATAATATTTTTTTAACATTTGATTTTTTTCATCTGTTTCATAGACAGTACTTTAAAATGTTATAGATGAGTGAACAGAATTAGGGGTCCTTTATTCTAGTAATAAAGAAATGATTTGTTTCATCTCTTCCCATACTCATTGTCTCCTACTGCTGTTGTAAGCAATTACTGTAACTTAGAGGCTTAAAATAACACCCATAATTCATAGTTTATGTGAGTCAGATGTCCAGGCACAATATAGCGCAACTGAGTTCTCAAAATTGAAATGAAGGTGTCAGCAGGTTTTTGTTCTTTTCTGGAGGCTCTTGGGAAGAATCTTTGTTCGTTCAGGCTGTTGGTAAAATCTAGTTTGTTACAGTTATGGGATGAGATCCTTGTAGGCTGTCAGCGGGCATTTGCCCTTAGCTCTAGAGGCCTCTTTCCAGCCTTTGCAAAGTGGCCCCTACACCTCTGAGCCAGCAATGGAATGCTTGCCAAGTCCTTGTCATTCTAGGAATCCGGCTTCCTCTTCCGCCCTCAGCTGGGAGAAAGCTCTGCTTTAAGGGCCCGTCTGGTGTCTCTGGGCCCACCTGGAAAACCGAGTCCTATTTACTGGTTCCAAGGATTTAGGTACAGGTATCCTTAGGGGTCTATTATGCTATTTACCAAAGTATCTATTTCTGTTCAAGTTGAACTCCTGGTGCCTTGTTATGACACAGGGTTAGGCCTAGGGGTCCCATGAAATGGAGAGATGAAAACGGGGGTTTCTCCAACCTGAGATGAGAAAAATAATAGTTTCAAAGTCCATATCTTGACTTTCCATCTAAATTAAAGTGAGGGATTGTTTTTTTATTTGGTTTATAGTCCAGAATAATAGCACTTTCCAAGGTTCCCTATGAATTTCTATAGCCTGTTTTTGTTATTTCAGCTGAGTAACTTTCTCCTTAAAGCTGGGAAACCTTATTCTCCATCTGATTTAGTTATTTGTATATTAAACTCTTAAAATGTCAATTAAAATCTAATAAAGATTGATCAACTCAATTTTGGCTTACTGAAAAAAAGAATTCACTGTAAGAGAGACCAGCAATTTGGCAATATGTATCAAATGGATCAATAACCTTAAAAGGGTACATATTGTAACATTTTGTCCTAGCAATTCCTCTTGAAATAACTTAAAAGAAAAACCAAATGCCAACAAAAGTCTACCTGCAATGTTACTTTTCACGGCAGCATTATTTAAACGTGAAAACATAGGAACAACTTAAATGTCTGTATTACATAGTCCGGGAAGTCTTAAAACTGCCCCCTCATCTCATCGTGGCCCTTTGCCTCGTGAATCACTAATCCTGCTAACCTGGCCGGCCGCCGGCGCCGAACCTGCACCTCTCTCACGGACTGCCTCCCAGGACGCCCGCGGCAGGCAGTGTGTGGGGGCGGGGGGGGCCGTCCCACCAGTCTGGAGGAAAAGTGAGATCCAGGGACACACTTTCAAGACATCAAAGGGACATGGTGGGATCTGAGGGAGTATATGTAAGAAAGGCACACAAAATGGTGACAACGGTTGGCACAAGCAGTGAAGAGGTGACTTCTCCTTTATGTGTGCTTTCTTCTGTGTGTTTTTAATTTTAAACAATGAATGTGTATGGTTTTTCATTATAAAATTACTTAGAAGTCAGTAATATTAAGATAAAACACATAGCAACTAGAAAATTTTAAAATTTTGCCACAGTGTGAAGTGCCTAAAATTAAAATACAAATGTTTTTTTATACTGTGGTAAACCTTGGTTCCAAATCGCAACTCTCATTAATAATCATGTAACTCTAAGCAATTGAAACTGTTAAATGGGGATAATTATCTCACACAGGTTGCTAGGAAGATCAATCGAGATATAAAACACCGAGCAGGAGTTCCAGACACAAAGCGGGTCTTCGATAAACTCTTGTTGCTAATCTCCATCTCCTTCATATGTTGTGCTTCTAGAAGAAAACTAGTTGCCTCAATGGTCTCAAAGCATAGCTTTACTCTATGTCCTTTCTCCCCCGTCTCCCACAAAAATTATGCTTTTTGCTTCACATTCTCTGTGGTTCCCACAGCCTGGGCCCACCCTCATTCATATAAAACAGACTGATCTTCACTCCCAGAATTGCCCCCCTTGCCACACTTGACAGACTGGGATGACCCCCCTCAGTCTGCCAGGCAGCCCAAACGCCCCTTCGCCAGACCCTTGTGAAGAAACAGAACACCTCTTAGAGCCATGACAAGAAGGTACACTTGACACCTAGAAAGACAATGCCACTCTTCTAGGAACATGTACAAAAGAGAGGTGGATCAAAATGGGTCATTTGCTGAACTGTGCACATGGTCAGCTGTGCAAAAATATACTTGAAGGCAAAAGATGAAATATGCCTCTGGCCACAACGATGATCCTTCTAATAACGTTCTTCAAATATGAACACGATTACGCTAAATGACAAAATTTGGGGGCAAATCAAAATTGTCCTATGTGATTAGAAAGGGAAAAGAGACTTAAAGCTATCATAGATTGGCATTAACACCACAGCAGTAAAAGTAGGTTTCACTCAAAATCAAAATGTTCGTTCATTCATTCAATGACATTTAAGTGCCTGTTATGCAGGCATAGTCTACCTTTCAAAATACCGATTCTGAACGTCTTAAAAACATTTAAAATTCAACTTGGTCTTCTACCAATCATCAAGATATTGTACAATATTACTTTCAAATGTCTTTCATAATTAGCATGTAAATATTACTGACTTGGAGTAGTGTTTCCTTAGCACTTTGTGGTTGATAATGATTTTTCAGGCTAAACACACTTTAAGTGGAAACCTTAAAGACAATTTTAAAATTTGAAGCATTCCAAATATTTTCAAAAAAAAAAAAAAGAGTAAGAAAGAGATAAGGAAAAGAAAGAAGGGAGAAAGGAAGAAAGAAAATAAAGGAGGATGGAAGAAAGAAGGAAGGAAGGAAGGAATGAGGGAGGGATTGAGGGAAAGAGAACTGGTAGCAACTGAACACAAAAATTTTATCAAAACCTAAAATACTGAAATCAAATCAAAAATTTCCAAATAGAACCTAACGATTCATCGGAATCAGTCTGTATTAACTTAATATGTATCTACTCAGCTGTGTGAAATAAGTAGGAGCCAACTCAAGATCCTAATAATGAAAAAGAATCAAAACTAGATGTGACTGATGAAAGCCAACAATTCCTTATCCCCTCCAATCAAAATTTACATTTCTAAAGATAATCATTATTCTCGTGTTTAACAATTTCAGGTACAGGGAGAATTCAACTTAGAATACAGAAAGGCTACCACAGGAGAATGTCACTGCCACTTTAAAATCCTAAAGAGTCATAACTGAGGCGGCAAACCAACCAGGTGAACTCAATTCCAAAGGATGACAAGCCATTCTAAAGGAAGATGGACAGGAACTGCTCCACCTCTGGCAAGGCCTAAGAGGAAGGAGTAGCAGCCCTGTAATCAGGTGAGAAGAGAACAAGTAGAACTGCAATGGATTCTCAAAGAGTTTAGGTAAAGAGATTGTCGGGAAAGAAGAAAAAGAAGTGGAGTTGCAATGGATTCTTAAAGACTTTATTCAGGTAAAGAGACTGTCAGATAAGAAGAAAACAGGTAGAACTGCAATGGATTCTCAAAGACTTTAGGTAAAGAGATTGTCAGGGAAGAAGAAAACAAGTGGAGTTGCAATGGATCCTTAAAGAGTTTAGGTTAAAGAGATTGTAAGACTTATTTTGATAATTAGAGAATGATCCTTAGAATCCTTCCTACTAACAAAATATTGTTTTTGAAAAGGAATAGCTAACATTTAGTGTGAGTTTACCAGATTCCAAGCATGTTTTATTGACTCAAACCTGATCACCCGGTAAGGAAGGACTGTTAGTATCCTTGTTTAACAAAGGAGAAAACCACACAGCGAGGGTCAGAGCTGGGATTCAAACCCAGACACCCCGACTCCTGGGCCTGGCTCACTATGAGGACACTCTACAGCCTCTTCTCCAGGCCAGACATGTCTTTTCCATGCAATTTAAACTGTTTAAATAACTTCTTTTGTTCCATTTTCACAGTGAACAAATTACAAATAATTCTTATTCATTATTCCCTAAGAATGCTAAGAAAGTCATGTTTAATACAGAATTTAACTAAGCCTTTTTACCTTGCAGGTAAGACTGCCATTTCTTAAGGATAATACATGACTCAAATTTACATGGGAAAAGTAGAAAAGAAAACTTAGAGAAAATCAGAACTGGGAAAGAACCCTTCTTAGTCTTTCGTTCTCCTAAGCTAAATGACATTTAAAAAACTAAAGGAATCTCACGACTTACCTCATGCTGTGATGGAGCTAAGGAAAAAGAACATCCCCCGTCTGTTTCCACAGAATCTCTTTTTCATGTGTAATTCTCAAGAACACTAATGTACTACTGAATATAGATATAGCTTAGAGTCAAATGTAATTTCCAGTTCTTTTTGGCCCCTTCTGTGCACTGGTCTTGTAACTATGTTCTTCCCACTTTGTATGATAAACACTTTCCAATTTACAAAGTCATTTCATATTTTATCTGAAGCTCCCAAAGAGTACCAGAAATTACTCACACTCGTGTCATTTGTAGATATAACAAAAATTATAGTTCATTTGTCCTAAATACTGAGCTAGTAATTCTACTTGTAGAAATACGATATACCCCTCTCACTGAAATGGGACACCAAGTGTGTTGAGTAAGATTAAATGAGTAAGATTAATCAGGAAAATAAAATAATGCACATCAGTTGCAATCACAATGCAGTTCTTGAAAACATAAGACATCTACCTATACATACCTAGTAATCTCAAGTCTTCAGTGGATACAATTCCCTGTATTAAACAGAATTGATTAAACAGAATCAATTTAAACTTTTATTTAATGTATATGTAGAGAGAAAAGCCATGATTAGAAGGAATGCAGAAAAAAATGCATTCCCATTTTAGCAACCTAAATTATTCTGTTACCAGGGCAAACTATTAGTGAAATATCTATTCTGGAATTTGAAGACTTTTTCAAAGTTGGCAGGCTCTCTCTGAAGTCCTTTTTAGGACCTCATGTTGATCAATTCAGAACTTCTCTGAGAATTAGAAATGTTCCCTAGCTCTCAGGCACTTACAGCTAAATCCTACCACAAAAGTATTCCTCATCTTTTAATATACACCTTCCTATCTTTAAGACCTATATCTAAAGTGACCTCTCCTAATTACTTTAAGAGGTCAAAACTTTATACTTATAATAGTATTTTAAAGTTGTTTCATGTTTATACTTTCTTCTCCATTAACCTTTAAGTTTCATCTTGTCCATTTTCCTGAAGGAGACTGTAATTTTTTTCTGTTAAAAATATTTTCTCTAATGACTTGCAATTTTAAGGGAAAGGATGCAGATTTCAGACTAAGGCAACTACCTTCCTCTTAGCCAAAGTAACATAAAGGTAAGATTATGTAAGAAAATCAGAATGTTGCATTTAAAAAATATTTTCCAGATAACATCGGTTTAATAAGTTCTGAACGTTCCGCCTGGTCATTTTCAGCCTAGTTTCAATCCAAATCAATTTGTGAGCCGATCCCTTCTTTACACCAATTTCACCTACTTTCAAGAACAAACTACAGGTGTGTGAGTATATTCCTCTGTCAAGAGGTGGTATTTACTTTTCAAGCTAAGCATCAAGCATGAAAAAAGCTCACACCTGAGCAAGGGAGTTTTAATTCTTGTATAAAGTGAATCATTAAAATAAGTGTGTCATTCAGCGTACTGATGTAATTTTTGTGATGACGCTGATCCGCTTACTTGTTTAAAAATCCTCTCCATTTTTATCAGGGTTGCAATTTATTCCCCATCTCTTCCACTGTTTTGCCGGGTCACGGTTGTAGTGTAGTTTGCACAATGGATTTCGCATGGTCATCCTACCTGGAAAATGGCACACTCTCTACTCTAACCGCCTCCAAACTCTTCTCCGAGGAGACGGGCTAAAAAGCAGCCCCCTTTTAGGCGGCGACGCAACCAGACGCAGCGGGTAGAATGAAAGCAACAGAATGGCTGTGCTGGTGGCCCTACCGTTGCACACTGTAAAGCCCTTTGCAAGCACTGTCACCTGATTTGTTCCGATGCTAGCATTTATGAGATCTGTCTAGGCGGCAAGGGAATGTGCAGCTTTCCCACTACACCCAGCAGGAACCACTGCGGTTTCCTGCTCCTATAAAATTAAACCACCGCCTCTCGTTCTCGTTCGAACTGCACTTTAATTTACAAAACGCTGTCACACGCGCTTTTTTATTCGACCCTCCCTCCAAGCCTGTGAGATGGGCGTAGTGCCTCTTTCCTACGAGGGAGGAAAGGATCTAGTCTACAGACCCAGTCCTATAAGGGCCCCAGCTTCCGGGCACCGGGAAGAGCAGGTGCGACGCCCGCGGCTCGCAGCCTTTCACCTGGCGGGCGATCCGGATCACTGCCTGCCCTTGGGCGCTGGGGATGTGGGCCCCGCGGGGGCGACCGCTCGGGGTTCTCAGGGTCCTCTATCTCCACCGGCGCTGGGCCCGAGACCCCAGACCCCAAAGTGCTTCACGCCCTTCCCCGGAGGCTCACCGTCCGATCTCGCCAGACAGCGTCTGGAACGACCGGGAAACTCCGCCACCGCCACAGCGGTCCAGGGTTTAGGACCCACGCTCCGAGGTGAGGATGGTACCAGTCACCAGAAGGCCTTCGGGCTCCTGGGAAAGGAAAGCCCTATCCCAGACCAGGGGCTGACATGTCCAAGTCAGCCAAAGCACCGCCCGCTTCCGGTTCCCCCGCCTACCCTGTGGGCGGGCCAGTCCCGCACCCGCAGGGGGTTGTGGGCATCCCGGAGGCTGGCCGAGCTGCCAGAAAAGGAAGTGGAGAGCCAGGCGTACTAGGAGGCAGGGCAGAAACTACAATTCCCAGCAGTCAGCGGGGCCGTAGGCGGCCTCGCTGAGATTAAGTAGAAGAGCCCCGCGCGCGCAGCGGGCATGGAACGTTGCTGGAGTTGGCGGGTCTCGTTGCTGGGGGCCTGAGACTCACGCTCTGGGACCGCCGCGCGCCAAAGCGGGAATCTGGGAGGCGGGCAAGTCTGCAATTAATGCACGCATTTAAAATCCCAGAATCAGTGGACGTCATGCACCGGTAAGCCGATTACAAAAAGGGGCAGAACGTAGTGAACCGTCTTAATTCATTTAGGCCACGAATATTGCCACTTGCTAAAACTGTTGCTAATGCTGTAATGTGAATGGTTTCTTAGCCCCTTTTTGGGGAAGCATGGATGAATGGATGCTTTAGTTCGGTAATCAGAGTGCGGTTTTATCTGTCTTTCTGTGTTGGGCTTTCCTGCTACTGTATGGAATCGCTGTGTGCTTTCTCAGTCTTTCCTTTCCCTCCACTTTAAGAAAGACTTAAGGCCTTCTGCATAATCATGATCGTAAATCAGTAAGCCTTTTCGAGTTCGGTTATTTTCTCCTTCATCCTTGGGAACTCGCCGCAGGCATGTAAAAAATGCAGTTCTGTTGGCTGCTGTGAACGTTTTCTACATTGCATAACTTGAAGTTTCCTTTAGGCCTACCAATTATCTATGGGTGTGTTTCTAAGGGAAAGGGGCTATTGTGCATTTTTGCAGGAAACACCTCCAGGAGATTCCTGACCAGACTAGCAACGTTACCACGAGCTTCACTTGGGGATGGGATTCTAGCAAGACTTCTGAACTGCTGTCAGGCATGGGGGTCTCCGCCCTAGAGAAGGAAGAGGTGGACAGTGAGAACATTCCCCATGAGCTGCTTTCAAACCTGGGCTCAAACCCACAGAGCCCCCCACGAAAACGGCTGAAGAGCAAAGGGAATGACAAAGACTTCGTGATCATTCGCAGACCCAAGTTAAATCGAGAGAGCGTCCCAGGTAAGGTGTTACGGTAAAACTGTCATTCAAGGAAGGTGTAGGTTGACCTATTTTGCTGGTAAACCTTTGTTTGGGGATCTTTAAGGTGGGGCCCTTTTAAAAACGCCAAATTCTGAAGTTATTTTCCAAAAAAATGAAAGAACTCATCGTCAGTGTAGTCTACCGGAACCTTGGTAGGTACGTATCTCTTCGTGAACCATTGATTTTCAACCCATGTGAAATTTCAACCCCTGAGAAGGCATCCCTGCGTTTTTGCTTAGGAATCTGCCTGCTCAAAGACCAACTCAACGACACGGATAAATGTGAACACAAGTGATGATTTGACAGGGCTCTTTTTGTTTATATTCCGTTGTTTTATGCCTCCAGTTGCCATGATCACATTAGTTACTTGTCAAAGGACTGCTAAAGTGGATGATAAACTTTAAGTGGCGAAGATTTAACCACGTCCACTCTCAAATGGGACTCTTATATTATGCTCAGTCTCCATTACTGCTAGCATTATCTGTTCAGTCACCCAACCCCAAACCTTGAAGGTCGGCCATGTTGCTGCCATTCCCCAACAGCCAACCCATGACTGAATCGTTCCTTCCCATCTCCTGAATATTTCTCCAGCTCTCATCATCTCTTACCTGAATACTGGAATGGACTCATCACTCCAGCTTCATTCTCCCCAAACGCACCCCCCTGAGCTAGAATGGACTGACTGAAATGTGGGACTCACCATATCATTCCCGTTTTCATAGCTTTCCGTTCCTATTCTCAAGCCGGGAAATGAGTGCTTCCCAGAGTGGGTGAGGACCACAAACGGACTCAAAGCCATAGGGTAGACATAGTGCACTGACCTGGGGTCATCAGTTTTTCTTGCTAGGAAGTCATTGAAGATATTAATTCAGCAAGTATTTGCTAAGCACATACTATGTACTTGACATTGTTTTAGGTGCTGGGGAAGCAGCAATGAGCAAAACCTAAACATTCCTACCAGACAGAGGACACAGTAAATATAATTAATATGGTATGTAGTGTGTTAGAATGTGATAAGTGTTACAGCTAACAACAAACTTTGAATGAGCCAAGAGGGATTGGAAATTCTGGGGTGGGAAGATGGATGAAAATTTTAAACAGGGTACTGATGGAAAGGCTCACTTGGTCAGAGAGTTTCAAGAAAAGGCAAAAAAAAAAAAAAAGGGAAAGGAATGTACCATGCAAATATCTCGCAGAAGAGGCCCTCAAGCAGAGGGAGCAACCAGTACAAAGACCCTGGGGCAGAAGCATGTCATGTTTGTTGAAGGAACAACAAGGAAGCCATGTTCTAAGAGTAGAATGAGCAAAGGGGAGAGTAGATCAGGCTAGAGAGGTAGTTGGTTGCTTGCTTGCTTTGTTTTCCTTTAAAAAACATTCGGGTTTCTTTTTCACTTTTGAGCCTTATTTTAGGGAAGAGAATCTTTAAGTTATGGTCTGGTGATCTACATCAGGAGTTGAATTAGAAAGGCAGTAAAGGGTTATGGTGACATCTGACACAATCTGGGTTCAAAATCTGGGTTTGACTCTCTGCCTTGCTGTTTACCAGCCTTAGGAAGTTTTTTGAGTTCCCTGTGCCTTCATTTCTTTGTGAAATGGTCAAATTTTACCCACTTCATAGACTGCTTGAAGATTAAATGAGTCCTGACTGGTATGGCCCAGTAGGTTGGGCATCATCCAGCAAACTGAAAGGTCGCCAGTTCAATTCCTGGTCAGGGCACATGCCCAGGTTGTGGGCCAGGCTCCCAGTGTGAGAGGCAACCGATTGATGTTTGTTTCTCTCTCACGCTCCCTCCCTTCCCCTCTCTTTAAAAACAAATACATCTCTTAAAAAAAGAGATTATATTTATGAATACCAGTGAAACTGTTAGCATGCAGCCTGCACATAACACTCAGTAATAAGTAACCCCAATTAATTTGGTCAACAGTGTTTCTGACACCCATTTGGGAGGCTGCTTCACTTTTTCTTTCGTCCTTAATACTGTTAGTCTGACCCTGTTCATGTAGGGGATTTTTCTTCTTCAAAATTTAACGTCACTGCTCTGTTTAGTTTGTGGAATGCCGCACTAGCAGTTTGGTGCTTGACCACTCAAATGGTAAACGATACTACATGCTGCATGACCAGTGCTGATAGCTTTGAACACAGCGTGACTGCTGTGTTTCCTTCCACATTCACACACACAGATGTAAATTAAAAAGACATTTCTTAAGCAAGGCACTCTGGGAAGTGGACAAGAGTAAGGGCCAGTTGCTGGCTTCTAGGCAATTGCAAGTCAAGTTGAGGAGCAAAGGCAGTGAGAGGAGGAGCTCACAGCGCAGACGGCAGCCAGCCGCCCAGTCGTTACATTTAACCTCAAATAGATGTCTGCAGTGAGAAGGGAGAGGCAGGGAGGGAAGGAAGCGTATACATGGTACACGTGTGGAATTGCACACAGAATAGACTGGTTCATCAGTGTGGGGGCGGGGCGGAGAGAGGAAATCAGCGACGTAGGAAGAGGGGCAGCTGGTGTGGAGGACCCTCCGAGGGCCTCCGGGAGCCTGGGCCTCCAGTGCACGGGATCGTCATTCCAGGGAGTTTTGTGTGCAGTTGTCAGGACAGGTGGCCTACAGCTCTGCCAAGGTTAGGGTGGAACAGGCCACACCTGCTTTATGCAGAGGTCTGGTGACAGTGGCCCTGGACTGCGAATTTTTCTTGGTTCTTCACTCAGCGGTCTCCCTGTAGGCCCTCAGCCAGGCTCACATCTGGCAACTCAGTCCTCTTTATCTGTCTACTTTGGAAGATGATAACTGCGTGACCACCCCATACCAGGACAGGTCTCATTGGCCCTTGGGGTGAGTGCAAGGAAGGAGTTGGGGAGAAATGGCCGATTGGGAGGTCATTAATAGACAGAGACGGGACAACTGCATTGTATTTGTGGGCACTGAGTGCCTGTCCTGGTCCCATCATTCCTGCGTCCCCTTCCAAACAGAGAATAGCCATAAAAACAGGGTTGAAGTAATTTGTTGATCAGCTCTTTCATGGCTGTTAAACTGCTTGGAATTCCAGACGCTGCACTGGTTCCCAGACTGGAGACACCAAAGTTTAGAGCACACTCATATCCCTCAGGGAACTTGTTCAAAGTGCAAAATTCCTGAGATACTGACCCAAGAAGTCCTGCCTTGAACCTGGGGACCTGGAGATCTGCTTTGGTGGCCACAGGAAAACATAGTTCATTCTTTTCTTTTCTTTCTTTCTTTCCTTTTTTTTTTTCTTCCTGCCAATAAGAAGTATATTTTACACTGCAATCCTGGGTGCGTATCTGAAACAAATATCCCCTTTGTTTAAACTATATCCCCTTTACTTTGTTGAAAACTATGTCCCCTTCACTAAGATATTTCCTATTCTCTTCCATTCCATTCTTTCAAAAATGATGCTGGTCAAACTAGACTGATTTCATAACTCACCAACAAATCTCAGCGCACAGCTCTCGAAACTCAGCTCTATCGAAGCCTTTACAGGACCCTCCCATGCGCTTTCTTTGCTTTGTAGCTTCCATTCATTCATTCAGCATAGATTTCTTAAACACCATTCTAGAGATGAAGAACATAACAGCGAACGTAACAGGCAGAAGCCTCGGCTCTCGTGGAGCTCCTATGCTACACCTTACCCTCCAGTCTCCATTCCTGTGGTTTGCTGGTCTTCCTCCGCTGCAGAAGTGAGCAAGCCTCTCACAGAACTCTAGGCTTATGGGGCAGAGGGGGTCATTGAAGACCCCTGGTTTTGTTTTGCTCTGTTTTGCTTTTTGTTTTTTCAGTTTTGCCTACCCCCCCCGCCCCGCCCCCCCCCACAAAACGCTGAAAAGCGAAAAACTGAGAGCTAGCATGGTCTACTATATTCTCTTTGTGATTTCCGGGAAGAGGAAGGAAAACTCATCTCAGATAGAAGAATCTGCCTGTCTGTAGCTCCCCGGAAAGGAAGCATGGGTTATTACTAGTTATTTACAACAAGCTAACAAAAGCAAACATGAAGTAAGCCCCCACCCATAAAAATACACACACACACACACACAGTAGGTCTGAACAGTAGGGCCTGCTTATCCTTAAGGTAACATTTTTCTATGCTTAAAGAAAGGCGCAGTTTTAAGAAGCATAGTTTTGTTGATGACTAAGATGACTTCGGTGCTTTAAGTTGACTTCGAGTGTAGGTGATGTTCCAAGAAAGCAATGTGTCAAGTGAGAGGACTTTCTTATCCTGCAAAGATCAGACAGAGGGAACTCTCACTGAGCCGCCCTCTCGGGAGGAGCGAAGAGGCACGGCTGTGGTGAGGCCGCCGGTGCGGGCAGCTGGGTTTGCCCCTCGGGAATAAGGGAAAATGGCGGGGGCCGTGGGTGATGACTAGCAGGCTCCTAAGCCTGGCCAGCTGTTTCCCTGTCGTTGAAGCTGGAGGCCTTAGGCCGCATAATTATTTCCCTTGCTGTGCAGCCCTGGGGGGCGTTGGAAGAGGCCGGCGCAGGAAAGACCTGTTCTGGCCTTTCTCATCCGCCCTGGGCAAACAGGCCAGGCCGCAGTTGTAGTCCAGAATCCAGGAAACAGATGGCTGATGTTTTGAGAACTAAATATGGCAAGTAAAATTAGATTAAGCATATCATAGGCCTGGATACCAGCCGCTAGAGCAGCTCTTTGAAGACAGACGTCTGCCCCATCGGCTTGGACAGCAGCCAGTTTCAGGTTGGGACACCCCCTCCCGAGAATCACTGTCGTCATGGGGTCAACTGAGTGGGGCCCTGGGCACTTGGCCGCTCATGCATTTTCTCGGCCATTGCCCCTTCTGTCTGGTAGCCAAGCCCCTGATAGCCTTCAACATCTTCGTTTCATGCCCGCTCCCTCCTGGCCCTGATTGATGTTTTTATTTTTGCCATGGAAAGTCAGATTTAATTCCCTCCGTCCCTGCCCTTGGGGAACATCAAGCTCTCAGAACAGGGAGAGCACGCATCTTAGCGCG